AACATAAAACTGTGACGAAACCATTTCATGTTTGCAGATATTTCTTTTTATAGCAAATAAAACAATGAACCATTATCTTTGTGTATTTATTTTTCTTCAAATAAAAATCAGCCCTCGCACACAGAACAGTCTGTGACCCAGAGCTGAGAAAACAGCAAAGGTAATTGTAATTTCTATAAATATTTAGAGACAATATTATTTTTGCCCATTATCACTGTTTTAATCATGTAAACAACGGTTCAGTTACTTCGGGGAGGCGGGGGATTTAAAATGTCAACTTTTTAATGAAAACTATTTTTTGCCTTAACTCAAATTCGCAGCGTTCTACACGAATCTGATTTGTCAACAAAAACATTCAGGTGGGGAAACTTTAATGAGTCAATGAACTCAAAGATTTTCAAAACAGTTATCTGAAATTAACCAAAAGACAGTATACAATTTTAAAGGAAGGTTAAAAATAAAATATAACATAACATTGTACTACAAGCCCATTTAACAATTATTCAACAGGAAGCGGAAAAGCCTAATCAAAGACACAATTATATGAACCGAATCCAGATAATATATATTTCACTGATCTTTGGAAAAATCTGTGAAGTGAAACTAACAAAATATTATGGTGGAAAAACAGTAATGCATAGTTTATGTCAATTAATGCCACAAATAACAGAGACATTTATGAGGTTAAAAACATACAAAATGGTTAGAGTTTAATTTTGATATCCCAAAACAATTAGCCTAAATATAAAATTAGAACATACAAAAATAAGTGGGGCACTGAAGGCAGAAGTCTCACCTGTGGCACCAGTTTCAGAGCCCAGATAAAACAACCACATGAAAAAAAAAAAAAAAAAAAAATTATAAGGAACATTTTCAAAAGAGACGCGTCCAGAATAAAGCAAATCCAGCGGAAGCCTTCCACAAAGACACGACACGACCAGACCTTGTTTCAGCTTCACAGGGACAAGAGGCGAAATCTGAGCCCAGATCCACGACACCGGGGGCAGAGGGGAATGTAGCCCGGGGGAGGTGCGCTTCATCCGGACAGACCGTGCGTAATGAGTCGGTGAGATGTGACGGCGAACAAGGAGTTTAGTGAAGGGGAAAAACACGAATTAGGAACCGGTTTGGGCTGTCTGTGCACCTGTCCATCGGAGCGCGCGTGGTTTGAGCCCCGGAGCCGGCGGGGGTTTGACGAGACGTAAGCCGGAAAGAGGCGTATCTTTAGCGGTGTGAGTCCGTAGGATGAGTCGATGGGGAAAATGTGGAAACTCTTGTAAAACATTGGCTTTAGTGAAGTAAGCGGTTGGATTAGGAGTGGATTTGGGCGGTTTACGGACACCCGCTGATTTGTTTTTATTTGGAACGCTAAGCTCCGGAGCCCCGGGGGATGTTGAGAGCGAGGCCGAGGAGAAACGCACCAAAAGCGGTGTAATTTTGACGCGTAGAGGCGGTGTTTATTCACGGAAAGTGGAGTGTTTAGGGAGAAAGCAAGTCAACGTGTTATGGTTATTTTGAAAGTGATGCGACCTCAGATGGGTCCACAGAGCTTTAAAGCGGCGGGAAAGTGTGGAGAAAAGCCGGAGAGAGCGCACTGGGAGCGGGTTAAAACAACTGGTGCGACCGGAGAAGCACCTGGCAGAAGAAGCTTTGACTGTCGGGTCTGGGCTATATTTGGAAGAGCAAAACGCGTGGGTTCAGTGGAGAATGGACTACAACATTATGACAAAGGCTTTGTAAAAGTAAAGATGTCGAGGTTTTTGTTGAGAGTCAGACCGGGATGACGCGCACCTGTGGCGGCATGAAATTGGGAGACGTGTCGGTCAAAAGTCTGGTTGTGAGGAGCGTGTATTGCGCATGAGAGATCCGCATTAGGGGCTCATTGAGACGGTGTGAAGCCCGCAGCGGGACGGGGGCAGACAGCGGGGTCCGAGTGGCCAGTGCACGCGCCCACAGCAGCTGGATTCACGTGCGCAGCGGAAACACGAGCCACGCGGGTCAGAGTGAAAAGCGAGCCCGCGCGAGGCCTGGCGCAAACAAACACGCCATATTCCATATTCAAATAAAACAATGTCAGCTCATGTTCGCATTTGCGCCGCTGTTATTTATACATGTTGTGAGCTCCGTGTCACGTTCAGAGGAAACAAGGCGACAGCGGGAGGACGCACGGGCCTCACGCGCGCTCAGGCACATCCGGATGGAGACAAACATTTGTGCCATAACAAGCACCAAAATACACAGGGATAAACTAAACTAAACCAGATCTAAACAAACCTGCAAACCAGCTAAACAAGGTCCAATAACCCATTCATTTGAAACCCAAGACAAGTGACGCTGTTAATATTTAAACAAGTAAAAACGCACAGCACAAAATTCTATCCAAACTATAGAACAGAACTATGACCAGCAATGGAACTAAGCTATGCACAAGTCACTAAGGCAAATGATTCCTGGTTTAATTAAAGTGCCTACAGTCTAATTTAGTTTCATTTTTATTTTTAATTTTAGTATTCAAGAGTTAAATTAAAAATCTTAAAGAATGAACTAATCCTCACATTCACACAGGAGCAAATATGAAGTCAATTAAGACCAGGAATAACCCAAAATAAATACATTAAACTACGGCCCTTCTACAGGTTCATTGTAAAAAATCTACAACACATTTCTGAATTTCTAAAAAACAGATTTGTCTTTGACCAAACCCGGGTTTTGTGTCTTTCTCCCAGTGTTCAGTGTTAGTAGCTGGAGGCCATGAGCGCGAGAGGGGCCTGTTTTTGGGTGAGGGAGTGTGTGTGTGTGTGCATGTATGTGTGTGTGAGAGAGAGTGTGCGTGTGTGTGGAGAGGGGGGTTCAGTATTTGATGAGCCCCGGTCCCGCTCTTTAGAAGGATTTGCTCGGCTTTGTGGGATTACAGCGACAGGTCCGGCCTAATTGGAGCTGGTTGGTCTTTTTCATGGGTTTTCCTTCACTCACACTTCGCTCTATACAATAATTTATGCAGCAGCTTCACTAATCAAAAGAGAAGAATTTGGTTAAACGGGTGAATTAAGTTTGGCTGCTTTAATCACTCAAATGTTAGGCTCATAAAATATTTGGGATAAATCTGTGTTTTTACCTCTCAAAGTGCCATAGGAGGGTCATCTTTCGACCTTTGACTTTTGGCCTGTGTTTTTTGTGTGAAAGATCAAGAACTAGGAAGTGACCTAAACCTAAGGTGAGCCAGGATCAAACAAACCCAAAGCCGGACTTAAACAAAGCCCAAACCACGACTATAGGGTGACAGAATGCAACAGTGGGTGCGGTTTCCCACGACTTATCAAAATGGAGGTGACATCTTTGTACAGGTCTCACACGGAATAAAATGTAAAAGCAAAACTCTCCTCTTCCGTCTGTTTAAACACAAATATACTTGTGAAAATGTGGCTCTATTTTTGACCTTTATCCAGGCTTCCACTGGTTTAGTTCTGGTTTAGTGCTGGTGTGGTTTTGGTTTGGTCCTGCTGGATTAGTCCTGGTTTATAGTCTCGGTGTAGTCTTGGTTTAGTCCTGTGTAGTCTTAGGGTAGTTTGGTCCTGGCTGGTTAGTAGAGTCATGGTTTATTATTGTTTAGTCCTGGTTTAGTCTTGTTTTAAACCTGGTGTAATCCTGGTTTAGTCTTGTTTTAAACCTGGTGTAATCCTGGTTTAGTGCTGGTCCAGTCCTGGTTAAGACCGCACCCGCTCAAAAGCAAACACTCGAGTCGTACGAGTATATACACGATGTGCATGTTAATAAATATGCACACTGAAAAGGACGGAATTGCATTTGTCTTTTTGCGCAGTAATAAACCAAATGCATAAAGAGCTTGACACTACATTATAACAAAAATCAGGTCGAATACAAAAAGGAAAGAGGAGCTGTGCATGTCTCCCCTGTTATTTGAGTTATTTGGGTGCTGTTGGGTGCTCTTGGGTGCTGCGGCGTGGCCTATATGGAACAATAAACATTAAAAGAAAAAGAGAATACACCAGATTGTGCTGAAAGAAACTCCTGATGCTCTCTTTTCGATCTTTGTTGTTTTCACTTTTTACAGAGTACAATACTAATAAAGCTGTTAAATGTGAAACTTGTTCAGAGGATTACAATTCATTTAATAATTATCAAAATATTATTGTTAATCACAATTATTTTGGACATTTTAAATATGTTTAGTTGGCTAAGGATCTTTTCTGGTATTTGGGTGCCGTCATATGGGTGCTGTTATACGGGTGTGTTTGAGTCCTATATGGGTGCTGTTATATGGTAATGTTGGGTGCTATGGTGTGCTGTTGGTAGCTGTGGGTGCTGTTATATGGGTCCTGTTGGGTCCTATGGGTGCTCTGGGGTGCTGTTGGGTAGCTGTGGGTGTTGTTACATGGGTGCTGTCGGTGCTATGGGGTCCTGTGGGTGCTGTTGGGTAGCTGTAGGTGCTGTTATACGGGTGGTATTGTTGGGTACCTTTGGGTGCTGTTATTCGGTGCTGTTATTTGTCTGGTGCGGCGCAGGCTAAGCGTCTTTTGTGAGCACATTTGTTGTTTTGTTGGAGCTGTGAGCGTTTGATGAGCAGCTGTTGCAGAGTGTGAAAGAGCCACCTGAACCTCCACGAACCACAGGCGATTTATGAAGCACCAGCAGCCCCACGTGGACACATCAGGAACTACAAGGGAGCAGCCAAACACTTACTGCGGTTACTTTATTGGATTTGTCTCCCATTAAATGAGGAAAAACAGATCAGACATTTTATTTTAGACAGCAATATGGGATATTTTCTTTACATTAACCGCTGTCAGATGGCAGCTTATGGTAATTTAACTTTAAACTTTCAAACTTTTGATTCTTTAATCTTATTTTTTTATCTTTGATTCTTCATCTATTATTTTACATTTATATTACATATCGATATTGCCTTTTAACAAAAAATATAAGCCGAATTTAGCAATCTAGAGAGTGCAACAGATAATTTTTCTCTTTCATTATTACATTATTAGTAGTAATAGTAGAATGAACATTAGTAGTATTAACATTATTGGCAGAGTTTTAGATACAAAAATCCAGATTAATGTAGTAATAACCTAAAAAACAATCATTAAATCATTAAAGACAACTGTCACATTTGCAAAACTGAATTACATTAAGTGCAGCTAAATCTCTCACCTCTGTCCCTCTCAAAGAACATCCTTTCACCTTAGACTAATGCTGGTTGAGTCTTGGTTTAGTCCTGCTTTAGTCCTGGTTTAGTTCTGGTTTAGTCCTGATTCAGTTTCACTTTATTAGTTCTGGTTTAGGCTCAGGTCCGGGGCTCACTTCCTGAAGAGCCTGCGCAGGACATTGATCCGAGGGCGCTCCCTGGTGGCCTCTTCTGGAGCTGCAGGGGTCTGAGGGTCTTTAGGTTCTGAGTCTGGAGCAGAGGAGCCTGGGGAACAGACAGCGGGCTGGTTTAGGGTTGGTTTAGACCTGGTTTAGACCTGGTTTAGTTACAGTTTCACACCCCCTTTAATCAGTGCCACAGTTTAGTCCTGTTTAGTCTGAGTTAAAGTTCTGCTGATTCAGACCTGAACTGTAGCGGTGCTGGTTGTAGTAGGTGTGAGGAGGTTTGGGGGGAGGGCTGGAGGGTGGCTCTGGACTCTCCTCTCTTCCCTCTCTCCTCTCCTCCTCTCTTCCCTCTCTCCTCTCCTCCCTCATCTCCTCTTTCTCCTCTTGTTTCGGGGGCGGTGTGTCCTCGTTGGTATCGGTGAGTTTCTCCAGACTGACATTCACTGAAGATGCTCTCCTGAAAAACAAATGGGGCTGATTCCTAATCCTTATCTAGACTATAAAAACATAGCATTATTAAATCAAACTCTCAAAAGAGAACTATTTCTGACTTTAATAACCCGAAATTTGTAAATATGTTCTCTAACTAGAAGCCATAAATCAATATATTTCAATCTTTACTTTAAATTTATGTATTTAGAAAACTCTGTGTACAATAAAAAGAACTGCATGATCAGAAGACAAAGCCAAAAATTCATTGCTAATTAGTCCACAACTAAAATAATCTCACTAATTCAGACTTCAGGAGAAAACAGTTATATTACAGGAGACTTTACTGTTCTATTCATGAGTTTCAAAGTGATAAAAAGCTTGCACCGTTACCAATTAAAAAATAAAATCTTTTGAAAGTTGAAACTAATGCAGTGTTTCCCGTTAAAAGAGGAGACTACAGTGGCCCCCAAAGTATAAAATTCTCCTATATAGTCTGAACTATACAGAAAATCTCACTTTGTTGCTTAATGTATACTACTAAAATATATGTATGTATGTATACCATTAAAAAAGACTGCTTGAATATGAAAAACATGCAATAAGTGACATTTACATTCCAAAAATTGTTTAAAAAATGCTCTTGACGGTTACTTTATACTGTACCTCGGTGCTTCTATGAACTGAGAAAATCTGATTTTCCTATGCAGCTCCATGGTTTTAGAATCATTTACAGAAAGATCTTAAGGTGGAATCTATGGTGTCACTTGATAAGTTCAAGAAAACTGTAAAAAGGTGACTGAGACATGTATGTTTTTCTTGTGAGATTATATAGTGTGAAATTTTGTAATTTTACAGTTTTGTTTGATTGTGTTGCTGTTAACTTGGCCAGGTCTATCTTGAAAAAGAGATTCTCAATCTCAATGGGACCTCCTAATTACATAAAGGCAAAATAAAGAAAACACTATTAATAAAGAAAGTATATGTGGCACCATAGTCAGAAGGAAATCAATGGGAAGCACTGTCATAAATAAGGAAATGTGTTCTAGCATCAGATCTGAGCCCGGCCCTCACCCTGAGTCCTCGGAGTCAGATGAAGCTGAGTCCTGGTTCTGGAGCTTCCTGATCCACAGCAGCTGCAGCTCTTTATTGTGAGCAGCAAACATGTACTGGCTCCTGTCCTCCAGACTGTAGAGACAGAGGAGAGGAGGAGCGCACAATAAACATGTGTCTGGTTTGTCATTGTTTAAAGATAAAACACATATAAAAAAGAGCTGGGTATTATAGGCAGTCAATGTAACATTCACTGTTTCTATGGGCTTATACGTTTTAGAGACTATTTTACTATGGCCTGTTCAGCACTTTGATCAACTGCAGTTGTTTTTAAAATGTGCTATAGAAACAGTTTGACTCGACAGTCTTTAAGAAGCTCTGTGTCCTGTTAGAGCCGCTGAGCCTGGTTCTAAATATGAAACCTAAAGCTTTATACTACACAATTTAACAGACCCTGAGTCTAAAGGTGAATCTCTTACATGAGTTTGAACGTGTGGTCTTTTCTTCTGTAGTACACGTTTTCTCTGCACACAGCTCCTCTCAGGTTGATAGGGGGCCACCTGGAGGTCCCCTGTGGATGGGCATCAGTATTAAACATATATGATAATTTTATAATGGAAAACTGAGAGTGAAGTTTGAGCAGTTACCTCAGCGGCAGCTTCTTTATCATGGAACAGTCTCAGAGTGTCAGACTCCAGAACAGCAAACACCTGTTCCCAGTGATCCAGCTGTGGGACATTTACATTTTTCATTATATTCAAGTTAATGTTTTGACCCAAAGCTCAGCCTGGGACTGTAAGAAACTGCAGTGATTCTGTGAACTGTGTTTGATGTGTCCTTCTCACCTTTCGTTTAAGCTCTAGCGCCCCCTGCATCCGGATCTTCTGCCCACAGCTCACCTAAAGAGACATAGGTTAAGGTCCTAGCATGTGTGTGTGTTTGTATCTGTAGTGATCTAAAGGTCTTATATTACACTTAATGGATTATTGTGAGCTTTAAACCATGTTATAATGTTCTTACCTCATCAAAAATAGACCTGGAGTTGTGTTTTGTTTCATTCACACATATTTGAGTAGTCCTGATTTATTAATCTGTGTACATCTCCTAAAATCAAAACGCTCTATTCCACTTTGTGATGTCATGTAGTCAGTGTTGGGGAGTAACAGATTATATGTACCAGAGTTATGTAATCGGAGTACTAATTATGAGTAACTGTATTCGATTACAGTTACTGAGTGAGTGGTAATTGGATTACAGCTGCTTGTTGAAATAAATGGATTATAGGGCAGTATTTTCCTGTTTTTACATTTTGAGCTATATCCCCCCTTTGAGCTATAAACCAGGTCTAAAACCAGGTCTAAACTAGATCTAAACCAGGTCTAAATCCAGGTCTAAACTAGGACTAAACCAGGTCTAAACTAGATCTAAACCAGTCTAAACTAGGACTAAACCAGGTCTAAAATCAAGTCTAAACCAGAATAATCTTGGTCTAAAACCAGGTCTAAACAAGATCTAACCCCGGTCTAAAATCAGGTATAAACTAGATCTAAACCAGATCTAAACCAGGTCTAAAACCAGGTCTAAAACCAGGTCTAAACTAGATCTAAACCAGGACTAAAACACGACTAAAACCAGGTCTAAACCAGGACGAAACCATGTGTAAACCAGGACTACACCAGGACTAAAACCAGGACTAAACCAGGACTAAAACCAGAACTAAACCAGGATTTAACAGGACTACACCATGCCGTGCGGACCGTGTCTCCTCCTCTTCTATCAGTAATATTTTTAATATGGTTAAGGAAAGTCTGGGCTTTTTATTTTCTTTTAGCAGACAAAATATCTTATGTGAAGATTTCCTCATCTTTGCTACTCTACAGCAAACCAAGTAATCCAAAGTATTCAGACTACGCTTCTCACCTTAAATAACTTCATGGATTACATTACAAACTACATTTTGGGGTATGTAATCTGTAATCTGTAGGGGAATACATTTTAAAAGTAACCTTCCCAACACTGGATGTAGTGGTAGTTTTCAATTTAATAGCTACCTTTTATCTTCCCTCAATCAGTACTATAGAGAGAAGCAATTCCAGGGCTCAAATTATCCAAATGATTCTACTGAGTTTAAAAACACAGAGGAGCACTTCCCGTATTACCACATGATATCATAAGGTGAGGTTTGAGAAAAGAACACAGCCTAAATATGCAGAGTTGGTGTGTTAAACATGTGAATGAAACAAAATACAAATCAGGTATGATTCTGATGAGGAAACAACATGGATCTGAAAATAGCATAATATGGGCCCTTTAATATTCACACATCTTAAACTTACCTCTACATCTTCTGGGGGCAGACTTTCAGATTTCTTCTCTTCCTGTAAAGTGGGCGGGGTTTCAGAATCTTGCACTGTGACTGACTCCGATTCTTCTTCAACGACAGTGAACTCCGCTCTTCTTAGGGCCATCTCTAGAGGACTTTGAGGAGGGGGAGGAGGGGCTACAGAAGGAGGAGTGAGTTTTCTGACAAATGCAGGTGAATCCTGCTTAATCGCTTCAGATGCAGCGTGTTGGCTGGACTCTGCAGAAACAACGCGAGGCTTAGGAGCTAGAGGAGGTTTGACTTTAGCTTCTGTAGTTGGAGATTTTGGAGATTCTGGAGGTTTGGGTGAAGATGGTGGAGGAGACTCTTCACTGGGCTCAGATCTGTAGCTCCTATATCGACTGGTACGTGCTTGTGCTGTAGTTATTTGATAGCTCTCCTCCTCTTTGCTGTGGTCAGACAGAGCTGTGTTCCTCATGTTGTTATCCCTGGATCTAGGTCTAAACCTGGGCGGAGACTCTGATGAGGACAAAACAGATGAAGATTTTGGAGATTCTGGAGGTTTGGGTGAAGATGGTGGAGTAGACTCTTCACTGGGCTCAGATCTGTAGCTCCTATATCGACTGGTACGTGCTTGTGCTGTGGGTGTTTGATAGCTCTCCTCCTCTTTGTTATAGTCAGACAGGGCTGTGTTCCTCATGTTGTTATCCCTGGATCTAGGTCTAAACCTGGGCGGAGACTCTGATGAGGACAAAATAGATGAAGATTTTGGCGATTCTGGAGGTTTGGGTGAAGATGGTACGGTAGACTCTTCACTGGGCTCAGATCTGTAGCTCCTATATCGGCTGGTGCGTGCTTGTGCTGTGGGTGTTTGATAGGTCTCCTCCTCTTTGCTGTGGTCAGATAGAGCTGTGTTCCTCATGTTTATATCCCTTGATCTGGGTCTAAACTTGGGGTGAGACTCTGGTGAGGACGAAACGGCTGGAGATGCCTGATGTTTTGATAATGAGGATGCAGTGTCCTCCTGTAGCTTTGATGTGAACCTTCGAGATGTTTCTTCATCCTTGGTGCTGTGCTCAGACAGAGAGAACGGTTGTGCTCTTGGTCTGGTTGGAGATTGTGGTGAGGCTAGAGTTTTGTCCATCTTCTCCTCCCTGCTGCTGTTCACAGATGAAGTTGTGGTCTGGAGGTGTACACTATATTTTGGATACGCTTTGTAGTCAGTCTCCTCTCTGCTGCTGTGGTCAGATAGAGCTGTGGTTCTGTCTCTCTGATGGTCAGATGGTGTGGTATGGAGGTCTCTATAGGATGAGCGTACAGTAGATTTTGTAGACGATGAGCTATCTGTCTCATCTCTGTTGCTGTCGTCAGATGGATCAGTGGTCCAGGTGTTTCTGAAGGAGGACCCAGTCTTGAGTTTAGGGTCAGAAGGTTTTCTCTTCAGAGACGAGACTCTCACTGGAGCTTTCCTGTCAGAGACGTCCTCATTCCTCATAATCTGCAGTCGTTTCTCCCTCTGCAAAAAGGCAGAAGAATTACACGACCAGTTTCTTTTTGATTCCATGATTATTTACATTGTAATCTCACTGAAGGCATCAAAATGAATGACACGACGAATGTAGCAAATAAAAAATAACTCAAAACTTGTTTTAAATAAAAAAAAAAAATAGCCTGTAGCCTTTGCTTTGAAAACTGGTTTGCACTTTTGACATTTCTTGACCCTGACAAGGCACAGCTGTGAAGTGAAAACTATTTCAGGAGACTTCATCAAGACACTCATTGAAAGAAGGCAAAAGCAGTGCTGTCAACAAAGGGTGGCCACTTTGTGCATTTTAACATATATATATTTTAAAAGTAGTTTTAACTTTTTTTTACTACATAATTCCATACATCTCCCAAATATTTGATCCAGGCCATTTTTCAAACCATTTGATAACATCATGTGGCAATGAGATGAAATTCAAACCTGAGTGATCTTCTTCTGCAGAGTATTGAAGCGGTCATTCTGAGCCTGGATCATTGCCTCCAGGTCCTCCTGCCTCTTCAGCAGCTCCAGCACGTCAGACACACAATCCTGAAAAGCACAGCAACAATCAAAACTGAACCAGGTCTAAAACAACTCTAGATCAGGTCTACACCAGGTCTAATCTGGGCTAAACCAGGTTTAAACTAAGGCTGAACCAAAGCTAAACCAAGATTAAACTAAGAAAGGAATGAAATATGAGGTAAACACCATGTCTAAACCACCAACTGATCCTAAAACAAGAGAGACTCAAGAGGAACATATCACTCCCTCCTCAGGTCTGACCCTGAAGTCTAGTCCTGCTTTAGTTCTAGTTCAGATCTTTCCCTGTAATCCTGGGTCTGGTCTAGACCCAGTCTAGTCCTGCTTTAGTTGTATCCCTTGTCTCACCACGTAGGCCTGGTTTAGTTCTAGCTCTGGTCTCACACTGTAGTACTGGTTTAGCTCTAGTCCTGGGGGCGCTTTATAAAGCTTGCTTACGCACAAATCCTTGTGTACGAGGTCTCTACGCCAACGGCGGGATTTATGAAACTCGTCCTAAGCGCAGTGCTTTGCTTAACTCTACGCCAACTCGGGACTTCCCATAAGTCGCAAAGTCTGGAGACACGGGGAAAAAGCGGCACTCACGGAGAGGAGCCAGAAATGAACAGAGTTTGAGGAACAGTTTGTTCAGGAACTTAACAGAAAATCAACGTATATAAAAGAATTACCTTCAGATTTGTGCATTTAAATGTTTGGTTAGCCAAAACACGCAGAAGGGCTGTTTATTCCACTCATTATTCTCCACAATACTCTACACCTGAAACTCATGCACGAGCGCGACCACGTTCCCAGTGTAGCGCAGGGTCTCCCACAGTCCGCACCGTGACCATAGACTTCTATAGAACACAGTCTGTGGCTGTGACCCAACACAGAGGACGAAATAATGACTGGACCTGAGAGAAAACTCTTCCCTTGGACACAGCTGGAGCTAGGCTTTGGTTTAATGAGGCACTGGGATTAAACGCAACTTTAACACTTTTATTTTTGTATTTATGCGCCGAGCGCCAGAGTGGCCCAAGTCTGCCCACGACACAAAGCCTACTGTCCGAACCTGACCCTAACCCTAAATATTCCCTATGTTCTTGTGTAATGGGGAGCTCTTGCACATGAGAGCTTGCTCTCTGACAGTATGAAGAACAGACTAATGCCTGTGCCCACCCCGACCCAGGCCAGCGCACTCACAGAGGTCAGACCCAGTCCCATGCACTCACAGAGGTCAGACCCAGTCCCATGCACTCACAGAGGTCAGACCTAGGCCTGCGCACTCACAGAGGTCAGACCCAGTCCAACGCACTCACAGAGGTAAGCAGTTTGGAGTTTTAGTGGCAGAATAACAGCACATGTGTCTGATGTGTTTCGTGTCAAATCTGTGTCCACGTATCCTCGTATCCCTCCCTCGCTCCTTTCGCTCTCCAGGGGAGGGCATCTGAATCTCTTGCACGCACTCATAATTTGACCATTCAGATCACTGCGTGCACGTATCTACATTATATGCATATATATATACATATATATATATATATACAGGGCCAGTCCGCACACACTTCACAGGCAGACTTAAAAATATAACGATAAAACTCTTGAAACAGCAAGAAAACATACTGGCTTACTGCAAAGATGTGCTGCCTAAATATTATGAAATATTATTAAATGAACAGATGAGTCGTTGTTGTCACTTTTACTTTTGTATTTATATGTTAAAGCTTGTTTAAATCTTTGACATGACCGCATGGTACTGTGTGGGGCATCCCCCTCCCTCTCTGTTCCGCGTGTCTCAAACCCACTGATTATCAGCTCATGTTTAGGGAAATCTCATTCACCAGTCACTTTACATGCTCCTTTTATGGTGAGGACGCACGCCTCTCGTGGCTACTAGGCGTACGCACTAGCTTATGACAACTCTTGCACAGTTTTTTATAAATGAGGCCCCTGGTCTTACCCCGTAGTCCTGTGACGTGAGCGCCCTCTCATGGCTGCTGAGCCAGCGTTCGGCCTGCTCCAGCTCTCTCCTCAGGACAAACATCTCACGCTCTTCTTCATAAAATACTCTGAGCTCCTCCCAAAGAGAGATCAGCTGATCCTGCAACAGCTGCAGCTCCGTCAACCGAGTCTCCACCTGGAAATATGAACAGAGCCTCCGCCCTCAACATCCATACACAAACTCCTCCACCTCAAACATGCAAGGCTAACACAAGAACTGTGTGAGGAGCAGTAGCAGTATAGTATCAGTAGAAGTAGAAGTATTAGTAGTATTAGTAGCAGTAGAAGTAGGAGTAGTAGTAGTCATAGTAGTACCAGTAGAAGTAGCAGTAGTAGTAGTAGCAGTAGTAGCAGTAGAAGTAGGAGTAGTAGTAGTCATAGTAGTACCAGTAGAAGTAGCAGTAGTAGTAGTAGCAGTAGTAGCAGCAACAGCAGTAGCAGTATCAGTAGTAGTAGTAGTGGTTGTGGCAGCAGTAGCAGTAGAAGCAGTAGTACCAGTAGAAGTAGCAGTAGTAGTAGTAGCAGCTGCAGTAGTAATATCAGTAGTAGTAGCAGTAGAACTAGTAGTCGTAGTAGTAGTAGTAGTAGCAGTAGTAGTAGTATTAGTATGTGTTACCTCAGCAGACATGAAGCCTCCGTGTTGCAGTAGCCTCCTCCCCTCCTCTGTCAGTGCGTCGCTCTTACTCATCTGACGGTCGATTTGCACACGTCTCTCTGCGTGTTTCCTGATCAGCTGATCCAGGTCTGATCCTGAGACCACCTGTGCCTCAGCTCTGAGCAGAGACAGCATCTGCCTCTGCCACGACCTGCAACACAACACTATGTAGTCTGGACTGAAATAAACCAGTTACAATCTGCAACAGAACAAACAGTAATTAGACTGGACTAAGAAGAACCCGGGAGTGTGAACCTGTCAGAGAGCGTCTGTGCTTCAGCCCTGGTGCAGTGTTTCTTTTATAATACAGTGTATCCTTAGGTTTCGTAGATTGGGTTAGATCAGTGGCTCACTAACTTTTCACCCCAAGTACTACAAAAGAAAAGGTTTGGCTTTTTGAATACCACCAAATCTAAACCAGGCCTATAACAGGACTATTCCAGGTGTAAGCTCGGGACTGCATAATGTCCACAGCAGTTCTAAGCAAGAAATTATCCAAAGGGGGGTAAAAAAAAATTGATAAAATGAACTCTAAATGAGGTAAACCCAGAAAACTGAAGAGTTCCAAGTCCCACCTAAAGGAGTTCACACATTCACAGTTTGAGAAACACTGGGTTAGATGTACATGATCTGATTGCTCTGCTCCATGAAGCTCCAGACCTCCTGAGTCCTCTCCAGCTTCTCTCTCTTGGTCTAGTCCTTAGTGTCACATTGATAACAGTGCAGTGTATAGATTAGGGTTAGATTAGGTTTGAGTTAGACATACATGATCTGGTTGCTCTGGTCCATGAACCTCCACACCTCCTGGGCCCTCTCCAGCTTCACTCTCCTGGTGGAGGCTTTAAGCTCCAAGCTGTTCCAGTGTTCCTCTAGCTCCTTCAGTCTCTGCTCCACAGAGCACTGCACTGCGGGCTGTCGGCGAATCAGAGCGCGACCCTCGGTTCTAGAGCGGCTCACCTCCTCAGAGATCAGGCCCAAGTCTCTCTGAACAACAAGCAGTTTTGAGAATATCTTTTCCAGTAGGGACTTCCTCTTTGGTGTCACACATACACATTTATATAAAGAAGCTCCATTATAAATCCAAGCACACCACACACCACAACAGCCTTGGTAATTGAAGATGGAAAAAAGGTGAAAATGTGTCAGTAAATATGTGAGCACGAGTGACCATTGACTCTCGCTCCTGCCTGAGGCTTTCCACAGAATACAGACATATGTGGGGCTGTTACCTCCAGAGTCTGGTGTTGTCTGAACAGAGTCTGCACAGAGAGCAGGTCCTGATCTGGATCTTCAGAGTCTAGGACCAGGTCTTTCTCTGCCATCCAGCCCTTCAGCTCCTCTGCGTCGTGGTTAAACTGGTGAACCTCTCGAGCCAAACGTAACTTCTGAAATTAGAAAGAGACATTTATAGTGGTCATATTCACAGCATCACCACGTACTTAGGCTCATGTGATTTCTCTCTCAGTGACATGTGACCTGTTCTCTGGTGGTTAGCGCACTGCTTAGCTCCTCCCACACACGGCTGATAATCTCATCCCTGTTTCGGGCCTGAGCGTCCCTCTGAAGCCCCCGGGCAAGCTGTTGGACCTCAGAGAGACGACTGCGGCCGAGAGAAGACACCTCAGCCATCAGGGACTCCAGCTTCTTCTGAAGAACCTACAGCAGATACAACACACACACTCATGGTAACGTCTACAGGATGCAAGTAGGACTGTCATAATAATTACTATATCGGCTTATCATTCAATATATGACACATGAAAAAGTAATCATGTGTACTTTTTCTTTGGGGAACTTTTTGCTATTGTTCTGTACAAGTTTTGAGCTGTACATGACTGAATTATGAACTTCTATGACTTATTACAGATGCAAGCTAACTAACTTTTTTAACAATAACAATAATTTAGAATAGGGATAATTCTGCTTTATGGCCTGGGTTCATTTATCTTATATATTTACTTCAACAATATATCACTCTTCAAAATTTGTCATGGTGACACAACTAGACACTAGGACAAGTCTGTATATTTTTCTGTTTTAGTAGCATTAAAATATGTAGTTGTCTAACCTCACTCTCATAGCTTCTCAAGTTGTAAACTTTATATTCACAGAATTTGCCAGCTTGAGTTCAGTGGTGGTTATGCTTCTGTCTGCTTTTCTGGACATGTTTATGAATTCACAGAGCTGACTATTCAAACCTCTACTCCTTCGAGGTCCTGCCCACAGTCCTCAGACTCAGCTAGGCTCTTCTTGTTGGTCAGCCACGTTTGTAGTTCTTTCGCCTCTCGGTCATATGCGTAAAGGCGGAGCTGGTCTGACAGAGCATTTCGACGAGACGAGGAGAGACGCAGGAGAGACTCAAACATGTCCACCATCACAGGGAGAGATTCAGCCACCAGGCGGCTACAGAGAGGACACACAGTTTAATCCTGCTTTACTTCCGCTTCAGTCCTGCTTCAATCCAGCTTTAGTCCTGCTTTAGTCCTGCTTTAGTCCTGTTTTGATCTTGTTTTAGTCCTGTTTTGATCTTGCTTTAGTCCTGTTTTGATCTTGCTTTAGTCCTGTTTTAATGTTGCTTTAGTCCTGTTTTAGTCCTGTTTTAATCTTGCATTAGTTCTGCTTTAATCTTGCTTTATTTCTGTTTTAGAGCTGTTTACCTGTTGGGATGCCTGAGGCCCTCTAGTTCGGCTCCTGTTTGTTGCAGCTTGGACACAGTCCTGCGTTGGTTCTCGAGCTCAGAGTCCACAGTGTCCAGTGCTTTGAGTAAGGCCTGTGTGGTATCCTCGTCTCTGCCACAGTCTGAACTGTCCAGGATTGAGCGCTGCTCTTTCAGACGCTCCTCCAGCTCTGACACCTGACACACGGTACACATGAACAGGACTGTCACAAAAACACTCTATTGACTTTTCATACAATACATGATAGATGGAACATTTTGTTTTTGACAGCAGGGCTGTGTGGGCTCTAGGTTTGTCTCTATTGATATTTTGCAGTGACATCACGTAGTGGGTGTTCAACATGTATCTCTATTGATGGAATTTTCAACAGTTACCATGGTGACAAAATACAAACTTTAGCAAACACTGATAAAAAAGGTTTGAAGACAAACTGAAACTCAAGAAAAAATACAAAATTGATTTAAAAACACATTTTCAGGAGCCTGTGATCAATACAAGCCTCCACGGTCCTGTTTAGATGTTAGGGTTAGATTTAATTTTCAATTAAAAAAAGGGTAGAGAGTAACTGAAAAACTGTAGTTCCAACCAAGTCAGCACTTTCTGGTCAGACTGTGTTAATAGTGCTTTCAGTTAGCTTCACACCCCCAGGGAATGTTGATGACAAATACTGCAAAGTATCAATTGTGTCTTTAACCCTGTCATTACTGTTACCTTAAACCTGAAGTGATGGACAGGTCTCTATACACTACAGTGTGTTTTCATGACTGTTACCTGCCCCAGGAAGCTGTGGATGCGCAAAGCCTCCTGCAGGAGCTTTTCTCTTCTCTGAGCGTCGACTTTCAGCTGCTCATGGAGACGCTTAAGTTCATCCAGACGCTCTCGAACATCATGAGAGGCAAAGTGCCGCGCCCTGACCTAGACACACAGCACAGGGACATCAGCACAGGTGAGGGGGAGGAGGGCCTAAGACACAGGTGGAAGGGAGGAGGGTCTAGTGCACAAGTGAGAGGAGGGGCTAGTACACAGGTAAGAAGAAAGGGGGCTATACAGCAGTCCCAGAGAGCACCCTCACACACACAGACAGTGGAGCTCACCAGGTTACGGCCCGTCTCCTCAATAGACTTGACTGAGGCAGAGTGACTGGACAGCTCCTGCATCAGAGACTATAAAAAAAAAAAAAAAAAAATATATATATATATATATATATATAAAGAATATAAAATATAAAAAAAAATAGCATTAGGGATTAAAAGAAAAAAAAACTGTTAAAACTCATAAACATCATGGAGGACAGTGTGTGCCAGACCTGATGCTTAGTCTGCAGTTGCTGGGTGGAGCTCTGTGTGTTACCCAGCTCGGGGCTGCTGACACTGGGCAGAGCCTCTCTGATCCAGGCCTCCTCCAGCTCCATGTCTCTCTGGAACTGGAACAGACTGCGCCAGGCCTCCAAAGTCTCCCTGCGCCTCAGCATGGGCTCACTTAGGCCGTTGTACCTACAAGGACCCATATCATGTCTTTACACATCTGAATTGGTTATTTGGCTATTTATATTATAATACTAGAAATACTGCACTTTTGATCAACTTTGTTTCTTATCACTGCAGAGAAAATCTTTGGTGTCTCCACACTTCATATTAAAGGCACATTAAAAGTCTTATATTACAAAATTACAAAACTGACTCTTGTGAACTTTAAGCCATGTTATAAGGCTGTTATGTCATCAGAAACGTGCCTGGACTTGTATTTGTTTCATTCACACATGTTTGAGTATCCTTGGCATGTCATGTAGTGGAAATGTTCAAGTTAACAGCTACCTTTTACCTTCTGCTCAGTGGAAAATGGCAATTCCAGAGTTGAAATTATTCAAATGATTCTAGTGAAGGTGTGTGGAGTTTAAAAACACAGCTAAGCTCTTCCTGTATTACCACATCACATCACAAGGTATTTTCTGTTTGAGAGTAGAAGTAACTAGCCTAACTTAAATATGCAGGGTTTGTATGTTAAATATGTGTGAATAAAACAACATAACTATGTGTATGGTATGTTTTTGATGCAGAAACAACATTATGACAAAGATCAGAAAAGATCAGAGGTGCACTTGAGAATCTCTCAGGAGACAAAGGTTGAGGGTCAAACCTCTTGATGGTCAGGGCCACTCTGCTCTGGATCTCCTCGGCCATGAAGTTTCCCTGAGACTGGAGACTCTTCGCAGTCTCCAACAAAGTCTGGACAAGAAATATATTCAATCATTAAAACTAATGCAGTCTTTGATTTTTATTAGTTAACTTTGTTGCATGTTGACTTTAAATCATCCGTCTGAATTTAGTGGCTTTCAAAAATTATTGTCTCCTCATCACAAACAGACCTGGAATTGTGTTTTCTTTCATTCACGCATGTTTAACACATAAACCTTGAATATTTTGAGTTCTTCTTTCAAACTGAAAACACTCTGTTTCACCTTGTGATGTCATGTGGTAATACAGGAAGTGGTGTTTGGTGTTCTTAAACTTCGTACACCTTCTTTAGAATTTCTTGATTGATTTCCTCAAATTGCCTCAAAAGTAAAGCTAAAAGATAGATTCCAAACTGAACAGAGCATTCGGAGCTTTGGAGATGTAGACAGATTAATAATAAAGGGTTACTTAAACATGTGTGAATGAAACAAAACACAACTGCAGGTCTGTTTTTAATGTTTTTGAATGAAACATGGCAATATTCAAATGATAAAATAATGATCCACAGAACTATAGAGTAGATACAAGCACAATATGTGTTCTTTATACAATACGAAGGCCTAAAACATGATCTTGTGCCCCACCTGCAGTCTGTCCCGTAGCCCATCCACTTCCTGCTCCAGCCCCTGCAGAGTCTTTAAGAGCCGAGTCACAGATGGCAGATCAGAGCCACAGTCTTCACTGGACACGCCCCTCTCCACTGACTCTACCCTCTGCTCCATGTCATCAAGGCTACGCTCAAACTGTAACGCCTGAGAAGTTAGAAATGCATTTGTGTTTGTGTTAATACTAAAATTTAACATTATTTCTATACCAGGGAATAAAATTGATACTCATTGCCAATTTTGATATCGCAATAACAAAAATCTCTGTTTCTTTAGGCAATACAATGTGTTTTTCATCATTAACACATTAAATAATTACATAATAAAGACATTAAATAATAACACTTTATGTGTATCCATGTGGTCTTAAACTTGTTCAAGCAAGAGATCTTTCTAAAACTGCAAGCATACAACAAGATGGATTCTGGGGATAATTTTAAGTTTACAAATTCAGGAGAATCCATCTTGGGAGACTTGGAAGACCAATAACAGAGCAGCATTCAGATTTGTGAGGAAGCCAGAGGTGAATAATGTCTCTCATATCATCCTGGAGTGAGCAGATTACTAAAATTGTTCAAGAACAGTCAAAGTTTGTCTTGTTAATGTAATTAATTTATTTTAGTATCGATACTTGCTCAAATGAGTATCTAACTTCAATATTACTTTTGGCATGGAGTGGTATGGAGTTTTGACAACTCTTATGTGTCATAACAGCTATTTAACCTCACATCCCTGCTGAAATGTACTGAATATCGGTTACTGCAGAGTTGTTTATACCTGGTAGGCCTCCTGTAGTCGGCTCTTTTTCTCTTTACAGTTATGGAGCAGAGATTCCCAGTTTTCTGACATTTCTCTGAGTTTGGGACCAACTTTAACCTCAGCAGAACGACTCTCATCCATCAACTTCTGACCCTCCTGAGACAAGCACAACAGTAAGAATTAAAATCAGACAAGCACTGTGGGAGTGGACAAAACAGGACAATTCAACCTGGAATAAAACTAAACTGAAAGTCTGCGCCAAGACTAGGTCTACCTCAGGTCTAACTAAACCAGGTCTAAACCAGGTCAAACCCAAGTCTAATGCAGTACTAAACCCGGACTAAACCAGGTCTAATCTAAATTTAACCCAGTACTAAACCCGGACTAAACCAGGTCTGAACCAGGTCTAACCCAGGTCTAATCCAGTACTAAACCCGGACTAAACCAGGTCTAATCCAGGTCTAACCCAGGTCTAATCCAGTACTAAACCCGGACTAAACCAGGTCTAATCCAGGTCAAACCCAAGTCTAATGCAGTACTAAACCCGGACTAAACCAGGTCTAATCTAAATTTAACCCAGTACTAAACCCGGACTAAACCAGGTCTGAACCAGGTCTAACCCAGGTCTAATCCAGTACTAAACCCGGACTAAACCAGGTCTAATCCAGGTCTAAACAAGGACTAAACCAGGACTATACCAGGACTAATTCATGTCTAAACAAGGAGTAAACTAGGACTAATTAAGGCCTAAACAAGGTCTAAACCAAGTCTAAACCAGGACTAAAACAGACGTAATTTAGGTATAATTCAGGATTTAACAAGGACTAAACCAAGACAAAACCAGTTTTAAATTTGGTCCTACCTTGCTGAGATTGTCCAGTTGGTATCGGTTGGCCAGGACTTCGCTCTCAAAGCTCTGGTGCTTGAGAAGTTTGGCCTGGAGGTTGGTTGGTTCCCTCCAGTTTTCATCCAGAGCCACAGCGTTGCGTTCAGACAGCCACACTCCAAACTGAGGCAGGTACCGGACAGAGACAAGGATTTAAGACAATAATATAAAGCACAAATATACGTTGAATAGGAAATAAGCCTTAACAGACCTGATAAGCATTGGACAGAAATTGCTGCAGCTGAAGAGCCTGCTCCAGATCTCTGTGACGAGTTCTGCTTCTCTTCTGAAGTTCACTGTGTCTGTTCATAGCACACAACACTACCGTCATGTCTGTGTTTACTTCTGGTTCAGTCCTGGTTCAGTCCTGTTTCATTCTTTGTTCTGACCTGCTTTAGTCCTGGTTCAGTTCTGGTTAAATCCTGCTATAATCCTGTTTTAATCCTGGTTTCTTTACCTGTGTTTGAGTGCATTGCTCTTCTCTCTGATGGTCTGTGAGCTCTGGTGCTGGGTTTGGATCATGTCTTTGGCCTGAGCTTCCACCTGCTGCAGCCGATGGACCTGAGTCTCCAACTCCTCCTCAAACTGAGCATGTTTCCTTAGCAGAACCTCCACCTCTGCAACAGAGCCCTGAAACAGAACCTCCACTTCAGACGGGTGTTTACCTATATTCCCACTATTCTATATCTCCATATCCCAATGTTCTAACATTTCTTAGAGATTATTGAAAAAAGGCACTATTTTCCCGCAGCCTTGTTTTGTCACATTTTAAGGATCCATGATCCACAATCTTATCCTAGTCCTAACATTAACCTTACAACACAGTCCTAAACTTATGCATTACCTTAAAACAAGGTCCTAACCTTTACTACTTCCCAACAACACAAGTTCATCTAACCTTAACAAATTGTAAAATGTTCCTACACTGTTGTAACAAAAGCACGTGGAACATAGAGCCCTTTTGTCACAATTCTCTGAGCTCACTCCCTCAGACACTGAGCTCTGAAATAGAAAATCCTCATTCACACTCAGTGTATGATCATAAGATTGGTTTATCTTTAGTAACATGCAAAAGGTCTTTACCCCTAGGTCATGGTTGGACAGAAACGCCTCCTTGTTGCTCAGCCACAGCTCACACTGCTCCACTGACGACAGGAACATCTGAGCAGGACACAAACACGATCAGCTTCACACATTTAAATTAATCAATTGCAATATTTAACCCTAAACTCACCTGTAAAGTCCGAGCCTGCTCTAGGACCAGACGGTGTTTAGTCCAGGTCTCCTCCAGGTCTGCTTTAGCTTGGTCCAGCTGGTCCAGCTCTCTTGATCTCAGATTTAGACTCATGTCCAGACTTGATCAGGCCTGACCCAAAGTCCTTCACAGAGTCTATGCGCTCACAGCGAGCATCGATCTCTGTCTACAGAAAGTGCAGAAACAGAGGTTTAGGCAAAAAGGACAAGGGACTCTGAACAAGTGCTACAGACAAGTTACAGACGGGTGCTACAGACAGGTGCTACAGACAAGCTAAAGACAGATCACAGGTTACATAGAGACTGGAGTGTTTAAGTAGTATGTACCCTCCAGTCTGTGTGCTCAGTAAGGAGTCGCTCTGCCTCCTCTGCGCTCTCAGGGGCCCCTCTGTGCTCCATGTCTCGGCTACATTTCCCACACCAGTCCAACAGGAGGCGCTGGTTGGCCTTAAAGAGCTGCAGCTGGTGGGCTTCCTGTAGACGCTCCTTTCTGTATGTAAAACATAAAAACTCAGCATCAGCCCAGAACACAAGACAACATCTGTATGTTTAATTGTTGCTGCTACTGAAATGAGTCTCAATCGATCTCCATTTCTCTGAGCCTAATACACATGGAAACATCTCAACTCCTCCTGTCTGATTTAAACAGGTTCAATCCCCGTGTTTTGGGAGTCCCTGACTCTGCCTAACCCCTCACCTGTGAGACACTACCTGTCTCTCAGCAGTCAGTCTCCGGTCTCTCACCTGTTTGTCACATGGTGTCTCAGGTCCTTCACAGTCTTCTGTGTCTCCCGGAGTTTGTCCTTCAGTTTGTCTTTAAGGACAGAGCTGCTCTTCAGCTGAGAGTTCACCTCTTGCTCCAGTGTCTGACCACAAAAGTCACAAAAAATCAGTTATTTTCACATTTTACTGTTATCTTATAAATTATAATATTATAATATATTTTATTTTACTATTTATATTATAGTACATATAAGGTTATCTCATCAGGACTGGCTCTAACTGATAATGTGTCAAGCACAACTTTCATTGGACAAAACAAAAAACAGCCACAAAGCAAATTCCACAGTAATAAAATTGTACAATAATGAAATGCTTTAGCATCTTCAAATATAGTAATGTTTATGTTGCCACAGTGATTTTAAGCACAAATAGTTCAGTGTCTCACCCATAGACTGGATATAAATGGACATAGCTAACCTGCTAGCTGTTCATGGGGGCGCTTCCGACTCCGTCAACTCCAACTGACTTTACATTTATTATTTTTCACCCTTCTCTTTGTAACTGCTGCAGTGAGCCTTGTCATATTGGTCTTAAAATGTTCACATTAACCTGCTCTACAACATCCTGGGTTTTTTTTTCCACAATTTTGTCTGTAAATAAATTCCTATTCCTAATATGGAACTCAGCTCCAAATTTACCCCTATAACTGCCAGCTGTGGTGAGCTTCATTTGACTCATGCTGTGACTGATGTCACACTCCCTCAGTTCACTTCTTTAGTCTATGGTCTGACCTGAGCTCTCTCTAGGATGACTTGAGTCTCTCTCTCTGTCTCTTCGTGTCGTCGGATCAGATTCTCCACAGTCTCCACATCAGAGCCACAGCCCTGACCCTGGACCAGCAGAATCTGGACACAAGACCAACAAGAGGTTTAAACAAGACCCAACACAATGTGAGACACAGTATCTGAGTGTGTTTATGTACAAATCTACTCATTTAAATGTGAAGTATGTTCTCCCTCCCTTCTGGGTCAATTTATATGTAGTGTTTGATGCTTGAACAAAGTAGTTGTTTTCTTGACAATGTACAGAATCTTGAGTCTTCTCCTATAAATGCACAATTGATACTTTGCAGCTGATGTCATCAGTTTTCGCTGGAAGGGGGTGCTAACTGTAAGAACTGTTCTATCTGAGGCTTGTAAGACTTTAATCTGAGGATTATTTTAATACAATCTGACCAGAAAGAGCTGGTTTAGCTTGAACTGCAACAGGTGAGATGATTTGAAACTTAGCTCAGATCTTGAGATTTTTAGCTCTGATAAAGTCTACCTACACAGTTTGAAGAGTTACCTTCTCACTGGCTCTGTCCCGGAGCTCCTCTAACTCCCTGATGAGACCATGCACCACCAGCGCCCCCTGCAGTTTCTCCTTGTACTCGCTGAGGTCCACATGGAACTTGCTCCACCTGTGAATCAGGTGTGAAAGATCATAAATCATAAGTATATTTTATTATTACATAAAGCATTCTCTGATGAAGCACCTGTCATTGAGTTGCTGCCTCCTCTTCTTCACTGTCTGCAGCTCCTCTGTCCTCTGCTTCTTCTCCAAACGAGCCGCACTGTGGTTTATGGCTCTGATGTGAGCGTCATCCACCGTCTCCTCCTGACAAAGAACCAACACAGAAAGACTACTTAACCAAGACAATTAAAATGCATCTAAATCAAGTCCTTTCAAACTAAGACTAAAACAGAACCTTTAAAGCGGGACAAATCAGGAGTAAACCAAGTCAAGTCCTTTAATTTTCCTTTACGTTTTAGAGTGTCTCTCAATGGGACTCACCCCTCGTCCTTTGGTTCTGAACTCGCTCAGTTTCTTCAGTAGTTGGACCCCATGTTCATAGTCCTTCCCCAGCTCTCCAACACTGATCAGCACCTCCTGCAGCACAATCCTTTTAGTCTCTCTACATCTCCAAAGCTCAAAATGCTCTTTTCCACCGTGTGATGTCATGAGGTGGTAGTTTTCAAGTTAACAGCTACCTTTTACTTTTTGCTCAGAAGAGATTGGCGATCCAAATGATTCTAGTGGAGGTATATGGAGTGCAAAAACACAGTGTAGCACTTTTATTACCACATGATATCACAAGGTAGAACAGAGTTGTTTGAGGGTAAAACTCTGCATAAATATGCAGGATTTGTGTGTTAAAAATGTGTGAATGAAACAAAATGTTTGTGAGGAAGAAAAACCATTGTAACATAGATCATAAAATAGTGTAATCTGGGCCCTTTAATAATCCTGTGCATGTTGTGAGCAGCACCTTGTCTCTGATCCAGGCCTCGGTCTCCTCCACCTTCTGCAGAAACTCCAGCAGGTCCCTGTGGTCCTTGAGGGCACTGCCTCTCAGAGCCACAGCCATCTGCAGATCATCCCAGTGTCGCCGTAGTGACGCCATGGTCCTGGTAACATCTGTGGAACAGCGAGGAGACAAAGCCAGCAGCTGCTCTCCTGACTGACACACACAAAAACAGACAAAAATAAATGACATTAGAATTTTTAAAGTTTTGAAGTGTGATATATTGCTACATAAAAACAGCACAATAAATGATCAGATTGAAGCTACCACATATCACTGACTTTAAAGCAGGATAATCCCTGATGTAAACCTTGTTCTCTCTTTCTTATGCACACACTTAAAAGCGCAAATCAGTTAATCACATCATGATGACTTGCTATCACCCCCCTCTCACTCACTCTCTCTCTCACCTGGAGCACAGCGCTGATGTTCTGGTTGTGGGCCTGGATCTCAGACTCAAATGCCTGGTGTTTCTGGAGCAGGTTCAGTTTGCTCTGTAAACTGCTCAGGTCCACCTCACTGCCCTCAGACAGTTTGTGTGAGCGCTCACTGATCCATTCCTTCGCCTGAAACACAGGGTACTGACATATACTAAACAACTAACATGATTTACACTGAAATGTTAGAATAGATAGATCAAGGGGGTCTGATACACAGGAGTACATGAGGATGGAAGGGTGGAAGGGCATCTGACGTAGGGGTATATGAGTATGGGAGGGGTATTACCAGCTGTGCATCCCTGTTGAAGAGTGCAATGAGGTGGTTTAGCTCCAGTTCTTCTCTGCGCTGCACAGACAGCTCTCGGACCCTCTGTCTGCGTTTCATCACAGACTTGTACTTACTCCGGATCCTACTGCTCTGCTCTGAGCTCAGACGCTTTCTCAGACGCTCAGACTGCTCCTTCAGAGAGTACAGCTGCAGCAGGGAGGACAAGATAGAGAGACGAGAGAGTGAAGAGAGCAGAGAAGACAAAGGAGATAGAGGAAAGAGCAGAGGTTAGACCTGTCCCACACTTTTGCAGCCCTCTGAGTCACATGTCCAGTTTTACCTTGTCATCCTGAGAGAGGAGCAGCTTCTCAAAAGCTTCATGACGTTTGATCAGCGCCTCGATCTCATCCACAGAGCCTCCTGCAGCGGCCTTCTGCAGCAGCACCTGGACAAACACATTTTGAGCTCCGAATTACCCTAAACACACACTATTGAAATCTTAACAGCCCAGACTGGTGGAGTCTGTGTAGGATTAGCGTATAGGGTTAATTTGTAGGTTAGTATGTATCATGAGAGGCAGAGGTCTTGACTAGACTGTTTGCTTCTCTGTGTGTAGAGAGTGTGAGTGATTAGTGCATAGGGCTAGGGTTTGGCCACTCATCCAAGAGGCTTGTTCAGTTCTGCCCAGATACTGGTGAGTGACTTAAATATCTGTCAGAAGAGAGGAGCTTCTACTCCAAAACTGTCAGAACTTTTGGATAAATAGAGAAAAGCATTCACCCCAAACACTTCTTCCTGTACAGAATGAAAATTTCTTTTACAATGTAACATTAATTATTATGATAAATAATGTGAGGCCCATGTTGTTTCTGTGTTTCTGTGTTTGGTTGCTTAAGCCTGAGGAGAGGTACCTGATATGACTTATATGTAAGGGGATTGAATGTCTTTAAATTCGTATAGTAGTATTAGTGTATAGGGTTAGTGTTTGTGGCACCTCCTGTGAGGAAGAGGTCTTGTCCAGGCTGTTGGCTTCTCTGTAGAACAGTTGCTCCAGATGAATCTCCTCTAAGCTCCTCTGTCGATCTGTCCACTGCTGCTCCAGACGCTCTCGCTCTGAGCACAGATTCTGCACTTTTTCCACCACCTCAAACACAAAGAACTTTAATTCATCTTTAAACAGGATCACCTTTTTGTTAAAGTCGAAATGATGTCCAAGGTAAGACAAGGTTCTTCCCAATACTGTCTTCAACTTGCTTCTGTTGGGTGTCCTGTCTACTCACCTCTTTCCTTTTGGTTCTGTTCAGTCTCTGTAGTCCCTTACCATGTCCTCACCTCCTTCCTACTGGCTGTCCGCTGGCCTCAACTCTTTCCTATTGGTTCGTTCCAATCTCTGTAGCTCTTCCCCCTGTCCTCACCTCTCTCTGATTGGCTCGGTCCAGTCTCTGAAGCTCCTCCCCCATGTCCAGGGCCTGTTGGTAGATCTGCTCTCGTTGATCCATCTCAGCTCTAAGCTGCTGATGCGCAGACAGCTGGAGATCTGCAGTGGATACATCACTGATGCTTTCTTCAGCCGCCATTGCTCCCCTCAGCTCCAAACACCACAACATGTAATCGTGCACCTGTTAGAGAGGAAAGATAAGGACAGGTGTACCAGCACCTGACAAAGACAGAGAGGACAGAACAACCCTGCCACATTCTGTACAAAGTTATCATTTTTACAAAGTTCAGGAGAATTGGCAAAAAGACTGAAATCTGATTGTACAGGGTTAGTAGTTTTTATGCAGAATAAGACAGGAGATTTTGTTGTTTGTAGAGGAAATTGTGGTACTTGGAGCCTTTGAGATTTGATAATTGCGTCCATTCAAATTGCAATTTCAATTTGATTGTAATTAATCTTGCAGCGCATGTCCAACATGATTAATTTAATATCCTGAAGTAGTAATATGCTGAGAGGAAGGCCCCCAGTGGACACAGGCAGAAGAACAGACCGTGTTGAGGAAGAGGTGTCTCTGCTGTGCCACATGAAGCTCCTCCTCCCTCTGCTCAGCCTCCAGGCGGAGCTCCTCCCACCTCTCCATTATTTCCTTTTGCACTTCCTGGAGACGAGGCTTGAGGTGTGGAGAGCAGGAATCCAAGATGGCGTCCATACCATCCAGCTGCTCCTGTAACTGTTAATTATAATATTAATGTCTGTGTAATCTCTCAATCAACCTTTTGCAAAAGAAATTGTATTCAAGCTGACAAAAGTTTTGAAGTGAATATGTTTGGTCACTCCTCCAAGAGGCTTCATCAGTTCTGCCCAGACACTGTTAAGTCACTGCCTTTTACCTGTCTAAGGGGCAGAGATAACTATAATGACAGTGTCAGACCTGAAGAAGCCGCTTGGATGAGTGTATTCCCATATAATGTAAATAATTATGATAAATAATGTAAGGAAAGGCAGTATGGTCTGTATCTGAGGAGGTACCTGCTGTTCAGTGGAGGCCAGCTCCTGCAGCAGAGTCTGATGTTTCTTCTGCTGTGACACCACTCCTCTCAGGTCTTTAGCCACAGAGTCGGGGATGCTCTTTTGCCGCTCCTTCAAAGGGACAGGCGCAAGGTAAATGAGCTGTTTTCATTTTGTTACGTTTTCATTATGGTGAGTCTAACACAGGCACAGACCTTGATGAAAGCCAGAGCGTCGCTTAGCTCCTGATAGAATATCAAACATGCCTCCTCTCTCTGCAGCTGCTCCTCTCGCTCTGACGCCAGGCCCCGCAGCTCCTCCCAGCATGCACTGGACACACAGACTCACAGCTCAGTCTGAATACCTATAAGAACTGCACATATTTATACATTGCTTCAAACACAGCTGAAGTGGCCATTGTGGCCATACCAGCTTGTCAAAGCCTGATCCCGTCAGATCTTCAGAACCTAAGCAGGGCCGGGCCTGGTTAGTACTTGGATGGGAGACCACTGGGAAAATCAGGTGCCACAGTGGGGCGCCAGTTGTAAAAAACTGTTGTTGTGTCCTTACGCAAGGCACTTCACCCTCATTGCCTACTATGAAAGTGGTGTGTGAGTGGTGGTGGTCAGAGTGGCGAATGGTGCAGATTGGTATCCTCGCTTCTGTCAGTCTGCCCCAGGGCAGCTGTGGCTACAGTAGTAGTTTACCACCACTGAGTCTGGAGTGAATGAATAATGCTCTGTAAAGTGTCTTTGAGTGTCCAAAAAAGCGCTGTATAAAACTGATGCATCATTATTATTATTATTATTTGAAGCTCCTTCTCCTATTTGCCTATGACTCTTATGGTTGATCCCTGACCCTAAGGTGAAGGACAAGGAGCAAGAGCTATGATCTGAGCAATTCAGACTTTTGAGTATCTGTGTTCACTAGAGCAGACCTGAGGGACTGTAGCACCTCCTTCACAGCTCGGCTCTGTGGATGCTTGTTCTGGATCAGCTTGTTCCCAGAGTCTCTGCACATCTGGAGACGCTCCTCACACACGTCCAGCTGTTTGAGGAACCCGTCCAACTTCCTCTTGAGCAGCTGGAACAACAGTTTAACACATATACACACATATATTTTATAATTACTTTTATGAATCCATGTGCAATTCAAGAGTGCTGTTCCTGAAACAGCCATACTTTACTTCTAAACTTCTTAGCCACTGACCTCACTGACAGGCCTCTCAGAAGAGCATAGTTCAAAGTTTACCTCCAGATGTTGCTCGCTACTGGGCTCCTGTGCCTCCATGCTCTGTCTCTGTTGATTCATCCAATCAACTAGCTCTGATGCCTCATGTTTGAACTCGTGAAGAAGAAGTACTTCCCGTAACTTCTGACCTCTGACAAAAAAGGTTGGAATCACTTACAAATCTTATTTAATAAAGTCTGAGACCTTTGGGCTAACTAAAGCCTGGGTCTGGTCTCTGGTCTCACCTGGTCTGAGCCTGATGCTGCAGTTCCTGGTTGAGGTTCCGCAGACGGGTGTAGCTGCGGCCGAGTTCCTCCAGACTCCACCTCCTCTGGGCCTTTTCCACCTGCAGCTCTAGAGCCTCCACCTCAGACTGTAGCACCTCCACACGACCCATCAGGACCTGCAGCCACAGGGACAAACAAGCTGCAGTAAGGAGGATATGATTTCAAATGGAAATAATTACCAAATAATTGATACTTTGCAGCTGATGTCATCAACACTTCCTGGGGGTGTGATGCTAACTGTAAGCACTGCTCTGTCCAAGGCTTTGATAGATTTCAATCTGAGCTTTACTTTAACACAATCTGACCAGAAAGAACCAATTCAGTTGGAACTACAACAGGTGAGCTGACTTTTGTGCTTTTAAGCTAGACCCTTTCAAATAACATTACAGTCACAAGGGTTAGCCAACAGCTTTTCAATGAGTCACTCTCAACTTTTTGTTGAAAATCAAACTCCTAAACAGGACCATGAAATGCTTGGACTGATCACAGGCTCCTCCATGGTAACTGGTGAACATTCCGCCAATTGCTGGTTACAGATGGGGGGGCAGCTAAAATTATTGTTAAAAAGCAAAATGATGTTGTAATACAGTGAGTTCCTGGGTTTAGTCAATAAATGAAAATATCAGATTCAACATTTGTGAATTTACCTTTTGAATATTTCATGACAAATTACAATGTGATCTAATGCAGAGAAATCTGTCTCTAGCCCTCCATCTGGGAGTATGACATCATCACATTCTACAATCTGAAAACCACCAATACCCATACACGTTTCATTCAGTCGTCCATTCACTTTCCACTTCATTATCTGACTATCCAAACTGATGAGATAAAAATAAAATTACATCTGCCTTATTTCACAGAACATTTGAACACATACAAGTCAAAACATGGCACATGTTGGCACAGACCTGGTGTTTAGAGAGGTGTTTCTGAGTGGCCGCTGAGTCTTTTCCATAGTCCTCAATGGACACTAAACTGAGGGCTTCGGTGAGTCTGGACTCCAGCTCTGAACAGTCCAACAGCAGCTGCAATGAGAGGAAAATATAGGGATGACCTAGAGCCAAAACGAGCTACAAGGAGTCACTGAACATTATCTGTCTGTTGTGTCAGAGAGGAACTTGCTGCATTATCAGAGCTTGTTATAATACATTTTTAAGTCTATTATTATTCAGTTATAATTTTTATATTAATTACTTTCATTTCCAGATCACATTTAGATCAAATGCAGTGCACTTTTGGATATCCATCAGCTTTCACAACACCCTGGGATTTAGTTAACTGTTGTTTTCTTCACTTTTCTTCACAAACTGCTGGTTAATTGATGTAAATCTATAATAAATATTTACCACAGGTATTACCCCACCAAACCAAGAAAATACTAGAAAAATATATTAATCTGTCACATGTACTTTAAATGGGTCTTAGTAAGTCTGCTCTGTGCACTCACCTGTTCTCGGGTCATGACCTTGTTCAGGTGAGCGGCTCTTCGGCTGCAGGCCTCCTCTAGATCCTCCCACTCTGCCTTCAGATGGTCACACCTTCAGATACACACCAGTGTCAGGAAGCACACAACAGAAATAACCAATGAGAAATGTAGATGAACCTTTCTAGAATGACTCCTGCGTCAGATTGGTGGGATTTAGCAAGGCCCTTCCCTTTCTTCAGGACAGAGTTCAGGTGTTTGCTGTGAGCGTTCACTTCTGCCTGCACCTCCTGGAAACACAACGGAATCAACCATTCAAACTATTTGTGCTTTGTTTGATCATTATTCTATTTAAGTCCAGTTAAACTTAGGACTTTTTGTTGTAGATTGGCCAATAGCATTTGCTCAGTTGGTAGAAATATTCCTGCTGTTATATCTAGGCAGTGTTAGAGAAATGTGTGTTACCTTGTGTTTGTGTGTGGAGCTGAGTGCTGCAGACAGACTTTTGTCCAGTCCGCTCTCAGAGCCACACAGAGCCAGTTTCTCGTTAATCCAGCTAAGCTCCAGGTCGACGTCATGGTAGAACTCAAACAGAAGAACTGAGGCCTCCAGCAGCGAGCGCCGCAGCTCCAGAGGCTTCTGAAGGGACTTGAACCTGACAAGAGGTCAACAGTGTTTTTATACAGCATATATTTAGGACAGAAATTTTTCCTCCGTCCCATTTTTTTTTTTTTTCTGGACTGATTTCTACTATGTTATAATCAAATCAAAACCATGTCTGAAGAGGTTTTAGATGTGATACTTGGATGTTTGAGCATTTTAGAGACAAGCCTACCTCACCCATGCTCCCATGCCACAATTCTCCATAAATATACAAATATATACTAACATAATATATAAAATTGTACACAGGAACTTGACAAACTTGATGCAAGGTGCAGTAATTAGCGGAAAGTACACTGATTGTGTTATGATAGTGCTCTAAAGGGGTAGTGGCTTAACATAGGGAGCAAAGGGAGAGTGAGTGAGAGTGTTAAAAAATTAAAGTGAAATGTATAAAACACATTAATATGTTGTTTTTGGTGAATTTTTCATTTTCAAAACAATAAAAGGCAACAGGATGATCTAAATATGTTACATGTTAAATATGTTTTTGTGTTACATTTTATGTTACCGTTTTTTTTTCCACTTTGTAAAACCATTTGCATTCCTCAAGAAAGACCTGGATAAGTAAAGCTTCATATATATATATATATATATATATATATATATATATATATATATATATATATATATATATATATATATATATATATATATATATATATATATATATATATATATATATATATATATATGTATATGTACATAATGTAACATAATCTGTTCTATATGTGTCTCTAGACTGTGTTTGCAGACACAAGGTACCTATACTTGAACAGGGTTTGTTCCTGTTTTCTACTATACACTTATATAAGGACATAAATAGCTTTAAATCTTATGACAAATCTGCAGGCCTGGGCCCACACAGAGCCAGTTTATTGTGCATAAACGGTGTCCAAAAGCCTAGCATTAAAAATGTGGGTAAGTGCTTGGTTATTATTTTTCACAGTTTGAAGCGTTTTGTGCAGAGCCATAATAGAGCAGTCATTTAGCCGCATGGACTGACAGCTGGACGCCTGCTATTAGCTCCTTCACTGTGAGCGCTGCCCAGCAACCACCTGTACAACACTGTGCAAAACTGTACAACTCTGTGCAACACTGCCCTCCACCGCGCGGCCATACGCTACGAAGAGAACGATAATAAGAGCACGAGACCAACGGAACAATAATTAAGACTTGTACAGACAGAGAAAGCCAGGGAAACCGTACTAAAGGGCATACAGAGAAAGGTAAAACCATAGAAAGATGTGAAAGCGCATACAGTGTCTGTGGAACAGTTATAGTAATAATAAGAGCATACAGAGAAAGGTAGGTGTCTGTGTCTTGCAGAAGTCTCTGGGAGTCGAAGTGAGTGGAGGCTAGATGTTTGACTCGACCCACAATGGAGTTCATCTTCTCGGCCAGCTCTGCCGCTTCTTGCTCCAGCTGCCGGTGCTCCTGTTGAAACACACAGCACAACAGATCCATAATACTAACATATCACACACCTATAATATAAATAAATAAATAAATAGATGTATCGACGTATATGTCATATATGAACATTAATGCTCATACAATCCAAGTAGCTGTTGAGGGGCACAAACATGAGTCAGTCTGTACCTTGAGCAGCTGGCGACTGGAGCGGAGGTCATGTCCTTTTGCTGCGTTGTTCAGCATCCACTGAATCGCCTCAATTTTCAACTTAGCATCCTGAAAACATTTTAGAATAGAATTGATTAGAAACTGATTAAAACTCCTATTTTTAAATACAAACTGATGATAGCTGAAATACTTAGTACACTAGTGCATAACATTACGCAGTAGTATGTGGTAGTACACTGTAGTATGCAGCAGTACGCAGCAGTACGCAGCAGTATATACACAGTTGTACACAGTAGTACACCGTAGTACATACATAGGAGTACGCAGAAGTACAGAGTAGTACATACACAGTAGTACACAGTAGTATGTAGTAATACACAGTAGTGCACAGTACTGCGCAGTAGTACAAAGACAGTAGTACACTGTAATATGCAGTACTATGTAGTAGCACATACCAAGTAGTACCCAGACACAAGTAGTGTACCTGCAACAGGTCCATGAGCTGCTCCTGTTGTCCTGCCTGTCTCAGCTTGTCTCCTCGTTCACTCATTTGCTCCTGAAGTCTTCTCCAGCGGCTGCTCAGCTGAGTGGACTTCCTGCTGAGGTTCTGACTGTTGTGGTGACCCTCAGACTGCATCTGCTGGCTCACCTAAAACCACAACACTGTTTAATGAGCATACAACACATGCTCTACTGTCCCTCACCCATCTATCTGGTGAAAAGAGTCATACTAGGGACTGTATAGACTTTTCACTACAATCACTGTCAATAAATGACAGGCACAATGATATATATAATGATATTTGGGAGCATTAATATATAGTGGGGCCAAAACTTTGTAGTTATGATTAGACTAATAAAAATGAATGATAACATCTTTGTTTTGTTCAATCAAAATTTTAACTGTCAAAGTGAAAAATGCCATCCTTGTAAATGATCCTTGAATTTAGGATGGAATTGATGACAGCTGAAGGTAGAAGGGCTCTGTTTTAGAACTCAGCGGTACTTTCTGTATTTTCCAACTCTGTGTTTCCAACCTCAGTTAACTGACATAAACCTATGATAAATATTGCCCACAGTTACTATCCCCCCAAACCAAGTCATAATTAGAAAAAATATGAATCTGTCAAATTAACTTTAACCTTTGCATTACCTGCAGCAGCGTGTCCAGACGATCTTTGTTGGCCTCCATCTCTTTCTCCAGAGCCTCATGTCTCTTGAGTTTTCGCAGGATGTTTGTCGGGTCGCGGTATGATTCGTCTTCTGCCACTTTGGACTTCTCGTCCATCCACAGCAGCAGCTCCTCGGCATCTCTCAGGAACTCCTAAAGACACAAAGAGTCAGAAGTTTGGATCCGCTCAGATTTGATAGAATAAGTTCATTTATTTATTTGGGACTGGGCACAATGTGAAATTTCAGTACATTATAAATGAGTCAGATAATTGCACAATTGATATTTTGCTGCTGATGTCATCAACATTCCCTAGCTAACATAATATTGTATTATATTTTAATCTAATCTTTATTTCAACACAATATAATCAGAAACACCTGACTTAGTTGGAACTACAAGTGATAAGATCAGTAGGTGAAGTTTGTAGAGACAATCCCAAACAAATAATGAGAACAATCAACCTTTGTGGTTCAGAAGTTTGATTTTCAACAAAAAGGTGAGACTAACTTTTGGCTAATGCTAGCTACCTTTTGACTGTCATGTTATGAGAGGGACTTGTTTAAGAGCTCATATCAGTTCACCTGCTGTAGTGAGCTCTTCCTGGTCAGATTGTATTTAACAAAACTCAGATTATAGTCTAACTTGAATAACAGAGCTTCAGATGGAGCAGTCACACCCCCAGGGAATGGTGATGACATCAGCTGCAGACTATCAGTTGTATAGGCCCCTGCCATCATCACCACATTACCTGGTACTTCTGAGCCTGGAGCAGAACAGCCCTCCTTTCACGGCTGCTCTCCTTCAGCTTCCTGTGTGCTTTCTGGATGCTCCGGTTCCGTTCTCGGATGCTGGACACAGAAACAACTGTTAGATGTGTTCTGAACAGTGTCAGTGTAGTTTTAAATGCCTCACTGTTTAGAAGCGTAGTGCTGCTGCTCCACCAGGTGATGGCAGCGTTCACTGAAGAGTTCCACTCTTTGGTCCAGCGCTAGAATCAGTCCCTCCAGCTCCTCCTGCCTCCTCAGCAGACTGTGCACACTGTCCACCGAGTCCTGCACAAGTATAATTATAGTGGAACTAAAAACTAAATACTTTTTTTTTTGCTACTTAACTGTGATATGGTGTTTAAATTGTAGTGACTTTGGTTCCTAGTGGTGGTTTGGTCAAAATATATATGAATTTGTTTGTTTTGGTTTATTCTGTGTTCTTACCCCTAGATCTTTGACCCTGAGTCGGGCTTCGTGTCCGGACAGTGTCGCCTCGATGCGGTCTGCTTCCTGGTTCAGTCTGTGTAGTTCCACTCCTTCCTCCAGACGATGTTTCCTATTTGTCCACAGCTTGTCCAGTTTTAACCACTCAGTTTTAAGAGAATCAAGAGTTTCGTGAATGTCTACGTTTCCAGATTTAGGAAGAGATTTTGCAGCAGCCTCCATCTCCTGTAGCCTAGAAACACAAGACAGTAAAGCAGGCATATAGCGCTTATGTGCTATATAATCTATAATCTATGGCACTTGTGGACATTTGAAATTGCATAATTTAAAATGACTTCATGAAAGAAAGAAGTCTGCTGACTTTCACGTTAGAAAACTGTGGTGCTGATGATGCCGTAAAATGTCATTACAGCATAGATTTGTTTGTTTTTTTCATTTGTACCAAGGTGACTTCATGATGCTGCCAAATGCTATGTGTTTCACGAATTAAGAAAATAAACTGGAGAACAAAGATCTGCTTTAACAACAGTTTAGCGAAATGCTGTGTAAAGTTTGTAATGTAAAATTACCTGTCATGTTGCTGGTCAAGCTCCTCCCTGAGCTCCTGGTGCTGTCCTATCAGACCTAGCACTGATGTGACATCAGTGCCGGTGTCGTCCAGTAGGAGGCGGTCTCTGGCTGACTCCGCCCACAGCTGCAGTTGTTTGGACTGAAGTAGGAAGCTGTGCAGACGGCGCGCTTCATCCAGGTGAGTCTGTCTGTTGGCCGCTCGCCTCTTCACCTGTACAGACATCATTCACACAGTTACACATTACATGCCTCTAACCATGAGCAATACACTATCAAGGATACAGGGCAGGGTATCTGTCATCAGCTCTTCACACACTTGGGTCCTCACTTACCTGTCGGAGGAGCTCCTCCAGAGCCTTCACCTCCTTCATGATGGCGGCGCTCTCCTCGGGGCTGCAGTCCTGCTTCCTGAAAGACAGGAAGTGACCTCATGATTTAGGACCTCAGTACATTGCACAAACCTGAAGAAAGTGTGTGCATGTGCGTGTGCGTGCATGTGCATGTGCGTGGGTGTGCGTCTGATACATTTTGGCGATGCTCTTCAGGTAAGCGATCTTCGCCTCCAGAATCTGGATGTCTTTCAGCGCCTGTATCTGAGCCTCTTCCTCATTTTTGAGGGTGAGTGTGCCCACGTGCAGTGTGTCCACATGCATGGCCTCTGTGTTCACATGCGCTGGTCCCAGTCTGTGGAGCTGCTCTTGTAGCTGAGCTCGAGCTTCATCACAGCTCTGCAGAAAAGACTGAACATCGGCTGAACTTAGCAGTTCTCTGCCCTTCTCCTCTTTGAGCCTCTGCAGACGCTCCCACCTCAACACAGATAGATTCAGGGTCAGGGATGCTCCATAGGTTAATGCTTTTACTGTTTAAAGTGTGACCAAAGATAATGGCCAACTGCTTTACTGATCATGACAGCTACCTGCTGTTAACCTGCTTTTGTCTGCTCTGGACCTCTCTCTGTTTACTGTGCCTACTCTTCACAAGCTCGTCTCCCATTTTCATGATGTCATCCAGTTGGCCACACCCACTCACCAGCTCCGTCAGGAAATTCTGAAACAAAAGAGAACCGAACTCATTCCTTAATCAAACTCTAGTCCAGGCTTAGTCCATGCTTTTTAGTCTTCATCTTAGTCCTGGTGCAATCCTGGATTGAACTTCATATTTTGTACCTCATATTTGGCCTGAATGACCCCTGGGTTTTCTGTAGCACTGAACGTGTTGAGGATGTTCTCCTTGTCGTTCATCCAAGACTCAAACTCCTCACAGCTGCTGTAGAACCGATGGAGACGCAGGGAGTCCTCTAGAGACTGGGTCTTAGACTGAGGGCAGAAATGTTTAGAGTTTAGCTGTTAGAGACCTGGTTTAGTCTTGGTTTGGAACTGAGTTAGTTCAGTTTTAAATTTTTGCCAAGTCTTAAGTCCAGGAAAAGTCTTGGTTATGAACTGCTTTAGTCCTGATTCGTTAGGTCCTATTTACATAAGGTAAAATAAACCCTTTATTTCTCCAACAGGGGGGAAATTACAGTGTTGCAATAAAAAGTTCAAGAACAGTAGGAGAATAAGAACATGCAATCAAGATCAAGATCAAAATCAAGATCAATTATACTATAAAGAATTACAATCGACATAAAAAAACATTCCTGGTTTAGTCCTGGTTCAGTCCTGGTTTAGTCCTGTTTATATCTCCGGTTCAGTCCATGTTTGTCTTGTTTTATTTACTGATCCTGAATCTAACCAGGATAGCCACACTGTTGTACCTGAGCCAGTCTATACAGAATGTGGTACTCCTCCTCCAGCTCTTTCTGGCTCCTCTCCACAGCTCCTCTCTCATAGTGGGGGTCTGGGCTCCAGGACATCTGGATTTCGGCGGTGCCTCGCCTCATGGAGCGGCTGCGTCGGGGCCGGCTGGTCTTGGGGCCCTCTGGGACATTAGAGGATGAAGTGGTGTGTTCTACAGCAGGAGCCTGAGGAAATAAAACAGTTCCTTTAACACTGCACAATGTCACAATATTGTTTTCACAGTTTTATTGCTACTTTGCAGCTGATGTCATCAACATTCCATGTGGGTGGAATGCCAACCGTAAGCACTGCTCTGTCTGAAGATCTGTTACTCAAGTCAGACTTTAATATGAGCTTTATCAGATAGTTCCAACTAAGATTGCTAAATCTTACTTGGAACTACAATTGCTCATTTGTGGTTACTTCTGAACATTCCACCATAGACATACGTGTAGAACACCCCCAGTGGAAAGTGCCACAGTATGGCATTAAACTTAGCTATCTCCGTGGAGACAATGGAGTGTGTGGCACATTAATCGTACACTGTGTGGAAGCAGAGAGAGGTAGGTCTTGGGGATCAGCTGCTGGTTTCCTCTGCTGTCTCGGGCCGTGACTCTGTCTCCGTCAGGCTCCTCTCTGATGATGGTTACCACCTCGTTACGGTCCCAGGGGAACTGGCCTAGAACAGGGACAGATTTCATCTGCTGAACTTTTAAAGGACCCGTATATTACACTATTTTCTGATCTATGTTATAATGTTGTTTCCTCATCACAAACTGACCTGTGTTTTACAAACCCTGCATATTTAGGCTGAAAACACTTTCCACTTTGTGATGTCATGTGGTAATACAGGAAGTTCCCCACTGTGTTTTTAAACTCCATCCACCTTCACTTGAATCATTTACTGAAGAACAGGTATAACGGTAGCTATTAACTTGACAACTACCACTTCATGACATCATAAGGTTCAAGGGAGCATTTTGAGCTTTGGAGATGTAGAGATGACTAATAATAAGGGGCTATTTAAACATGTGTGCATGAAATGAAACACATCTTCAGGTATGTTTTGAGAAGACAGCGGGCAATATAAGAGGACTTAAAAGCTCACAAGAGTCCTTTTTGCATTATAGGACCTTTATTAAAGTTTGGAAACATATCTATGTTTGTAATTATAATTGATCTAAATGTCTAAATGCTGTAATAATAAAATCCACAGAAAAGTCCTTATTATCATGAGGCAGACGATGCCATAACATGCTCTTACCTCTGTTGTACCTGAAACGCACTTTTGCCTTGCTCTCAGTGAGAGGGGCGGGGCTCATAGGACTCCTCCCACTTCTTGCTCTAGATGATGATGTCACAGCCTGTGGCCCCTCCCCCTCGTCTGCAGAGGAGTCACTGAGCTGCACAGGTCTGGTCGGCTGTGGTTCTGACTGGACGCAGAGTTATAGTAGAGTTATATAGAACATGTTTCTGTACAGTGGGGGGGGGTCAAGATTATTTAGTTAATTGATTCAATTTATACTCCCAAAGAAGTATAATTCATGTAAAGTATGTTTTTTTATCTAGCTGTTTAAGTCACCTCATCTTTACTTTTTTATTCAGAAAGTTAGATTTTATTAACCTGATCACACACAGTGTAACATTATGTATCCATTATGTAACACACAGGTTACATAATGGAAATGAAAGACAATGTAAAAATATTTCACTGTGGTTTGGAGGTGTTAACCATGAATAATCATTAAATTGTTGTGTTTTTTCTCACAATTACCGTAACACTAAAATTGTACATCATGACATCCCTACTGTACAGTTTGTGTGTTTGAAGCGTTCCTCACAGTTAGAGCGCTGAACTGGGCTGCTGTTTTGGCCTGTTCACTCAGTCTTGTGATCTCAGAGCGATAAGCTGCCATCTCCTTCTTCAACTTGAGGTGGCGCTGTAGCAGAGCCGCGGTGCTCTGCTCATCTTTCCCATGATCCTCGGCAGTGAGGACAGGCTTCCTATCACTGAGCCAAGAGGAAACCTCCTCAGCCTCAGAGAAGTACTGCCGGGACAAAAGAGACAGAAGGAAATACTGAGAACTGAGCATGTGAAATACACTCGCACTCATACTTTATTTAGTATAATGATTCTTTTTCTTTTTAGCGTCACCTGTTCCCACTTTTTGACTGGCTCTTGTTACCTCTTGCTTCTCTCTGATTGGCTGTTTTGTTGTTGTTACCCATTTGACAGCATTTCTTGAAGTTTCTCTCTCTGATTAGCGGTTCTGTCTGACAACTCTCTCTGATTGGCTGTTGTATGGCTGTTACCTGTTTGATAGTGTTGGCAGCATGCAGTCTCTCCTTCTTGGCCTTGCTCTCATTGTGGAGGTGGTCCCATTGTTTCTGGAGACTTCTGATCCACTTCTGGACTGTCTTCTTTTGGTCCTGGTTCTGTTTAGAGATCAGGTCCCGACCCCGAGACAGAACCCCCTGAAAGACCACCTCCTGTGCCTGAAGCTCTGCCTCCAACACCTGAAGAACCAATCAAAACCAAGGGCATTGATACACATGCACATACATAAACAAACAATAGTGGTGACTTGGGCCGCATGATGGGGTTTAAATTATACCAGACTGTATTCAATACTGGCCTTTAGCAGTACTGGCTTCCTGAGCTCAGTCTCTTCACGTCCTACTACCAAAGTACATCTATGACATGTTAGTGCCTTATGAACCATCTCACACTCTCACTATAATGATTTGTATGAGTACAAATGCTCGCTGGTAGTCGATGATGTGACCCATGATTGTTATTTTCCTTGCTGTGACATCCACTTTCTTGTGGCCTTGTTTTTATTTGGTGACAAATCCAACACAACTCAAAACAGTTCTGTTTAGCTGTGCATATGTTATTGTCCACTCTTCTCTTTTAAATACAATTTTTTGATGATTTGTTTTGATTTGTTTGTATGTGATTTTAATGTATTTCTTATTCTGTAAAGCACACTATGTACCAATTCTGGTACACAAAAATAAACTTACCAACAATATAAGCTTTTTCGAGCTATAGTTTTAAGTTAAGCTTTTCAGTATCTGCAGAACCTCCACAGTGAGTGTTTAAGCTGTTCTTCGTAAAAATCAGCTGTACATGTACATGTACAAAATGCACGTACATGTACAGTCATACTGCCATATTCTACACTGATATTGTCACAATCAGATCAGATAGTAGACCTTGTGCTTGTGCATGGCCTGCTCGATCTGGCTCAGCTCTCGGCCCAGGCCTGACGTCTGCACTTGGACCAGACGCTCAAACAGCCACTGCTCCAGATCATCACAGTCTCTGAGGAACTCACACAGACACAACTGTGCCTCCAGCTGCCTCCTCCTGAACACAAAGTGCACATACACAGGATAAGGGTTGTCACGATACTAAAATGTAAAAGTCTTCCGATTATTTATCTTATTAGACTTTTTCAGACTGCCCAGCCCTTCACCCCCTCTACAGTGACACTTGGACAGTTTAATAAAACACTATGAAAATTGTCATGACATGATGGCAGTGTGTGGCTTTGGAAACACAACAGAAAGACAGCATTGTATTGGAAGGGTCATTCTCTTTAGGCCATGTGGAGGGTTTTAATTTTATTGTCTTTCATCAAACTAACCCAGAATCAGAAAAGCTGTATTGCCAGTGTAAGTGAAAAAAATTCACAAATTAATAGTGTAATAGATTTGTTTGCTTGTTCTGAACATTATCAGAATGTGAGAGTCCAAACCTGCTGCTGCTGAGGGCCGCCAGAGACTTGTACTGAGCATCTAGAGCTCTCACTCGGCTATGCACCTGCTGAGCGTCCTGACCTTTGCCCTGAGGAGAGGAAGGGTTCATGTTTACACTTAAACACTGAGATGAGCTGTAGTTTTCTGTTCTTATTTTCTGTGGTTGTTTTTGTTACTGTGCTGCGGTGTGATAAATGTAATATGCTGTTGCTTTGTGTTATTCAGTCAGAGAGAGTCTCACCCTGAGGAGCAGAGTTCAGGTTTAGAGTTACACATTGAGATGTGCTGTGGTTTTCTGTTGTTGTTCTGTGAGTCTCACCCTTAGTGCTGCAGCACTGATGGAGCTCAGAGCTTCTCCCTGAGCAGAGATCTGAGCTTCCAGAAGGTCCTGTTTCTGCAGCAGAGCCTCCACCTCCGTCAACTGCTTCCCCAGGTCTGAGGCTGCAGCCTGGGCCTGAGCATAGCACACCACACTGAGATAACTTCTATCTAAAGTGTACATGACAGACACACTTAAGATCATTATATTTAAAGATTTTTTTTGTTAAACATTTCTAAAACATTTTCCCAATTTGGCTATTTTTTAAGTTTCAAATTTTAAGTGGTTGGAATGTTTAAAATGTTCAAATGTGTATGTAAAATGGCCCTAACTTTTGCATGGAATTCTTAAAACTAGAACTCTCTACTTTAATGTAATTTTCAACATAGATTATTTACATACAAATTGCTTCTTGGCTGGTGTAAAACTCATCATTTATATTTACACCAAGTATTATCCCACCAAATTAAATCAAAATTTGAGAATCCTGTCCAGCACACATTAACAGGAAAATGGTTTTAAACTTAAAACCTGTACCTGCAGCAGTTTGAGCTCTTGTGACATCAGCTCCATGTCTCGGAGCATGCTCAGAGTCTGAACTACATTTCCCAGCGTGCCTCTCTGCTCCTGCAGCTTCTGCCGAAGATCCCTCCATCTCTGGCTGATGTTCTGCTCCCTGAAAAAGACATGTTTTTGGTTTCTTCTGTAGTTCACGCCTCTGTTCTGTCCTTTGCCATGTTTTTCTTTTCTTCCTTAATTCTGTCCTGTCCTGCACTTAACCTTTTAGATAACTATTATCCCCATTAGATTAACCCTTATTCCCATTAAGGTTGTACTCGTTTAGTCGATTAATTAATCATTTTATTTAGATTTTAGGGATTTCTATGGGACAACAGAAGAAGGGAGTAGTGAGTGAATTAGCTCAAGATTTAGTATTTTTTGGTATGTATATGTAAAAACTTAGATTAAACTCATGATTCACAAGTTTTTTATATATAATTACATTGATTCCTAGTATTGTTTTACTGAATAAATAGTTTTTGCATGAACTCCCCCTGCAGGTGTAGTCTTGTGAGTCTTTTGAGTCAATTGACCAATCAGCAGCATATGTTTTTAGTCTAACAAGAATATTTAGTTGAGCCCTGATTCCCATCCTATTTTGTCTTTCTCGTGTTGTTGTTACACACGTGTAACTGTTTAAACCGCTCGTACCTCCTGATGATGCGCTCTTTGCTGTGGTACCCTCCCCTCTCTATACTGAGGGCCATCTCTCTCAGAGCAGTGAAGCGTGGCTCTCGGGCCCCTACATCTGCACACAGAGCCTCCAGTCTGCGGCCCGCGGCCTGAGACTCCTCCAGAGAGACCAGTGATCTCATGTCCTGTCGACCAATCAGACGCAACGTATCCTCCAGATAACATTCTCTCAGAGATGCCTGGAGAGAGAGGACCAAGGACTCAGACCATTTCAATCACACACACAGAGGACTGAACCAGGATCAGGGCAGGATTTAAACTGGTCTAAAGCAAAATCCAAGACCTACTGACCCATACACACATTAATAAAGTCTCTATGAAGATGTCCTGGACAATAGGGTAGGGCTAGGAAACCAAATTATAGACAAGGAAACAGTGTATGTTATCAGCTGAAATTGACTAGAGTTTATAACAGGTAAACTCCCCGGGGAGTCCAGGAGGCATCCAGAACAGCTGTCAGACTTTGAGCTGCTCCTCTCAATGTGGAGGAGCAAAGCTCATGACCATAGATGGTCATGATAGGGTAAGAATGTAGATTGACCAGGAAACATTATTGTTCCCATTGTTGATATCTACAAACTATTTATTTATGAATGTGCATTGTTTATAGAAAAAGAACCTTGCGTTCAAACTTCTGGGCAAGTTGTTCGAGCTGCTCCAGCCTGAGCAGCGCGTCAGTTAAAGCGCGTTCTCTCTCGTGTTCGGCTTTTTCCAGCAGAGTCCAGCTCCTCTCAATGTCACTCAGAGTCCTCCCTAAATAAAGATCATTTTGTCGATCAAAACATGTTCATCACGGTTTGTGTCAATGCTATGTTAATGTTAAACTGACTAAAGATATAAATAAAATAAATGCCCACTCAAGAAAACACACAGTTCATTTTATCACAATATTTTTATCAATTATTTCATATTTCGTCTGAAATAACTGAAATAAATTATATGCCTTACATACACAAATACACCACTTGGGAGCAGAACCTCCACAGCTTTACACCGGTTTATAATGTTAAACAGACAGATTTGTTCTGTACAGTCTCCTTGGGTGTTTTGAAAAGAGCTTATAAAAATATGTTATTACAAGGTACAGTACCTTCTGGAGGGTTGTAGGCTCGCTGGTTGTTTGCAACTAGTTTTGTTTTTAAATTGAACAGGTGAGCCTCAATCGCCCCACGCTCCTGTACAAAAATAATTCTATTGTCAAAAGAATAAATAAAAAAATAAGTCCACAAGAACACACATGTTAGTAATAACACATCTATAACAAATCTGTATATTTGGTTTGTGTGTGACCTGGTATTTGGGAGGCTTTTCCTGTGTGCGGTAGGTTTTGAAGGCAGTCAGGAAGAGTCTGCATCTCCCTCACTGAGTTTGGGAAGCGTCGGTCATTTAGTTGCTTGATCTGAACACAACAAAGACAATGAGTTTAATTCTATATTGAACATATAGCTGTTGCTGTTTTGGAAGTAGTCTGTAGCAGCTACAGAATTAATATTTGCAGTAGTAATAGTAGCAATAGTATTGTTGCATTTCAGATTACATTCTATAGGCTCATCATATTTAACACAGATGTGAACAGTTCAAATGAATATTTGTTATATTTGTTTGTTATGTTATTTGTTATAATAAAGCAAGACTTGTTTGTGGGAGCCTAACCCCAATTTTGTAGTTTTTTTGTTGAACATCAAAAAAACTTTACTGTTTCTTATCAGAGATGCACAGACAAAGTAATATAGAAGTTTAGTAGAATCTTAAAATGACCACTGGTTATTACAAGTACGAGCCAGGTTATAAATAGAAATGATCAGATTTGTAAATTTTGCTTGTGGATATTTCTTATGAGAAATTGCTTAAGTAAACATAGACGGCAAATGATAATATCAAACCAAACCATAAAGCATAATTGTCCACAAAAAACTGTACTAAATATATAACAGCATTAAAAATAGCTGTAACAAATAAATAGCAGAACTTAAAGGTGCATTGTGTAACTTCCATCCGTCACCTTCTTGTTTCTATGTAGATGTAGATGTAGATGTCATTGCTCTGCTAGAGTGTTCCACAGTATGACATTAAAGCAGATCTACCTTGTATTTATTCAATTACAGGTGGTTTTATAACTCAAAAATACCTAAAAAAAAATAAAATAAAAAATATGACTGTAAGCAGGGTTGCTTCTCCACAGATCTGACCTTTAACTTGGTCTGGTTTGGTCTCCACGAAATTAGAAAAGTTTAATGTCTGTAAGGTTTACTGTAAAACATTCCATAACAACCAATAACATCTCCATGGAGGAAAGCATTTGACATACCCTCCATCAGAAAAGTTACACAATGTACTTTTAAGTAATTAGATTGTATAGTTATAGTTCATAATTTAATCTTCCACAGCTCAAAGTTTCATCATACTGCAAAAAATAACCAAAAATTCCCAATAGTACAAAAGAAAGTACCAACAATATATATTTACCCCCAAAATAATCGTCCCAGCTTTCATATATTGAAAGATAAGTCAATATAGTAGAAACTAAAAGCACCACATGCACCCAGAGATAGACTGCATGCTTGTATCATAGAGTCAGACTTATGTCTAAGTGTATATGTACAATCTATGGCTTGTACCTTGGTGTTGATCCAGTGCAGCAGGTCTGACACCAGTCGTTCATACTGAAGTTTCATCTGGTCCAGCTCCACTAGGATCCCAATGATCTGAGACACAAAAAAACATAAATATCATTATTATTAGTCCTCCTCACTCCGGTCTATACTGCGTCTGTGTGCTCTAGTATTTACGAACAGTATTAGAAATGTCCCTTATGTCCTATTGTGTTTTAGTAAAGATTAAAATAAAAAGAATAGATTTTTTCAGAGGTTTCTTAGACCTAAATCTGATATAACTACCTTACAATTATCACCTTACTTTCCATAAAAAATAATTATAGTAAAAATATAAAGTTCAACTTCAACCGCGACAGGGACGGCAAGTTAGCATTCGTTAGCTTAGCATTCGTTAGCTTAGCTCTTCCGAGTTTTCACCGTGTTTTTCAGTTTGGGGCTGCGTTCATTCGCTGTATTCACATTTCTTTTAATAATAGCTCTTAACGTGCACACTTTTGTGTGGTATGTTGAAGTAGGATATTGTACCAAGTGGAGAATTATTCAAATTATTTGAATCAAAAGGTTAGTATTCTGTAAAATTAAAATATCTTCAAGTATGATGTCTTACGCAATACAATGTCTTAACTTGCTATTGACCTTTAGTCAAAAAGAGTAATGATACTTTTTTTTTTTTTTTTTGTATTTTCTTCATGGTGAATGTCTTGCTGCTGGTTCACATGTATCCCCAGCTCCTAAAGGCTACAGTGGAAAAGATGAAGGCTCAAGCCATTAACCATCTCGTCAGAGATTTGTAGGTATGTCATGAAATGGTTAAATGTAGAACTGAAATGTAACCTCACCAATAATTTCGTAATTGACTAAATTGAATTTTATATATGCGCTAAGTAGTTGTAATTTTTGCCTTAAACTCATTCTATTTTTGTGATTAATGGCAGGTAGGTGTTTCTTTTAGGTCTTGCATTTAAAAATAATCTTTTGCTAAGGGGCTTTTCAAATTACCCTTCAAGTTTTTTATTTCAATGGTTCCTGTATACAAAAACATACAGCTCATGCAACAGAATAACCTGCTTAACAGGAACAAACAAATAATAATATATGCACCATAATATATTTACTATATATTTACTTTTTAATTTTTATTCATGGCTCATTAAATTTTCATTTTACATTTTTTGCAAGGTGGTTACTTGAATATGTTATATATATTCTATTCTATATTTTAATTTACAGATCGGTATGGACACATTTCTTGCTGGTTGAGCCTGGACGACCTTTCTACCTGTGACTGAAGTGGGAAGGACAAAGGTTTTTTTACGTCATCGTTGACTTGTCTGAATTTGAACACTTCAAGGCACTTCAAGGCACTCTCATAAACTTTACACCTGTATTCAAAGAACTGTCTACATACAGGGGTGTCAAACTCATTTTGGTCCGGGGGCTGTATCCAACCTACTTTGATCCCAAAGGGGCCGGATCAGAAAACTCATGGCATATTTACTCCAAAAATAGCAATAAGTTCAAATATTTGTGCAGAGAAACGCAAATCTATTACAGAAATCTTTTTTTTAAACTGATAAACTTTTGCTTTTACAAAATATTATAATATAATATATATATATATATATATATATATATATATATATATATATATATATATATATATATATATATATATATATATATATATATATATATATATAATATGCAATTTCAACACAATGTTTTAACATTAACTTGTTTGCAAATAGGAATAAGTAAATTTTTCTTGGAAAATCCTGCTCTCTGCGTCCACTTTTCTCATTTTTGACATTTTGCTGATGAGGGTGTCACGGTCAACAGTCAAAATGATAGTCCTTTAAGAGCGTTTGAAAAGAGACAAATCTTCATTTGTGCCTGTTCTGGTGGGTGGTGGCCACGCACAGAGGTGCTGGAGACACTGCTGTACTAAGCGGCACAGAAAATTACCAATATTTTAATAGAATATATAATTTAAATATTTTAGTAGAAAATCAGTAAAGTTCTTGGAGGGCCGGATCCGGGCCCCACGCCGTATGGTTGACACCCCTGGTCTACAACATGGACGTTGGATGTGTCAAAAGAAACCCCAAGAGTGAAAGACTGACTCTTAAAAAGTTTCTGCAATGTTAATGTTTCATAATTGGCAGGACTGCCTATATAATGGAGAGAAGATCTTGTTTCAAACAGTCAGACATGCTCCTCTCTTTTTTGGAGATGAGCATGCCTGAATTCCATTCAAAACAAGATCTTGATCTTGATCTCCATCCATCGACTGCTTGCACTGAAAAATCAACTTTAAAAAAATAAATGACAATCATTGTGACCAACTGTTAAGGGCACAGAGAATTCCTGCTGTCAGTTTGATTTAGCAAAAATAGTATTGTGTCATATAACATGTTAAATTGTGTTGATTGTATGATGTGCATTGTTTTAATACAAGTTAAGTTGAAATGGAATTTTATGGTGGTTTTCATTATTTTACGTTATTCTACATTATTTTACTACAAACATTATAAAATCAGCATACCCTTGTGTACAAACCATGTGTGAGTGTGTCTTTCTCCATAACTGAACTTTTAAATATTTTTCTCAGCAGAATATTTTTCTTAGTTAAATATTAAATATGTTTTTACTATGTATGTATGTATTTATTTTTCTGTTTCAATTCCAGTTAACTTTTTCTCAGTTGCAGTTTTCCATGTGTCCAGCAGAGAGCAGCCCACTCTGTACAATGGGGCTGGGGTGAACCAATCTTTGTTCAGGTGAGAAGCAAAATGTTTATTTAGTAAAGTAGCCGGAAACAGAGGCAAGCTATCAGGGAAGATATGAAGTTCACTCATTTACTTATTTAGCTTGACAGGTTTCTCTTCTTGGAGTAGAGCTGCTGCTCCTGCATATGGAAAGAGGCAGTTCAGGAGGAGGCCTCATGGAAAACCCAGGACACACTGAACGAACTATGTCTAGTGGCTGGCTTGGGAAGGGTTTTTTTTGTTTTTTTGTTTTTTTATCTAAATAGGTAAAGTGTACTATTAATCACTTGTGAGAGAAATTCATTGTCTGCATTTGACCCATTCATCACCCAGTGCTGCAGGGGGTCTACCAATGAGCTGCTGCCACACAGCACCCAGAGACCCCTTCAGATTTTGAGCTTGTCTTGGTGAGTACTATCTTAGCTGGAGGATTTGACCTGTTGTGTATGTTTTGCGTTGATGGGGAAAACTGGAGTCTCTTTTGTGGTACCTTGGCGACCCTCTTCTGCACGGTCTGCTCCTGCCTCAATTTGGAGAAGTAGTGGTAGAACAGAGACACATAGGTCATGATGGACTTCTCATCAGGGTGAGGAACTAACATGTCCTCCACCTCCAGAAGCTGCATGATCCCAAACTCCTGCTCCGATAGGACGAAGGCGTGGAGGAGGGCAGAGCGCGGCTCAGATGAGAGGAGGCGGGTATAGTCAAATAGGTCAGGTCTGTGGAGAGATGGGGGCTATTATATACTACTACTATTAGTGGTATCATGTAAAATTTCAAACTTGACTTCAGCACAATTACAACTGAACTATACCAGGTCTAAACCAGGTCCGAACATGTCTCACCTGTGTGCGTGTATGAGAGCGTTGAAGGCCAGTCCATCCCTCCAGCTGTTGGAGAAGTCCTGGACATTGACCCCTGAGTATCCTGCAGTTTTCCTCTGACACCAGAGGAGCAGAGCCTCTTTAGCCGAGCGCTGGGCCTGGCCTTCAGACTGAAATGGTAGAGACACAACTGTAAAAAACAACAGATCAGGACAAAAGCACAGGTTTAAAGGGCCCGCTTTATCAATCTCTGTTATAATGTTGTTTCCTCATAAAAAAATATAAATAAAAAATACTTGGAGTTGTGTTTAGTTTCAATCACACATGTTTAACACACAAACGCTGCATATTTAAGCTGACACACTCTGTTTCACCTTGTTATGTCATGTGCTAATGCAGGAAGTGCTCTTCTGTGTTTTTAAACTCCATCCATCTTCACTGGAATCATTTGGATAATTTTAGTCCTGGAGTTACCAATCTTTTCCAAACAAAACATAAAAGGTAGCTGTTAACTTGAAAACTACAGCTTCATGATGTCACAAGGTGGAACAGAGCATTTTGAGCTTTGGAGATGTAGTCAGACTAATAATAAAGGATTACTCAGGCATGTGTGAATGAAACAACCCTAACCCTAACCCTAACTCGAGGTCTGTTTTTGAGGAGGTAATAGTGTTATAACATGACTTAAAATTCACAAGAGTCAGCTTTGTGTAATATAAGGACCTTATTATTATGACTATATTGAAATAGCTCACATAGTTAATATTTATAATTTTACATCAAGTGGTGAAGAAAAGCTGGTAAAAAGTAGAAAATACACCACCATGACTTTACAAATAATAAAAAAAATCAGGATTAGAATTGTTATTAACAGAAGTTATATTTGATTTGATTGTTTACCTCCTATTTGGGGACACAGTTGAGTCACGTTTATGGGATTTCATATTAAAATCTTACATTTCCTTTATAATAATGTGAAAGTGGTTGTGTGAGCTGGCATATGCACCATGAGCTGTAGTGTATCACCTCCTCTTGTGTGATTAACCCTGCAGTACCTCAGGCTCTTGGATGGTTCCGATTTGGAAGCGCAGGATGATGATCCAGAGCAGGCCCAGGATGAGGGTTCGATTCCCGTCCACCACATTCTCCGGTCCAATCAGCTCCACGGGGATCTTGGTCCTCAGGAAGCTCAGGGCGATGGAGTTGTTCTCGAGGCAGTGGACGCGGAGTCGAGCGCGGGTCTGAGCGCGCAACTTGGTCCCAGAGATCAGCTCCAAGAGACGAATCAGAACCAGACCGGTCTTTAGATCTGAGTACACGTCTGAGACCTCAATGGGGTCCTGAGGAGAAGAAAAAGAGAGAGAGAGAGAGGGGAGGATGGCAGACAGAGAGGGGGAGAAAGAGAGGAGATGAGAGAGAGGGGGATGACAGACAGAGAGGGGGGAGAAAGAGAGCGGTTCAGAGAGAGGGGGGGTTGCAGACAGAGCGGGGGAGAAAGAGAGGGGTTGAGAGAGAGGGGAGGATGGCAGACAGAGAGGGGGAGAAAGAGAGGGGTTCAGAGAGAGAGAGAGAGAGAGGGGAGGATGGCAGACAGAGAGGGGGAGAAAGAGATGGGTTCAGAGAGAGAGAGAGAGGGGAGGATGGCAGACAGAGAGGGGGAGAAAGAGAGGGGTTCAGAGAGAGAGAGAGAGGGGAGGATGGCAGACAGAGAGGGGAGAAAGAGAGGGGTTCAGAGAGAGGGGAGGATGGCAGACAGAGAGGGGGAAAAAGAGATGGGTTCAGAGAGAGAGAGAGAGAGGGGAGGATGGCAGACAGAGAGGGGGAGAGAGGGGTTGAGAGAGAGAGAGAGAGAGGGGAGGATGGCAGACAGAGGGGGAGAAAGAGAGGGGTTGAGAGAGAGAGAGAGAGGGGAGGATGGCAGACAGAGAGGTGGGAGAAAGACAGTGGTTCAGAGAAAGAGGGATGACAGACAGAGAGCGGTACAGAGAGAGACCGAGAGATAGGTAGGGGACAGTGGGGGAGAGAGAGAAAGAAAGTGAGAAAGTGAGGGTGGGAGAGAAAGGGATGACAAAGAAAGAGAGACGGGGAGGTAGACAGAGAGAAAGAGAGAGGTGTAAGGGAGAGGGGGCAGAGAAGATAAAGACAGAGAGCAGGGGCAATGAGAGAGGAAGAGAGAAAGAAAGGGAGGGAAGGGTGACAGGGGGAGAAAGGAAGAGAGAGAGATGGATGGAGGAAGGGGTTGACATAGGGACAGGGAGGGAGAGAGAGGGGCAGGGGGCAGGAGGGGAGAGAGGGGATGTAACAGAAAGAGAGAGATGGAGGAAAGACAGTCAGGTAGGGATAAAGAACAGGAGGGAGAAAGAGAGAGTTAGATCTGGAATAGAATAGACATTCATATTTGTACTTTGATTCTTTGTGTAGTAACATTATTTCCGTGCAGTACTTTAGGGCCTGCTCCTCCTGATGTCGTGAAAGTCTGAGTCAGGCGCTTTTGGTTAAACATTATGACAAGAATCTCAGTCTGCACCAGAACTACAACCAGGTTTAAGGTTTACGAGAAACAAGGGCCAGACATGACACTTTGCAGGAGTGGTGGTGTGATGCTAACTGTAGGCTCTACTCTGTTTGGCTTGTTCGACTTTAATCAGAGCTTTATTTTAACACAATCTGACCAGAAAGGGGTGGTTTAAGTTGGAGGTCCACTACTTATTCCCTTCTTTCGCCTATATGACAAAATGAATGAAGCACAAAGGGACCATGCAGTCTCCATTTTAGCTTAGATGTATTCCGAAGGCTGGCCTATGCTCTTTTTTAAAATGCACACAGCAAAAACTGGAGGTTTAAAATTTCAGGGTAACATATTTGTATTTTTGAGTTGTTTTTTAACACAAGTTAATTGGGGGTTAAATGGTTGTCCGAGTTATTTACCAGAGTTGATATTGTTGTAAGGTAATTCAACTTCCCCTTATCCTGGTTCATATTTTGTAGTTCTTATTTTTGCTTACTTTGGGGTATCTTTTTCCTGTAGTGTGCCTTTGGTGTTTGTTTTGTCTGCTTCTAGTTTTGAGTTTTACATGTCTGTTGATTGTTTGCCCCGCCCTAATCTGTTACACCTGTTTCTGTGTGCATATATACCCCGTGTTCTCTTCTGTGCTTTGTCAGTATCATGCTTACTCTAGTTTCTATTTTTGGATTTTTGAATTTGTTTTTTTCTGGTCTTTGGTTTTGTTACATTAAACCACTGAAGTGCAGTCCTGCATTTTGGGGTCGTCACCTGTTTCTTCGTGACACCCCTAGTGTTATTTCAACTTCCCTTGGTGTTAGTGTTAGTTGAGCCCTGATGAAGACCAAGTAGTCGAAACTCGCTGGCGTGACTTTTAATAAACTCACCGCAAACCCAAGTGCCTCTGCCATCATTTTTCTATTTTACAAGAATCTAGCCCTCCGGTTTGATGAGCACCTGTATGCGTAAGTTTTTTGATCCAGTGTAGTGCTCCAATTTTGTTATTTCTTTCCCTTAGTGTTAATTTGGCTCCTCCCACCCACCACTTGAAACACCTGTGAGAGAAAACCAATCTGAAAGAGTTTTGTACATAATTTCATCTTAAATTAACTCAAATAAAGTGTAAAAATAAAACACCTCTGTGTGTTGTTTAGCTAAATCAGGATGACCCTAAAAGTGTTATCCGCTTACTCTCAAAACGTTAATTTAACTTTTGATTTCGGGGTTAAACAGGAGCTTTGGTCCAGTGTTACTTAATTAATATTTCCAAAAACATTAAATTAACTCTAGAACAGATTGGACTCACATAAACCCTGAGAAAATGTTAAAATTGATTCTGTGAGAGTCAGTTTTAACTCTTCACTTTGTTTGTGTGAATGACTGTTTCCCACGCCTCAGTGAGGACATTTTCCCACTGTCTGATATCCTATGTGGCCCAAGTTTTCTCTGATAAAGAGCTTTGCACCGGCCCAAACATCTTATGATATATGGGAGCACAAAGTATAATAGGCTATCACATTCATTTTCTTCATGTGGAAAAAGCTGAATGTTATAAAATAGTAAATAGAATGTTAAAAATAGTAAAGTGCCACTACTCAGACAATGACAAAAATATTAATAAAATGTCACTTGGGACACTAGAAAAATAATGTTTATGCTACTCCGACAGTTACTCATCAAGGTCTAAATAGCAACACGTAACCCTTTAGTTGGAAACACAACATTTTTGTTCTTCGAAATGCTTTCACACCTAAAATTACAATCACAACCAAACTAGCATTAACCAACAGTTTTTCAGTTTTCCTGTTGATTATATTGTACTTCACCTTTATCTGGTCATTTCTATTTGTGACTGCACTCAAGAACTCACTGCATTACAACAAACAACTGCCCCCATCTCTATTAAACATGATTGGCCTGTAGAATATGGTGATGTCATCTGAAACACAGCGATGAAAGAGGCGGAGCTCAGATGTTTATTTTAGGCCTATCTTCTGACCTTTGACCTTTTAATGGTGGAGATATTTTCAGTCTGTGGTAATGACTTATATCTCTCCTGATCATCTGCATGAATGACTCTGAACAGCACCACAGTCATCTGATATCACTCTTTCCTCTCCTTCTCTTTCCTCTAATCTGTGTTGCCTCAGCCCTCTCTCTCTCCCCGTCACTCTCTCTCTCTTTCTCACGCTCACTCAGTCTCTCTCTCCTCGCTTTTTCTTTCTCTCTGTCCTTATCTCTGCCCTCTGCGATAAACCTGACACAGCAGCACTTCAGCCTCTCCCCCTATCCCTCCTCCGTCACTCTCCCCTAACCTTTTCTCCTCTTCTTCTCTCTCTCTGTCTCTTCTCCATCCCTCTCCTTCCCTCTCTCTTCTGTTTTCCCTCCCAACTCTGCTTCTATCTCTCTCCCTCTTCTGTTTTCCCTTCTAACCCCTCTCACTCTCTCTCTCCCTCTCTGCTGTTTTCTCTCATAACCCTCTCTTTCTCTCTGCACCTCCCCTCTTTCTCTTTCTCTCTCTCTCTCTCTCCTGTTTTTCCTCCTACCCATCTCTGCCCCCTGTCCTCCTTCACACTTTTCTCTCACTCTCCTGTTTTCCCTTCTAACTTTCTCCAGATGTGTTCCGTCATTCCGTGGATTCCTCTGGATCTTCTCAGACGTGTTGCAGTGTGAGCTCGAGGTGTTTGGGTCGGCATGAGGAGCATGGCTCTGTGACGAGGTGTGAGCTGGAGTTTGTCAGGTTTGTGAAGGTTTGTGCAGAAAGAGTGATGGAGGAGGAGGAGGCCAAGCAGCTCTGGAGCTGTGTGACCCTGTTTATGGTCCATGTCTCTGTAATTACTGGGCCTATCCACATGAAACAAAAACTGGCACATAGTTCAATATCTTCTCTGTACAAAAATGTATTTTTGTCAGTGTGGCCTAAAACTGACTATATAACCTGTCCTAAGCCCCACCTGTCACTCTTCAGAACACTTTATGCATGTGTTATTTTTATTGCTTTTATATTTTTATTATATTGTTATAATTGTTTTATTGTGTGATTAAAGCTCTGAATGAGCTGCGATGTGAACACCTGAATTTGCTCTACTGGTTAATCAATAATGTATTTCTCTAAATAGTTGACAAAAAATTATAGAGAATTTATAAAGTTTTCAGTGAATGGGGTAGCTCTTCCAGCTGTCTTCTGATAGGCTGCTGTGGATGCATTCTGCCTTGTGATTGGCTGTACCTTGTTTTTGGTGAAGATGCTGTTCATCCACTTTGTGAAAGTCTTCTTTTGCATCGTCATCCTTTGCTCCTGCAGCTCCCGCACTCGCCCTGCCCCATCCTCCTCCTCCTGCATCATGACTGCTCCACAGGGCGGTGACGTCACGGTCTGCAGGGGGTGAACGGCTGGAACATGAACAAGTCATATGATTCATGAATTAGTTTTGTATAAATCACTTCATGATTTTGTGCATTCTTTGTTCACTGCACGTTTGGTGGTGGCAAAAACACTCTAGTAGCCACAGCAGCCCTGGGGCAGACTGATGGAAGCTCCATCTTCATCTGGCCTTTTCCGCCACCAACCCTCACATACCACATCATAAGGCAAGCTGGGTAAAGCATTGTGCCCAAGGACACAAAAACAACAGTGCTGCTCTGAGGGCATGGGGAGTTATCCTGATTCATCATCCGGTTTCACTTCATGGAAATAGGCTAACTGGTATATTAAGCTTTTCCCAAATCCCATAAGAAGAAGGGCAGTAACATCTTTCCCCTTGATAAAGTTCACCAAACATTCTCTTTGTTCTGGCTTTAAATCCAAGATCTCGGGAATCGTTAACACAGAGTGTATGGCTCTTCGTTGATTGGCTGGTGCCTGAACTCACAGTTCCAGGGTTCTTGCAAAGCAATCTAATATATTCTGATTCCTGACCTAGTCACTGGAGAGAAATGAAATTGAGCGGAGTCACTAGGTGGCACCAGCCTGGCTAATGTGGAGTAGAAGGAGACACTCAAAAGTGAACTTCAGTTCACTTTTTCAATAAACTTTGTTTTCGCAGATAGAAAATAACAAATGATTTTTAGTAACAGCCCTGTTTTAATTTTTTAAACCACAAAGTCCTAAAGACATTTTGTCAGTGTTGTAAACAGGACATAAATGTATAGACATAAGTTTCCCTTCCCTGATGAGCTTTTGTCATGTCTGAAACTGATGTTCTTTCTGTTGTAAAAATGAGCTGGAGCTGTAGAACACTCAGACTGAACATGTGACGTGAGCAGGACAAATACACAGGTATGACTGTTATATGACTTTTTTACAGACACTGCTAAACCTGGCTTATGTTTTATGTATATATTATAAATGAATGATTAAACCTGGCTTGTGTTTTGTTGAGAAGTGGATCTTCATGACAAAGCAACACTGAAAATTCCTGAGGTCCATAAACGTCACATGCCTCAGTTTATGTTTGACATATTCACTGTCACGTTCAACAGATTAACAGAAAAGTGATGGTAAATAAACCCACATAAAACCATAAACATTTTCTAATCACTTTAATGTTCATCTTGTTTCAATCCGAACATCAAATCACACTGTACTTTTTCAAATCGCCTGTGATAATAAACATTTTTGAATAGTGCTTTTGACTCCATTACTCCATGACTCCAATTAGCTAAGCCAGTTTGGTCAAAAACAGATATATTATTGTTGCATTCTTAGAGAGATGCTCTTGTTTTATCTGGAATGTTCCACAGTATCGCATTAAAAAAATCTATCAATCTGTCACATCAACGGCATGATTCCATAGAAACTTAAAACCACACTGAACTAAGTTTTTGTGCCATGCTGTGGACAATTACAGCCAAAGGAACAACATTTCCATGGAAACAAGCATGATAAGAGTCAGGTTTGTGGAGAGCCCGCTCATAGTAAGGATGCATGTTTGTCAGTGCATTAAAAACACGCAGAATGAAAAAACGTATTTGAGTCTATTCTCTGGAAATAAAGTTACATAAAGTAAAATTTTCTGCATGCCTTATTTGGTCATGTTGTACATTTTTTGTATTATTCATTTGCTTATGTTATGTATGATTTGGACCAGAAAAGATACACAGTGCATCTTTAGGCCAATAGAAGTGTCTGGAGTATAGACCACTTTAAAGGTCATATATTACACAAAATGGACTCTTGTGAACTTTAAGCCATGGTAGAACACCTCAAGAGTTGTGTTTTGTTTTGTTCACACATTTTTGAGTAATCCTTTATTATTAGTCTGTCTTAAAACTCTCTGTTTCACCTTGTGATGTCATTGAATGTCAAAGTGGTAGTTCAAGTTAACAGCCATTTTGCCTTTAGTTCAGTAGAGAGAAGCAAACCATTGGCTGAAACTATCCAAATGATTCTAGTCAAGGTGTATGGAGTTTAAAAACACAGTGGAGCACTTTCTGTATTACCACATGACATCACAAGGTGGAACAGACTGTTTTCTGTATGAGAGAAGATGCAGAGTGTGTGTGTTAAACATGTGTGAATGAAACAAAACACAACTCCAGGTGTGTTTGTGATGAGGAAACAACATTATAGGGAAAGAGTCCAGTAGTGCAGAAAAGAAACATGTTTCTAAATAAAACAACACTTACCAAAAAGGCTTGGTTAAATCCAGTGTGGGTTGTCGTTAGATTCCCTCTCTCAGTGTGAATGACATGTATGACAGAGGTACAGTGTTGCAGGTGGCTCCTCGTCAGCTGACTCACTCCAGAGGTCAAAGTTCACCTGGAAATGTTCACTCTTAATGTTTCACTCGCACTCGTAAACTCCACACATCAGCACAAAAAAAGACTTTGGCCATTTTTAAGAATAGAACTGATCCGGGAGCAAACAGACGTGAATGAAGAGTTTAGAAATTGTACTTTTTTAGCAGCATACTTCTACTCTTGCATGAGTAAAAGTTGTGGGGATGGGTCAAATGCAGGTTTAGCCCAGAGACGCCGAAGAATGGGTCAAATGCAGGTTTAACACAGCGACACTGAAGAAAGAGTCAAATGCAGTTTTAATCCAGAGACAGTGAAGGATGGGTTAAATGCGACACTGAAAGGTGGGTTAAATGCAGTTTTAACCCAGAGACATTGAAGGATAGGTCAAATGCAGGATCCAGTCTCTTAAATTGACATTTATAGTTCACAAAAAAAAATACAGAAAAATACCAAACAGACAAAACTTCAGTTTAGAAACTTTAATAAAATACACTCCTCCTTAGATTTTCATCATTTTCACACACAATTTGAGATAATTTCTTTAAAATGAAATTCTTCTGTACAAGTTTCAATCATGAATAAATCTGTGCAGTTTGACAACGTTAAAATAAAATTAACATAAGAGTATAAGGTAGAGGTGACTGCATAAGAACATATGGCTTTTCTCTGAGCGATAAGGCACAAACATTTCAAATAATAATAATGATAATAGATTTGACAGGTGCTATTTTACACAAAACTGACTCTTTGGAGCTTTAAGTCCTGTTAGAATGTTTTTACCTCCTCAAAAACAAACCTGGAGTCGTGTTATGTTTCATGCACACATGTTGGAGTAATTCTTTATTATTAGTCTGTCTACATCTCCAAAGCTCAAAATGCTCTGTTCCAACTTGTGATCTCATGAAGCGGTAGTTTTCAAATTAACAGCTACTTTTACGTTTATCCAAATTATTCTAGTGAAGGTGTATGGCGTTTAAAAACACAGTGGAGCACTTAATGTATTACCTTTTCAGTTTGAGGAGAAGAACTCAGCCTAAATATGCAGGGTTTGTGTGTTAAACATGTGTGAAAGAAACAAAACACAACTCCAGGTCTGTTTGTGATGAGCAAACTATATTACAAAATAGATTCATATGGGCCCTTCAATTAAACATGGGGTCGTTATGGTAACAGCAGTCACTAATTGAAATGATTTGGAAATGTCTGAAACCAAGTGTCCAACTAAATGAGAAAACAATAATTCTGTACAATACATGAAAGAAAAAATAAAATACAGATGTTTTTTTTTTTTTTTTTTTTTTTTTGCATATTTGGAATCATTTGTAACAGCGCAAAGGTTTCACAACACAAACATGAAACAAAAGTGTAATTTGATCTAAAGGGAAAACTGAACAAGGAGCTGAACAAGTATAGTTTTAGTCCTGGTTCAGTCCTGGTTCAGTCCTGGTTCAGTCCTGGTTTAGTCCTGGTTTAGTCCTGGTTTAGTCCTGGTTTAGTCCTGGTCCAGTCCTGGTCCAGTCCTGGTCCAGTCCTGGTCCAGTCCTGGTCCAGTCCTGGTTCTATCCTCAGGGTGTGATTCCCATCATAAAACCAGCTTGTAAATCCACATTATAAACTTCAGATTATCAAACTTTATGGAGACATTTTTATCACAGAAATGTCTTAAAATCCACAGAGACTTTGGACTGAAACCAGAGGTAAGGATGTGATAAGCAAAGAGGAAATAATTTTATTTGCACTTTTTAATTATGTCAAATAAAAATTATCAGAGGAATATTGATTAATGACAGTGCCTGGTTCAAAGGTTTGGTGAATGCCACGTTTGAAATAATCCATCTAGACCGTTTAACCTGGACTAAACTTTGGTCTAAAAATTGGTCTAACCCTCAGTCTAAACCAGGACTAAACCGGGACTAAACCGGGACTAAACCGGGACTAAACCGGGACTGAACCGGGACTGAACCGGGACTGAACCGGGACTGAACCGGGACTGAACCAGGACTGAACCAGGACTGAACCAGGACTGAACCAGGATTAAACCTTTATAGTTCATAGTCAAATGGCAAGTGAGTAGTTTTACAAGCAGGAATAAACCTACCTATAAACTATGACTCAACCAGGACTGAAGAAGGACTAAACCAGGACTAAACCCGGACTAAACCCAGACTAAACCCAGACTAAACCCAGACTAAACCAGTTTTAGTCCAGTTCTTGTAGTTGCTGTGACGGTTAGGTTCTACTTAAACAGCGACTTTAGTTCTGTTTTCCATCCAAAATGTTCATGTTTGAGATAAAAGCTGCAGTTATGAAATCTGAGAGTCCAGTGGGTCCAAGACAGATCAATTTTTCATCTGTCTCTTATGTAACAGACTCTAGAGACACAAGACTAGATCAGGACTGAACCCGGACTGAACTCGGACTGAACCGGGACCGAACCAGGACCGGGAGACAAGAACATCAGTCATTTTAGAGGGATTTACGAACAGGAAGCACACAGAGGCCACCGAGGTTTGGATGAAGACGGGAGCATGTGGCCAAATACTTTCTGACAGTAAAATGTTTAGGACTGGAGGTAAAGAAGGGACCCTCTTTATGTAATCCAGATTTGTTCCTGGTTTAGTCTTGGTTAAATCCTATTATAATTCTGGTTTTGTCCTGGTTTAGTTCTGGTTTAGTCCTTGTGTTTACTTCTCAGTCCTAGGTGTGGCTGAAGACTCCCTCTTTGTTGCTTTGGAGGTTCTTGCAGTGAAATGGGAGTATCAGATGGTAGTTTAGTCTTGGTTTAGTCCTGGTTTAGACCTGGTGTTTACTTCTCAGTCCTCATTGTGGCTGTAGACACCCTCTCCGTTGCTCTGGTGGCTCTTGCGATGCGATGGGGGGATGAGATGAGTTGGCAGCTCCACGGGCAGCTCGTATCCCTCCAGTTTGACTTGGATCAGATGTTGCGCCAGAGCAAACTCCTCGTCATCCAGCATCCCGTCGTGGTCGCAGTCTGCCAGCTTCCAGATCTTTCCCAAGACCGTGTTGGGAAGTCTGGAGTTCATCATCTCCTTCTTGGCGTTGACTCCAGAGATCTTCCCGTTGACCGGCATGAGCGTGTAGAAGATCTCGTCATATCTGTGTTTGTCACGGGTCACGATCCAGTCCTCGTGGTCGGCTCCGGCGCTGATGCCCTCTCCGTACCCGTGACCGAAAGGACCGTCCTGGACACACACGAGACAGAAAGAGAGGGGGTCAGGTGGGGTTTAAAGGTGCATTGTGGAGGGTCCATTACCTGCTTGTTTCTATAGATATGTCATTGCTCTGCCTGGAATGTTCCACAGTGTGACATTAAACAGCTCTACCTTACATTTATTCAATTACAGGTAGTTTTATAGCCCAAGAATACCTAGAAAAACATATATTCTGGCTGTGAGCGGGGTTGCCTCTTCATAGATCTGACCTGTAACTTGGTCTGGTTTGGCCTCTATGATGATAGAATGGTTTAATGTTCCAGACAAAGCAATAACATTTCCATGGAGAAAAGCGTTTGACGGAACCTCCACCAGAAAAGTTACACAATGTACCTTTAAGGAACTGTACGCACAATTTTGAACATGTGTCCCCAGATACAAGATAAACATAGCTTTTACTGCAAACGCTGAAATATGCTGATTTTGCAGAATTTAAATCAAAAATCATTTTGTAGATTTTAACCATCCTATTGCTTCCTTAAGATATATTGGCATTGAACATGTGGAACTGCTCCTAGAGGTGGGAATCTTGAAATGCTCCTGTCAAAAAGAGAACAATTCTGGATTCACCAACTAGACTCTAGCTGCTCACGGACACAATGTGGAGTTTGATCTAAGATGTTTTTTGTAATATGGTCAAACTATTTCTGTATTTTATAGAATGTTTTTAATGTAAATATCTAAACAGTTTTTTCTTGTTGTAGAGTGGGCTGAACTCACTGGGTGACCTCACTTTAGGACCTCCCATTCATTGGAGGGTTATATGAGCACCTGGGCTGGCAACCATTTTGTGTGCTGTGGTCCAAAGTAAGAAAATATCTGATGAAAGCTTTTTTTGCCGAAACTTTATTTTGAAAATAAAAAAGCTTTTGGACATCGGCCATCTGAGTGTGCTATGTATTTTTTCACTTTTGTCTTGCTCCTTGCATTTGCACCTCTACAAGAATTTTGGTGTGCGTTTTGTTTCTTTTGCAGAATTGAACCTTACACCTGGTCAAATGTTTGCATGCTGTCCTGACTAACAGACGTGTTTCACTCTGTACCTGTGACCCCTCGAAGGCTCCGCCCTGCACCATGGCGGGCGGAACTTTAGACTCCTCCTCCCGGATCATCGCCATGAGAACAGCGATCTTCGACGCCAACATTTTATCGACCGACTCGATGAGTTTCATCTTTAGAGAAGGGAATTTACTGAAGTCGTAATGCTGCAACTGGTCCTAATGGAGAGGGAAGAGGAGAAAGAGAAAGAGGACAGGAAGAGAGAAGATGGCGAAGCGGATATGGGGAGGAAGAGGGAGAGAGACAGAGAGAGAGAGAAGAGGGGGAGAGAGGAACAGTAGAAGGAGGAGGGGGTAAGAGAGAGGGATACATTAGGATTAGGTCATAATAAAACAATGAAACAACAGACAGCATATTAGACCAAGATTTTTAGTGCTAAAAAATTACCAAAACAAAAAAACCAGACCAGGATCTTGGCTCACGTATGGTCCTCCTGATATGTTTAACCCAGAACTAAACCAGGACAGCACTAGGCGTAAATCAGATCTAAACAAGGACTTCACCATATATAAACCAGATGGAAACTAGGTCTAAACCAGGTCTAAACCAGGGCTAAACCATAATTCTCTCAGATCCAGTGTTGGGGACAGCACATCTGTCTCTGTAGTTTTGTTGGTTTTGGACAGAGGGCAGTTCTTGGTTTACAGACACCTGCAGAGAGAACAAACATCTGCAACATCTGGGCCTACATTTCCCCTCAGGACTGGGACTAGAGACCGGATCAGAGACCAGAGACCAGGCCAGGCCCAGACCAGAGACTGGACCAGAGGCCAGAGACTAGATACTGAACATTGTGTTGTATTTCATTTGGAACATGACTTTTGTTGTTTTAACATCCGGCCAGAATATTTCAGCTCCAAAACACAGAGAGAATAAATAAATATTATCTATATTATTTTGAAGGAAAGAAAAATATTCAACATCTGCAGCAAAGGCTGTGAAATTGCCTTGAATTGTTTTGAATATTTTTATATTATCTGGTCATTCTTTAGGTCAGTGGTTCCTGAACAGGGGAAACTCTGGGGCTCCCTGGGCCATGTGTGTTGTGATAACACTGAACACTACAATTTTTATGATAAACATCCCAAGAATATGAGTTAGATGAAAATAACTACACAAAGTTGATCTGGAAAGTGACATTTCATTGTCATTTTTGGTTATGTTTTGGCAATACTTTAGCTGACATTTTTGTCCTTTTTGTTCACAGTTCTGTATTTTTAGTACCTGCATCTTGGCCACATTGGGGAAGTCTCCGGGGCTGATGTGGTGCTCCCTCTGGAGGATGGTGTAAATCTCTGGAAGTCGCAAAATTAGCTCCTCCTTCTTTTTCTCACGTCCGAAAAGCGATGGCATTTCCTTCTTCAAGTAACTGATGATGTAAGCGTGCACCTACAGAGGGAGGCAGAGAGAAGCCATTGAGAGGGACAAATGAACAGACCTAATGAAATGTCCACAGTGGGGCTTTAACCCTGTTCTAATGTCATGTTCTTGTTAAAAACATCCCTGGAGCTGTTTTGTTTCATTCACACCTCAGTCATCCTGCTGATTTAGTCTGTCTTCCATCTGCACAGCTCACAACACTTTGTTACACCTTGTGATGTCATCAGGTGGTGCTCCTGTCTTTTTTAAAGCCCAATCCCTTTCACCAGACATGCTCAGATCACGTCTGTGCTCAGATGAGCTCCAATACAAAACTAAACAACTCTGACAAAAGTTATACTAGTACTTGTAAGCTTCAGGTGTCTTTAGTCATGCACAAGCAGCTGAATTCCTTGTGCCCTCTGCTGGCGTTTTGTAACATTAGCCTCATATAAATATACTGCAGGAAGAAACGTTTTCAAAATCCTGACCCTTCAGAGCAGAGGTCAGAGGTCACAGAGGCAGTTTAATTTCACAAAAAATGAAACAAGGAAAATACAGTTTGTTTTTTGAAAAAACAGAAGTGAGACTCAGGATTATAAAAGTCAGTTTATTCTCAGAGGTAATGAGTTTTAAAGAACAACAATAACAGGAGTAGACAGGAGTAAACAGGATAAAAGTAAAGGACTTGTTAAACCTGATCAAGTCCTGGTTCAGTCCAGCTGTAGTCTCGGTCTAAGTCTCTCTCGGTCTAAGTCTCTCTCGGTCTAAGTCTCTCTCGGTCTAAGTCTCTCTCGGTCTAAGTCTCTCTCGGTCTAAGTCTCTCTCGGTCTAAGTCTCTCTCGGTCTTAGTGTCTCTCGGTCTTAGTCTCGCTCGGTCTAAGTCTCGCTCGGTCTAAGTCTCGCTCGGTCTAAGTCTCGCTCGGTCTAAGTCTCGCTCGGTCTAAGTCTCGCTCGGTCTAAGTCTCGCTCGGTCTAAGTCTCGCTCGGTCTAAGTCTCGCTCGGTCTAAGTCTCGCTCGGTCTAAGTCTCGCTCGGTCTAAGTGTCTCTCTCGGTCTAAGTGTCTCTCGGTCTAAGTGTCTCTCGGTCTAAGTGTCTCTCGGTCTTAGTGTCTCTCGGTCTTAGTGTCTCTCGGTCTTAGTGTCTCTCGGTCTTAGTGTCTCTCGGTCTTAGTGTCTCTCGCTCGTCTAAGTCTCGCTCGGTCTAAGTCTCGCTCGGTCTAAGTCTCGCTCGGTCTAAGTCTCGCTCGGTCTAAGTGTCTCTCGGTGTAGTTCGAGTTGAGTTTGAAGTTATTTGTTCTAAAAGTGAGGACTATTGTTCTAATGTAGGACTATTGTCCACTCCTTAAATCCCAGTTTCAGTAAAAACATATTTTTAAGTTTCTTAACAGAACCCTTTAACCTCTGAGTGTTTTCATGGTCTCAATAAACACCAGTGAAACTGTCAGGCCCTCCATCTTCTCCTATCTCCTATTTCCTCTCCCCTGGCTTCCTCTCTCTTCCCCTCCTTGTCTCCTCTCCTCTTTCCTTGTCTCCGCTTTCCTCCTCTACTCTCTTCTGCTCTCTCCTTGTCTCCTTGCTTCCTCTTCTCCTCTCTCCTCCTTTCCTTGTCTCTGTTCTGTAAACACGTGTCCCTCAGAGTTGTATTATATTTGTAAGTATTTTAAGTGGACGTGGGTGCGGTTTTTGTTTGTCCTTAATGTCAAATGAGAATTGGCTCCAGTTTAGTCACGAGTCTGATCTGCAGAGTCTGTTCAGTCCTGGTTCAGCCCTGGTTCAGCCCTGGTTCAGTCTAGTCCTGGTTCAGACTGGTTCAGTCTGGTCCTGGTTCAATCCAGATTCAGTCCTGGTTCAGTCCTGGTTCAGCCCTGGTTCAGCCCCGGTTCAGCCCCGGTTCAGCCCCGGTTCAGCCCCGGTTCAGCCCCGGTTCAGCCCCGGTTCAGCCCCGGTTCAGCCCCGGTTCAGTCCCGGTTCAGCCCCGGTTCAGTCCTGGTTCAGTCTAGTCCTGGTTCAGTCCCGTTTCAATCCCAGTTCAATCCCAGTTCAGTCCTGGTTCAGTCTAGTCCTGGTTCAGTCCCGTTTCAATCCCAGTTCAGTCCTGGTTCTGGGAAGATACAGTTCTGTAATAAGAGACATGTGCTGGGTTTGTACAATATTTCATGTCTGTTCTGATCCCAGAGGAGCCCACAGGTCAGAGCTCATGATTTATAAAGGTTTAAGTGAGATTTTTTGCATTGTTTTTGTATTGTGTATTTTTTTTGTATTTTTTTTGTTTAAACACAGAAACCTGAATGAGTCTGATAAAGATTTTTGGACTATAACAACCCAGAACAGCACCACCTGATGACATCACCAAGTGTAACAGAGTATTATTAGGTGTGTGGAGGGAAACATGTGCAGCATTACAGAAACATGTGTGAATGAAAGAAAAAAACAACTGCAGTCAGGCTCTCTTAAAGGTGCACTATGTAACTTTTCGGTTAGGAGTCCATCTCCTGCTTGTTTCTATGGAGATGTCATTGCTCTGCTTCAAATGTTCCACAGTATTGCATTAAACAGCTCTACCTTACATTTATTCAATTACAAGTGGTTTTATTACTCAAAAATACCTAGAAAAACAGACATTCTGACTGAACCACACAAGTTGATCTGTGGAGAGGCAACACCGCTCAGTCTCCATGAAGATAGAAAGATTTAATGCCATACTGTGAAACATTCCAGACAAATGAATAACATCTCCATGGAGAAAAGCATTTGACGGAGCCTCCACCAGAAAATTTACACAAGGCACATTTAAGTCAGACTCACCTTGGCGAGTCGGGCTCTCTTGATCAGGTCGTTGAGTTTTCTCAGAGCTGCGTTTCGAGGTAAACCCTGAATGTCTCTGAACAGATCCTGACTCTCGGCTTCAAACAGACGTCTGGCACAAAACAACAAAAAAATGATATCAGTGAAATCGTTCAGTCAGATCTGCTCCTCTCCTCTTTGCCACAACCGCCCTGGGGCAGACCGGCACATATACACAGACGAAAAGGGAGTAAACATTGATGTATTTATCCTTCGTGAATATCCATCAGTAGTAGCGGTAACAGCAGATTAACTTGTACATGTGCAAATTTCTATATTGGTGGTTTTGTTCTGGAATGTGATGCCGTACTCTCAGATGGAGGGCAAGAGACAGTTTCTGTTGATTACTTCATGACAAAGTACAATTTAATCAAAAGGTAAATTCACAAATGTTTAACCTGAGCATTTCTATTACTGAATAGACCCAAGAACATAATTTTGGTTGCCCCCCATCTAGAGGAGGATCGTTTCTGTTGGGGTCTGAGTAGTTTAAAGAGCTCCTAACCGGTTTTGGTGGGTCTGAACAGGTCTAGACAAGGAACTGGTTTTGGAGGGGTCACTGGGTGGAAATCCTCTGGCAAATAGTCTATTGTGCACAATTGCGTATACATATGCAAACAAATAAATTCATAAAAATGTTGTGTAAGTAAAAATATAAAATCATTCATTTGGTATTATGACAAATACTGGTAAAATAAATCACAATTTCTTATTACTGTATTAATTTTCAGATTGTAGAATGTGATGATGCCAGACGGCGGCAAGAGACAGTTTCCTTTGTTTGTTATGAAGTATTCAAAAGGTAAATTCACGAATGTTTAACCTGATCATTTCTATTAGTGCTTAGATCCAAGAACATAATTTTAGCTGCCCCTCATCTTTTGCAATTAATATACTGCAACCCAGCAATTGGAATCGCTGTTTAACTGTCAGATTTGTTTATGGTTCATATCTGTGTAATTCCTGGGCCTATCCACATGAAACAAAAACTGGCACAAACTTGAACATCTTCTTCTCATCTTCTCAACACTAAAACTAGGATTGTTGTAAACTGAAATTACTTTAAGCCATGTGATTAGTATGAAGTTTGTGGCCAATCCCAAACCTATAATGAGAAGGTTCAACATTTGTGGAGCAGAAGTTTGGAGATTTCTTTCATAAACAGTGAATCTCCCACAGAGTTATATAGGCTCCTACCCTCTACCTTCGTAACGCTGTCAGTCAAACCTGTTGTTAACGCTAGCAACTGAAATTTAACAAAGCATTGCAATAATGATTTATTTAGTAATAAATAATAGTCCTACTGACCTGTTCTCTGTGTTCTGCAGAGGCTTGGCCCAGAACGAGCCCAGATAAACCCGCACCACCTCTGGAGTGTTGATCACTTTCCCCAGAGACCACATGAGGGCGCCATACACACGCATCAGCTGCTGAGTGTCCACCTGAGAGAGAAGAAGAACCAGGACTCAACCAGGACTCAACCAGGGTTAAATCAGGACTAAACAAGGACTAAACCAGGACAAAATCAGGGTTAAACCAGGACTAAACCAGGACTAAACCAGGGTTGAACTAGGAGGATATCAGTGCTAATTTAGGTCTAATTTGTGTCTTTTGTTGTGGTCTCAGACTCGTACCTGGTCGGCTTTGTTGAGCACCACTCGGATCTTATCGTCTTGACCTTTGAACGCTCGGATGGCCTCAGAAAACTCATCTGAAATGTCCAGTTTATGAGCATCAAACAGGAGGATGATTCTGTCCACACGCTCCCCGAACCACCGCAACACCTCCGCAAAGTCATAACCTGAAACAGAGAAAAGAGAAGGTCAGAGGAGCAGAGGAGGAGACGGGGAGAGGGGGAGAAGAAGTCAGATGTTGCAGAGGAGGATCAGAAGGTGCTCAGGAGGTCAGATGGTGCAGAGTTATTGATGGAGAGACTCTGATGTTATGTTCCTCTAAAACAAACAGGTCCTCCTGAAACCAGGAAGTGCCATTGTTCAAACCGCAGGCATTTCCTGTCAAACAGGAAGTGGAATATGTGAGGTCACTAGGAGCCAAAGAGGTTATGCAATAATCTGTGCCCAGTGAAAGGGACTACTCAGGGTTTAAACCAGGACTAAAACAGGACAGAACCAAGACTAAAGCAGGACTATGCCAAGACCAAAGCAGAACTAAAGTAGGACTAAACAAGAACAAAAAGCAGGACTGAACCCAGACTAAACAAGGACTGAAACAAGACCAAAGCAAAGCTGAAATAGGACTAAAAAGAGAACTAAAGCAGGACTAAACCAGAACTGAGTTAGGCTGAACCAAGGCATATACCAGGACCAAACAAGGACTCAACTAGAACTAACCTAGAACTCAACCAGGACTAAAACCAGGACTAAACTAGAAGTACCCTCGAACTAAACTAGAACTAAACCAGAACTAAACTAACCTAAATTAGAACTAAACCAGGACTAGCCCTCATCTATTAAATCCTGAGGCAGTTCATCTACAACAGGATGGAACCTTGTATTTTTATGTTAATGCGAGAATGCGTTTAAAATTCTTTGCATAGTTTTGAGTTTAGTTTTGCCCTCGGAGTTCCACTTTATTCTGAAATACTGGGGCAGACACTTATGATGGTTCCTTTTTGTGGTGAACAGTTAAACCACAAAAACACACACGGCCAAACTGCAGAAACAGGCTGAAACCACATCTGAGCACTTCCAAACCAAAACTCCCATCTCAGTCAGAACTGAACTGAACCTGCATCAGAAAAGGAACATCTACAAAACCAGGACTAAACCAGGACTTTACAAGGACTAAACCAGGACTAAACCAGGACTGAACCAGGACTAAACTAAGACTAAACCAAGACTAAACCAAGACTAAACCAAGACTAAACCAGGACTGAACCAGGATTTAACAAGGACTAAACCAGGACCAAATCAGGACTGAACCAGGTCTAAACAAGGACTAAACCAGAACTAAACACGGACTAAACCAGAACTAAACCAGGACTGAAACAGGACTAAACCAGGACTTAACAAGGATTTAATAAGGACTAAACCTGGACCAAATCAGGACTAAAACAGGACTAAACCAGGACTGAACTAGGATTAAACAAGGACTGAACCAGGACTAAACCAGGACTGAACAAGGACTGAACCAGGACTGAACCAGGACTGAACCAGGACTGAACAAGGACTAAACCAGAACTAAACAAGGACTAAAACAGGACTAAACCAGGACTAAACCGGGACTAAACCAGGACTGAACAATGATTAAACAAGGACTAAACCAGAACTAAAACAGGACTAAACCGGGACTAAACAATGATAAACAAGGACTAAACCAGGACTGAACCAAGACTAACCCAGGACTGAATCAGAAGGTAACAGGCTATCAGAAAGGTTACACAGTGCAGCTTTAAAAACACAGGGTATCTATTAATAATAAGAACTAAACCAGGTCAAAAGCAGGTACATAAATAGCTGAATTAGTGGTTGAGGAGAGTGGTGTGTGAGTGTGTATCGCGGTGATCACGGTGTGAGTCTGGAAGTCCCTGTCCTCTGAGTGTGAGCAAAACTGAGACTGAGAATTCACCAAAACAAAATGTTTGGTGTGAAAAATACTCTCCTCACATCCTCACTTATTGTTTCCTTATCTTCTGTCTCCTCGTCTCCTGGCTTCTCATCTCCTAGCTGCTCGGCTCCTGCATCCTTATCTCCTCTCTCCTCGTCTCTTTGTTTTCTTGCTCCTCATCTCTTTTCTACTCGTCTCCTTGTCTCCTTTCCTCGCTTCCTCTCTCCTTGTTTGTGAATGTGTAGTTCACTGTCTCTCTCTCATTGGAAACAGAGTGACAGTCATTTTTACTGTGAGTTTGTCAGACAGTAAAATGTTGTGAAGGAGTAGAGTCTGAGTTGTGTCTCATTCTTTGTATTTTGAATCCCCAAAAGTCAAATCCACAAATGTTTTTTTTTTCCTGATTGTTTTTATCAGTGACAAGGTCCTTTTCTCCCACTGCATTTATCCAACCACACCACAACATCTGGGAGGGCATCTGACACACCACAACATCTGGGAGGGCATCTGACACACCACAACATCTGCAGATTAACTAGAGACATTTATTTGACATGCCCCCAACCCAGACAAACACTACAGGGATATAGGAGAAAGGGAGGGCATCTGACACACAGGGATAAAGAGGGATGGGAAGGCGTCTGATACTTGATAGGACTTGTGAAGTAAAACAGGTCAGTGGGTCTCATGAATAAAACAGCGGCAGGTGCAGAGTAAGGTGACGCACGACAGGCCCCGCCCACAAAAAGGTGTATTATCAAAGGTTGAAGGTGAGAGATGAGCAGACAAGTCAAATCTGACACTTTTAATCTAGTGTGTTCATTCAAAATTCAAAAGAACAAGGGGAACATGTTTACCAGGACTAGATTAGGACTAAAACAGGGCAAAACAGGACTAAAACAGGACTAGATTAGGACTAAACAAGACTAAACCTGCACTGAACCAGGACTAGACTAAAACATGACTAAACCAGGACTGACCCAGGATAAGACTAACAAAAAGACTAAACAAGGGCTAAAACAAGAATAAACTAGGACTAAAATAGGACAGAACCAGGCCTGGACCAGGACTAAACCTGGACTATACTTGGACTGAACCAGGACTAGGCTAAAACATGAATTAACCAGAACTGAACCAGGATTAGATTAACACTAAAAAAGGACTACATCAGGGCTAAAACAAGAAAAAAAAACAAACAAGATAAGAACCTGGATTAGATTTATAAAAGAACAGAAATAAACCAGAACAAAACTAGGACAAATGAATATAGGTCAAAACTAGGATGAGATCGTGATTTTAACCAGAATTCATTGAACCAGATTAAGACTGAACTAGGACTGAACCAGAACCTGAATCCAAACTAAACCAGAACAACAGAACTAGGTCTAAACCCGGACTAAACCAGAATTACTTCAGACTAAACCAGAAGTAAACCAAGACTATACTCTGACTAAATCGGGACTAAACCGGGACTAAACCAGGACTAAATGGCCTCAGTACTCCCTTGTATTCTGTGCACTGTGGTTGTGTGACAGTGTAAGATGATCTGGTCTGGGTGTGGTCTGGAACTGGGACTCAGGATCAGGACCTGGATCTCAAACAGATTTAAAGGGGTTTTAAACTGTATCTGTGTGTGCCATTCAAGAGGACTGATCCAGAGGCTAGATTCACTCTTTTGTCTTGTCTCATATTTAGAGTAAAACAAGCACTAAACCAGGACTAAATACTTTTTTGCAGACAGCAGAACTATCATTGCAGACATCGCATCATTTGCATATCTGTAAATATGGGTTTCCTAACACAGCACTTTAAATTCTGCAGGTCAGAAAAGTGCAAAATCAACATATACAAAAGATTTAAATCTCTATATTTGATGAAGAATATAAAAAAAAAAGTAAAATGATTCCATTAAAGTTTCATGGTAAAGTCCCAGGTTTAGTTCCTGTTCTAGCTCCGGTTTAGTCACAGATTTAGTCACAGGTTTAGTCCTGACTTTGTCCTGACTTTGTCCTGACTTTGTCCTGACTTTGTCCTGACTTTGTCCTGACTTTGTCCTGACTTTGTCCTGACTTTGTCCTGACTTTGTCCCTGGGTTAGTCCCACGTTTATTCTCAAATTTAGTTCCTGGTCTAGCTCTGTTTTAGTCCTGGTTTAGTCCTGATTTAGTCTTTGTTTTAGTCCTGGTTTAATCTTGAGTTTGTCCCTGTTTAGTCCCGGTTTAGTCTGTTTCAGTCCTGGTTTAGTCCCTGTTTTAGTCCTGGTTTAGTCCTGTTTTAGTCCTGGTTTAGTCCCTGTTTTAGTCCTGGTTTAGTCCCTGTTTTAGTCCTGGTTTAGTCCCTGTTTTAGTCCTGGTTTAGTCCCTGTTTAGTCCTGGTTTAGTCCCTGTTTTAGTCCTGGTTTAGTCCCTGTTTTAGTCCTGGTTTAGTCCCTGTTTTAGTCCTGGTTTAGTCCTTGTTTTAATCCTGGTTTAGTCCCTGTTTTAATCCTGGTTTAGACCCTGTTTTAGTTTTTTTATAATCTTGAGTTAGTCCCTGTTTTAGTCCTGGTTTAGTCCCTGTTTTAGTCCTGGTTTAGTCCCTGTTTTAGTCCTGGTTTAGTCCCTGTTTTAGTCCTGGTTTAGTCCTTGTTTTAATCCTGGTTTAGTCCCTGTTTTAATCCTGGTTTAGACCCTGTTTTAGTTTTTTTATAATCTTGAGTTAGTCCCTGTTTTAGTCCTGGTTTAGTCCCTGTTTTAGTCCTGGTTTAGTCCTTGTTTTAATCCTGGTTTAGTCCCTGTTTTAATCCTGGTTTAGTCCCTGTTTTAGTTTTTGTATAATCTTGAGTTAGTCCCTGTTTTAGTCCTGGTTTAGTCCGTTTCAGTCCTGGTTTAGTCCCTGCTTTAGTCTTGGTTTAATCCTGTGATCCTGGTACAGTATGATTGTTTACTGAGGGAGGATCCTGGTGTCAACATAAAGGCTTTACAGTCAACAGCCCTGAACTTCACAGCAGACCTGCCCCGGGACAGGGCCTATAGAACTCAGTGGGAAAGAACAGTGATGCAAGGGCCTGTATAACTCTACAGGAGAGCTACCTTTTTTAACATAATGTCCAAACTTCCGATCCCCAAATGCTGAACCTTCTCATTTTTGTTTCAGATTGGCTCCACAGACATGCCATCTTAATCTTAAAGTGCTTTCAACTGAAAACAATCACATCTCTGGGGTTGAATAATGGCACCACTTTCTGAAGCCATTGTGAAAACAGAGAGACGTTGTACTAATGGAAAGAAAGGGCTATTTCTAACACCGGAAAAGTCTGAATTTAATATGGATATTTGTACAGTTAATGAATGATTGGTTTGGAATTTATGTTTGTTCATGTTTCAGCATTCTCTGGGGGTGGGCTGTTGCTTACTGTAAGCACTGCTCTGTCTGAAGCTCTGTTAAACTTTACTCTGTGCTTTAATTTAACACAATCTGACTAGACAAAACAACAAGTCGGAACTACAGGTCAGGTGATTTGAGCTGGCCACTCTCCTGTTTTTGTTGAACACCAAAACTGGACCACAAATGCTTATATTGATCACAGGTTCCTGAAAAATGTGTTGTTTAAATCCATTTTGAATTTTTTCTTGAGTTTAAAATTATATTTGTCAGTGTTTCCTAATGTGTGTATTGTGTCACCATGGTAGCTGCTGAACATTCCTCCATAGACATACATCTAAACCCCTCCCCAGAACAGCCTATTCACATGAAATAGTGGTAAAAAATGTATGGATTTGTGGAACCAGGCTCTATATAAATTCCAAAAATTCCATACAAAGTTCCACATTTGTGTATTTTCTGTTTAGATTCCCCCTTCGCAGAGCGTAACACAGGCCCTGCCCTCTAAATGAAACTGTAGAACATTATGATTTGGTTGGTCCAGTTTTCCTCTGAGTTTTCTGGACTTTAAATGCACGTGTGACTCATTCTGGCCCAGAGTCTGGTTTTGATCCTCCTCTGGGCCTAGTCCTATGGACCCACCCTCCTCACTACGTTTCCCATGATGCAACAGCTCCAAACTCACTGACCTTTGAAGATGACATCACCAACATCAACACAGCAGGAGCAGTCAGGGATTCAAGACAGGACTGGACCACGACTGAACCAGGACTACACTAGGAATGAACCAGGACTGAACCAGGAACTGAATCAGGAGTTAAACTAGACTCAAAACTTGGCTTAGTCTGAGTGTATGAGTATGGAGGCGTTTTCCTGGTAGAGGAACTCCTCTTTTTAATTAGTACTTTCAGTGCACCAGACAGATCTCAGCCAGTGCCGTTTACCTCCTGCCCTGGTCCCAAAGAGGTCTGAACCCAGACTAAACCAGGACTAAAGCGGGAATAAACCAGCACTAACCAGGGACGAGACTAAACTAGGACTAAACCAAGATTAAACCAAAACTAAACCAGGACTAAACCATTATACTGAGTGCGTGTCAGACCTTTGTATTTGAGGCACATTTTTTAGTTATTGAATTGTTGTTGACTCAGCTGAACCTCTCGGTCCCTCCCTCTGTAGCAGAGCACCAGGACTTGGAACCAGACCAGGATCTGGTTATGAACCTGGACTATGGCCCATCTGGACCAGGTCTGGTTTGGGACCGGTTCTTGGTCTGAGCTGTTCCAGATGGAGACACACCCCTCAGTCACTTACTCTGCTGCAAACTGTGACCAACATGACAAGACTAAACCAGGACTATGCCAGGACTAAGTCAGGACTAAGTCAGGACTAAAAGTCAAATCATCAAATGTTTTTGTCCCCTGGTCATTTCTATCAGTGACAAGGTCCATTCTCCCATTGTATGTATCCAACCACACCAAAACATCTACATATTAAAGCTGCACTATGTAACTTTTATGGTGGAGGGCCCATTACCTGCATGTCAGTTCAATTATTTCTTCTTTCATTTATACACTTACTGGTGTTTTTATTGCTGAAAACACATAGTGCATAGGGCACACTCTTCACACGTGCATGCTCCTGTCACGTGCACAATCCGGACGTGTCTCTGAGCGTCTCCATCTCGTCCCTCATTTCCTGTTTGTCTCCTTGTGTTTCCTGTCCAGTTAATCATAGTCCAAAACCAGATCTGAAACTAAGACTTCCCCAAAAAATAAATCAGGACTAAACCAGGTCTAGATGAGGACTAAAGCCAGTCTCAGGTCTACATGCATTAGTATCATACATTACAGTGGTGGTAAAAGTCCGAGTCGAGTCTGGGCGCGTTTTGTGCTGACTGAGGGGAGCGCCGCACGTTTGAGTTTACATAACACAGGATCAGAGAGTCACTAAACCTGAGGCAGAAGAGTATGGGGGAACATGTGAGGAGAAGTGATCCAAGGTTTGGTTAAAGCAGACATTTTATGTTTGTGTGTGTTCTAAAGGTATAATCTATGACCTGTGGATCATTATCGTTATCATTTTAAATCTTAATATTCATCTAAAATGACTTTATAAAAAACAAATCCGCATTAGAAAACTGTTTTGTCCAGTGGGGGCTGACGTCGTCGAAACGTCATCACAACAAAGGCCGTATGATGTCGGCCAAAGCTGTGGATAGCTGCACATCACACTAGCAAACAGAGGATTTTTTTTTTTTTATGTGTATCAAAATTATTATGCGACACTGCTAAATCCTGCATGAATCACCGATTCAGAGAATAAAACTGAACAAGGAACTGCATACACCACTGTGGGTGGTGAATGATCGGAACAACGACATCTTGAATACAAGAGACTAAAGATTACTCAAGCATGCTCAGTCAATGAGAAGGAAGGAACTATAACATGATTCAAAGTCGATTTTGCAGAATAGGCCTCATTTTGATAAACTATTTGTTCATCACAAATTAAGTCTCTGCTTATGATTTACTGAAAGACTATCAAAAGTGTTGTTATTATGAGTGTTAGTGCCTGTTTTATTCTAACAGTGACAGTGACATTCTAACCTCTGATGTGATAATAATAGTGTGTCCTGACCTCTGCTGATTCTCTGTTTCTCTCCTGACAAGATCCCTGGAGTGTCGATGATGCTGATGCTCTGAAGCACCTGGTTGTTCATCTGAGAGCAGATAAACCTGGAACACACAACAACAATGTTATTAGAATACAACAAAAGTATTAGTCAGTCTCCTCTGCTCCTCTGATCATCTCCTCTGTCCCTCTGCTGTTCTGACCCTCTGCAAAAATATCATAATATCAATATATCATATTGTCAAATGTAATGATACAGTATCGATATGGTGGGTGTATCACTATATCGCCATTATTGATATATTTTACTACACTACTTTGTTTCAGCTACAGTTTTGTTGCTTGTTTAGAGGAAGAAAACTCACAACATATTTGACATTTTCACTGTTTTGATGATTAAAATGTTTGTGTTTCATATTAACATTGTGCAAAAGGTGGTTTAACAAAGACTTTTAGCATCACAGTCATCATTTAGCCATTGTATCGAATCAATCTGAAATATTTTGCATCGAATGGAAAGTGAACTGTACCGAGGTACGCATCGTATCGTGGCCTATCTGTCGAGGTATTTATCGTATCGGCAACTTCTTAAAGATACCCAGCTTTATTCTCCTTTGACCCTCTGACCCTCTCCTCCTGTGACCCTCTCCTCTGCTCTCTTGTCTCTTATGTAACAGAAAAACGTGAGGAGACATTTTGTTTGTGTTCGACTCTTCACTGTCAGCCACTTCCTCCATCAACAGGAAGTGCCCTCCAACCTCAGCTGCCATGTTTAAATTTAAAATCTCGGAGTTTCCTGTTTCAGAAATACCTCGAGGAAAACTCTCAAACACTTGGACACTCGGACGCAGGGTGGAGACGGGGAACTCAAGTGTTTGTAGAGCACAGAGGGAACCTTCGACATGTGCTGTGTTTCCGGGGGAAGTTCAGAGTGCGTCACACCTGTCACTCTAGGACAACACGTTTTTCTCACCGATTTATGAAACGAAACTAAATTTAACCAGGAGTAAAGCTAAGGTCAACAACAACACTCATATATCCCTGTGTGCCAGATGCCCACCCTGTATGCTGGACGCCCTCCCTGTACTCCGGATGCCCTCCCTGTGTCTCCATGGAGTCTTATTCTGAGTAAAAGCTGCCATGCCTGTAGTTTAGACTTCTACAAACGTGTTCAAGATTTCATTCTCTCTCAGACGCCCTCCCCTCCTTCTGTAGTGTGTCAGATGCCCTCCCTCCTATCAGACCTGTTTAAAAAGGAGTTTCCGAAGGCGTTGAGTTTCCTGAAGGGTTTCTTGGGGTCAACAACCAGGGCGTTGCCAGGGACGACCCCCTCGTTCTCTCCGTACATCACAGCGATAAAACCATCGGTGGTCGGCTCCGGTCCAATCCTCATCCCAGGGAAGTCCTGTTCCAGAAGGTACCTGAGGAGAGAGGTAGGGTTGTCATCAGATACTAATCAATACTAAAACTAGTATCGAAACTGGATACTCATTTAAGCAGGTATCGATACTAAAAAAAGTCACATTCACAGGACAAAAATGAACATTTCCTGAAACTTTAGCATGATCTTGAACTGTATCAGAAAAGTATAAGAGCACATTGACTAGTATACACCCATGGACCATTATGGAACAGACCTGCACCACTGAGGGATTACACAGATGTAAGGCCACATGGGAATAGAAAAGAAGTACTATTATCCTTGAAAATTACACTCTGTTGTCTAAAGAAAGTGTTTTTATTATGATAAAAAATCAAGTTTGAAATGTTAGTATCCTGATAACGCAGGGAGACAGGACGAGAGACACTGTATGTATAACCAGAATTTAGGTCTGATAAAGGCTGGGCAGCTGCCCTTGGACAGACTGCATGAAGTGAGGCTGCCAATCTGTGCCCCTCCCACCACCAACAATCACACACACACACACCACACAGGTGAGGTGGGTGAAATGTCTTGCACAAGTATGCACTGGTTAGATCTGAGATTGCACCTTTGACCTTTGGTTTATAAGAAGACTTCCATTTGAGACACTTTTAAAGAGTTTTTACTTGTCTTGTCTTATTTTACAAGCGCCTGAGGTAAAAGAAATGCAGCTCAAGAAGAAAAAGTGTGTGTGTTTCCCACAATGTAACACAATATGAAACAATTATGTCTTTCATGTTCATCCATCTCTCCCTTGACCCTCGCGACCCACATGCGACCTCTGACCTCTGCCTTTGTTCTGAGAATCGTGAGGAAAGTGTGAAATATGGAGGAAGGAAGTGCCTGGTGCTCATTTCCTGTTGAAGTTGAACTTCAGAAAGAACATGGCAGCCATGTTTGTTTGTCCTGACGCCCGGGAACAAAACACGAGACTGATATGAGCGACTAGAGAACAGACTGGGTCCAAGACCAGGCCAAGACCAGGACTATAACCAGACTAAAACAAAAAGAGAACAAAACAGTAATATGACAACCAGGGATTAGACCAAGACCAAGACTGTAGCCAGACTAAAACTTAACAAGAACAAAACACAAAAGTAATGTGTGCACCCGGAAACAAGATCTAATGTTATGAAATGCTCAGCAGTGATTAAATGTCCCACAGTGGGGCTTTAATCCTGAAACTGGGAGAGACATTTGGTGAACAGTCCTAGCCCAGAGCTGAAACCACAACTCTGAGTTGGAAAGAACACCGCCTTAAATGGAACCACTTTATAACTATACATGTCTGCTGCTGTGTACTGTTTGCATCCAAATATAAAGCCTTTTACGGTTTGAGACAAAGTGCACTGTTAGCATGCTAGTTGTTGCTCTGGTCTCTGAGAGTTGTGAAAAGTGCTTATACTATAATATGGAGTCCAAAAGAGAGATCAAAAACTTCTCCTTCTGTTGTGCAAAAGTGAATCTACGTTAAATCCACTTTCACTTCTACATTTAGGGCTAACTTCTGCAAAAAGCATCTGTTCAGTAATCTGCTTTACAGATATGTTCTAGTCCTGGTTTAAAGATACGGTCTAGTCCTGGTTTAAAGATACGGTCTAGTCCTGGTTTAAAGATACGGTCTAGTCCTGGTTTAAAGATGTGGTTTAGTCCTGGTTTAAAGATATGGTCTAGTCCTGGTTTAAAGATACGGTCTAGTCCTGGTTTAAAGATGTGGTTTAGTCCTGGTTTAAAGATATGGTCTAGTCCTGGTTTAAAGATATGGTCTAGTCCTGGTTTAAAGATGTGGTTTAGTCCTGATCAAGCCCTGGATAAGGACTGATTTAGACCTGGTATCATCCTGGTTTAGACCAGGTCCAGTCCTGGTCTAGTCCTGGTTTAGACCTAAACTTTGTGTAGCAAGAAGGATTCTTGTGATATCTGTGAGGCAAAGATGAAGCACTTGTGGAGGAAAGATGTGCTTTTCTCTTAAATTTGAGTATTTATTTAAATGTCCTGACCGCTTTTCGGGAGAGCCTTCCCAGACTGATCATGTGCACAACTCAATTCAAAGCTTAGTTTTGTCCTGGTTTAGACCTGGTTCAGCTCTACTTTAGACCTGGTTCAGTCCTGCTTCAGTTCTGGTTTAGACCTGGTTGAGACGTGTTTCAGTTCTAGTTTAGACCTGGTTCAGACATGTTTCAGTTCTAGTTTAGACCTGGTTCAGATGTGTTTCAGTTCTAGTTTAGACCTGGTTCAGATGTGTTTCAGTTCTAGTTTAGACCTGGTTCAGATGTGTTTCAGTTCTAGTTTAGACCTGGTTCAGATGTGTTTCAGTTCTAGTTTAGACCTGGTTCAGACATGTTTCAGATCTGGTTCAGTCCTGGTTCAGTGCTGTTCAAATCCTGGTTTAGACCTGATTCAGTCCTGGTTTAGACCTGAATAAGATCTGGTTTATCCTGGTTCAGTCCTGGTTTAGTCATGGTGCATATTTCGGGGCAGTTTGTCGGTTACTGGGGCAAATAGCTGTGAGATTTTAGTGGGATCTGGACTAAAGGTCGTTCCTTAACCCCCTGAAAGAGAGAGACGAGAGGAAGAGGGGGAGAGGGGGAGAAACGGGGGAAAAGCAAGGGGATAAGAGAGGTGAGAGAGAAGAGAGAGAAAGATGGAGGGAGAGGAGAGGAAAGAAAGAGAAATCAAGGGAGAAAAGAGAGGGAGGGAGAGAGGAGAAAGGGAGTGATAGAGAGGGGGAGAGAGAGTACATGGATGTAGGGGATTTAGTGAAGTGTGCACAACTGAACATGTGATAAACTCCAGACCCAGAGTTTGCCCTAAACCAGGACTAAACCAGGACTAAATCAGGATTAAACCAGATCTAGACCAGGACTCTGACCCAGACTCAACAGTGGATCTCTCAGGGAACAGTCTATAAAATGAAAGGGACATTTTAAATCTGTAACTTTATATTGAAATTGATTGAAAAAATAGAATACATATTATATTACATCACCCACTCACACCTACACTGGGGGAGGAGGGAGTACCTTGCTCAGGGACACAGTAAGGAATGGAAGGAGCAGGAATTGAACCACCAGCTTTTAGGTTAGAGATTATTTAAACTCAAGCAATATCATAAAACAAATGTATTTCTTCTCATGTGGGCTCCACAAACAGATCCAGGAAAGATCAGCACATGTATATCAGTGTAATAACAAGATAGAGACCTGCAGACCAAGTCCTAAACCAGGTCCAAATCCAGACCAGGATTAGACCAGACCCAGGACCGGACCATTTGAGGTTTATCAGCGTCTAACTCTGATAACACTGTAATAACATTGCGGCTACGCTAATATTAGAACTGCTCTAAGCATGACTTTTAAAATAAAATACAACTGACTTTAAACCAGATGCCCTGGAATGTTTAAGATCTGGTTTAGTCCTCGTCCAGTCCTGGTTGAGTTCTTCTTCAATCTGGTTAAATCATGTTTCATTTTTGGTTGGCTTCTGCATCATCCCTGGTTTAGTCCTGGTTCAGTTCTGGTTCAGTCCAGAACCAGAACCAGCTCAGTCCCGGTTCAGTCCAGGTCCAGACCCAGTTCAGTCCTGGCTCAGTCATGGTTTGGTGTTGGTTTGGTTTTGGTTTTCTCTAGGTCCAGTCCTGGTCCAGTCCTGGTCCAGTCCTGGTCTAGTCCTGGTCTAGTCCTGGTCCAGTCCTGGTCTAGTCCTGGTCTAGTCTTGGCTCAGTCCTACTTTGGTCCTGCTTTGGTCCTGGATTGTTAATCCTTGTTCCACCTCAGTTCGCTGACTCATACTAATAAAGTCTTTTGTAATCACATTTGTCATGACATGTGACGGTTAGAGGATTCAGATGTCTCCATGACGATTGACAAATATATTTTATTTCTCAATAGCTGTTCTTTATATTTCAGGTTCTACCTTTTGTGCACAGATGTGTTTTCATAATCACACGTGGGAAAAGGGAAGGTGCATGAAGCTGCTGCTGCTGCTGCTCTGGGCATTGCCTCATGTTTTCTGTCAAAATTATGATCAACGTCTCCCTTTAAAGACTCATTTTACACTGTTTCACTGTTTTCTAATCTCTACTATGTTTTTTCCTTCTCACAAACACACCCGGAGTTGTGTTTTGTTTCATTCACACATGTTTAACTGCATATATAGGGTGACTTCTTCTCTCAAAGAGAAAACACTCTGTTCCACTTTGTGATGTCATGTGGTAATACAGGAAGAGTTTTTACACTCCATGCACCTTCACTAGAATCATGTGGGTAATTTCAGCCCTGGAATTGCCAATCTCTACTGAAATAAAGGTAAAAGGTAGTTGTTAACTTGACAACTACCACTTCATGACATCACAATGTGGAACAGAGCATTCTGAGCTTTGTTTATGTAGACAAACTAATAATAGTGGTTATTGAAAGTATTTTAAACCCTTTTTACAGATAAATACAGGAGGAATAAACCAGGATTTAACCAGGCCTAAACAAGGAATAAACCCAAGCAAAACCAGATCTAAAGCAGGTCTAGAACAAATTAACACTGAACTAAACCAGGACTACACCAAGGCTAAACCGAGTATAAACCAGGACTTAATCAGAACTTAACCAGGAATGAGAGAACTATTGACTAAAGTAGGACAAAACCAGCCTCCAACCTGTCCTGGTGGGATTAGGGATAAGCATAGTCAAGGCTAAACCAGGACTAAACCAGGACTAAACCAGGACTAAACCAGGACTAAACCAGGACTAAACCAGGATTAAATCAGGACTAAACCAGGACTAAACAAGAACTAAACCAGGACTAAACAAGAACTAAACCAGGACTAAACCATGACCGAACCATGACTGAACCAGGTCTGGGAAAATTTAGCATAGGTCTATTTTAAAACAGTGACAGTTATTCCGGATCTTTCCGCGTCGTCACCACGGTTACGCAGCGTTTCCTCTCCCCGCCTGTCCCCACGCGCTGCCACTGCTCCCGGTTCTCTCCCGGTTCTCTCCCGGTTCGCTCGTGCTCCAGGGCGTGTCCGCGCCGCTCCGCACCCACCTGATGAACGTGGTCTTCCCGGTGGAGTACTGGCCCACGAGCAGCACCATGGGTTTGCTCTGGAAGTCGGCGGCCTCGAGCGCAGGTGAGTGGAAGTCATGGAACAGGTACGTCTCCTCCAGCGGCAGCAGCTTCTTGGTGTAGAGCGTCTGCAGCCCCTCCGTCACGGTCGCGTACATCTCTCCTTCCTTGTTGCGCCCTCCCTGCTCCTGTTTGACCCAACTGAACATGTCTGCGGCTGGTAGTGGCTGCAAAACGCCAAAAGCTCCAAAAAAAAAGTCCACTAATCTGACTTCTGCTTTCTCCGCGGTTCCTCTTTCCCTGCGGTGCGTCACAGGAGCGCGGAGAGAGGAGAGGACAGAGGAGACGAGAGGAGAGGAGAGGAGTGAGGACCGAGGAGAGGCGAGGAGACACTGGGACCTCTGTGCACGAGCCCGGGCACCGTGCACGCGCAGCAGGAGGGTGGTACCTGCGCTCACGTGACGGCTACACCTCAGCGCGTGCGTTATTTATAGCAGCGGTGCGGGCGCGGGTCTGTTCCTTGTCTGAGACCCGTGATCTGAGCGCTCCGGTTTTCCTGTTTGTTCGGATCACAGACGCGCGCGTTACGTAACACAATCAGGTTATGGCACAAGAATATTTATGATGATGTCGTAAAGTTTGGCTTTTATTGGATCAGTGCCGCCCTTGCGCCTGCATCCGTTTGTGTGCAAATAATTACGCAGTTATTGCACATGACTGAACTCAATAAACACAGCAAAACAGGCATCACCTAATCAAACAAATGGGAGCAATGGTGTGGGATTACAGGCTGGTAGAGGTAGCCTAAGAAGAAGCAGTACTTGCATTAGTATTAGTAATATTAGTAGTAGTAGTCGTAGTAATAGTAGTTGTAGTAGTAGTAGGGAAAAGAGGAGGAGTTTGTAGTAACTTAGTAGAAGACACACACACCATTCACTCTCTTATTCATTCACTACTGGACAGAGACTCCACTGTTCTAATATCCGGACTAAACCTGGGTTAAACCAAAACCAATCCTCGACTGAACCAATAATATCCGAACTAAACCAGAACTAAACCAGGACTGAAAAAGAGTAAACTAAAACTAAACAGGACTAAACTAGAAATTAACCATGACTAAATTAGAACTCAGCCTTATTTGGACCAGGACTAAACTAGAACTGAACCAGGACTAAACCAGGACTAAACCAGGATTACGATTGTATTTTTTCACCTGTGCCCAATGCTGCTCTCTGCTGGACGAAAGTGGGCAATACACCTTTTTAATTTCTTTTTTCTTTCCTTTTTTTCCCCCAGACTAAAATCACAGGTTGGGACGGTGCAGTTCTTTGACTGGTCCAGCAGAGGGAGCCACACTGTCGCATAAAGAGTTTTAATGTTTCTGTGTCTCGCGCAATCAATTATAATTTTTGGACTAATTAAGGATTTGTTTGATTAGATTAGGCCATAATACATCAACAGGAAACAGAAAACAGACTCCAAAACCTCATCTGCAGTTGAGTTGTATTTTAAGTGTTTTAAGCTGTGTTTCAGATGCCATCACTCTATAGTCCGGTCATATTTAATGCAGAAATAGAAATGATCAGGTTCAACATTTGTGAACTTACCTTTTGGATATTTCATTGTAAAATAAAATGTAAATAGAGAAACTGTCTCTTGCCCCTTTTATGACTTTATTTGTTTGTTTGCATGTATATATTAGTGTGTACAGTAGATTGTCAAAGGATTTCCACCCTGTGACCCCTCCAAAACTAGTTCCTCATCTAGACCTGTTCAGACTCACCAAAACCTGTTAGGATCTTCTTCTAGATCTGTAAACCTGTTCAGATCTAAACAGAACTGGTTAGGATTCTCTTCTAGGTCTTTAAACCTGTTCGGACCCCAACAGAACTGGTTAGGATGCACCTCTAGATCTTTAAACCTCTTCGAACCCCAACAGAACTGGTTTGGATCCTCTTCTATATCTTTAAACCTGTTCAGACCCCAACAGAACCAGTTTGGATCCTCTTCTAGATCTTTAAACCCGTTCAGATCCCAACAGAACTGGTTAGGATCCGCTTCTGGTCATTAAACCTGTTCAGACCCCAACAAAACTGGTTAGGATCCTCTTCTAAATCTTTAAAACCTGCTCAGACCCCAAAAGAACTGGCTAGAATCCTCATCTAGATCTGCTCAGACCCATCAGGTCCTTCTTTAGACCTGCTCGGACCCCGAGAGCGCTTAAGACTATAAAACTCAAACTTGTGTGTACAAACGTCTTTATTTGGATTAATAATAAATACAAAATTACACCAGATTTAACCCCAAAATCAGAAAAAAAGAAAAATATTCCCAAGAAAAAATAGACAAAATGTGAATATTGTTTGTTCAAAAGACCTTTAGAGCCCAGCGTTGTGGCGGAAATGACATTCAGAATTAAATACCAGAAAAATAAAACTTTATTCTCAAAAAAAAAAAGAAAAAAAAGTGTAATAAAAAAGTTAAATGTGCATTGCGTCACTTTTCTGGTGGAGGGTCCATCACTTGATTGTTTCTTTGGAGATGTCATCGCTCTGCCTGGAATGTTCCCCAGTGTGACATTAAACAGCTCTACCTTACATTTATTCAGTTACAGGTGGTTTTATAGCTCAAAAATACCTAGAAAAACAGACATTCTGACTGAGCAGGGTCATCTCTTCACAGATCTGACCTGTAACTTGGTCTGTTTCAATCTCCATGATGATAAAAAAGGTTTAATACCACACTGTGAAACATTCCAGACAAAACAATAACATCTCCAAAAGCATTTGACAGACCTTCCACCAGAAAAGTTACACAATGCACCTTTAAGTAAATCAAATAAAATGTGTCTGCATAAAATTTTGAGATCTCAGACATTTGAACAAGAGAGATTTTTAAAGCTGATTATTTTAAACATAATACACAATAATTCTGGCATTTGAGCAGATATTTACATAAAGAGACAGATATGAGATTTGAGATTTGTTGATGCTAAAACTAAAAAAACAATGTATGACTCTGTTAAACAAAAAAATGTAAAAGAAATGCAGCCGATTTTTTATGATACAAAAAGTACCACTGTGGACAGGCAGTTTGAATCAGGCTACAAACATTAGCTGCTGGTGTTCAAGGAGGTTATATGTGCGGGAAGTGATTTGAGTAGAGAGTGGAGAAGGTGACTGGACTTTAAAAACCCAGAGGACTAATCCAAGACTAAACCAGAACTAAACCTGAACTAAACCTGGACTACACCTGAACAGAGCCAGGATTAAAGCAAAGATCATGACAGGACTAAACCAGAGTTAAACTAGGACTGAACATCAACTAATTCATTACTAAAAAAAAGGACTAAAACAAGGATCATAACAGGACTAATCGAGGACTAAGTCAAGACTAAACCAGGACTAAGTCGAGACTAAACCAGGACTAAGTCGAGACTAAACCAGGACTAACAAACAATAGCTGCTGGTGTTGAAGGTGGTTATGTGCAGTACAGGTCATTTGAGCATGTGATGAAAGTGTATGGACTTTAAAAATCCAGAGGAGCACTTCTGGATAACCTCCTGATGACATCACCAGGTGTAATAGAGTGTTGTGAGCTGTACAGAGGGAGACAGACTAAATGTGCAGGATTACTGAAACATGTTTGAATGAAAAGTTGCTTTGGTGTAATGTAGAAGGACCATTAAATATATCTTATCTTATCTATAGCACAAAGTATATTTTTGTTTTTTTATCTGAATATAATGACTAATGTTTTAAGGTTTTTGTAATCAAGACTTTTCGGCTGCCATCCAGAAGTCATTTTACATCAGCTTCTGGATGGGAGCCCAAACATCTTGGTTTCTTTATTGAAACACTCCTGGAAGAATGAGAGATGTCTCATCTGACAGAGGAGTTTTAATAAAATGTGCAGTCAAGTTGTGCTGTAATAACCTCTGACCCTTTATCATCCTTCTGTTTTATCATAAAATGGGGCTGTGCTGTAGATTTTTATTTGATCTGTTAATTCTTGTTGTAAATGAAAGTGCTGCTCCTCAGTTGTTTTCATTGAACTGTCGGCAGATGGCTTTGACGATGTTCGGGATAAACTCGTGCAAACCGCTGAACTCACGAGAGAAAAACGTGTGAGAATCTTTGGGCTCTGATGCCATGTCCCTAAGATCCTCCACAGGAGCCCAGGCCACACCTACCGCCAACATTGTCACACCTGATTGGTCCAAAGCATGAGGAGAGAAGAGACAGGTGACGTGTGTATAAATTACTCCTGTTAAAGTCATAGACTGTAAATGTTCTTTACAGAGTCTAAGGTTAAAGTATTTAAACATCTTTGGGACAAACCTTGTTTGTGTGCAGCGATCGCCGGAGCTCTGACATCATCGTACGACTGTCCATCAGTGATCACCACCAGGAAGTCCCGCCCCCGAGAGCTCCTCCTGCTGAGACCAGACCAGGATCTAAACCAGGGTCTAAACTAGGGTTTAAACTAGGGTTTAAACTAGGGTTTAAACCAGGTCTAATCCAGCACTAGCCCCGGTCTGTGGCAGTACCTGAACAGGTGGTGTGTGGCGAACTCTATTGCCGATCCAGTGGCCGTGCCTCCACTCATGTAGTAGATGCTTCTGAGGGCACCCAGAACCTCCTGTTTGTTAGAGTATTCTTGCAGCCCGAACTCCAGACGCTGGTCGTACGTGAACTGTACAGCACCTAAGGGTCAGAGGTCAGAGGTCAAACACTGTATGACGCCTGTAAAGGTCAGACGTCACAGGTCAATCTCTGTATGGTGTCTAGAGCTCACAGGTCAGGTGCAGTGGTTTTGACTTGTCTGTCTCTGGGGTCAGGAGGAGACTGCACATATTCACCTCTTCTGTCAAAGCTTTAACATGTTTTGCTTCTCTTCCACAATCCATCTGGAACTCAGACTCACTGCAGCACCTTGAATCACTACTAAAAACTCACCTGTTCAATCTGGCGTTCCCCCATGATTCCCCTGTTTTCTACAGTGTCGCTTCTTACTTGTTTGTAAAGCATCTTTGAGTGTCCAAAAAAGCGCTATGTAAGTCTGATGTATTATCATTATAATTAATGAATTAATATTATTTTAAAAATTAAGTTCTGTAAAGCTTTAACTGTTTTGTGAACTTCCTTTAAGCTTTTTCAAACCTCGGCTGTAAATGTCTCTTACCAACTCGAGCGGCCACGTCGGAGATGTCAAAGTGCTGAGCGATTTCCGCCAAAAAGTCCAGAACTATCTGGAAGTTTGAGTCTCCCACACTGGACGAGCCGTCAATCAGAAAGCCCAGGTTTATTGAATTATAACACGTTTTACCTGAACACAAAAATATGTGTACAGTAAGGAGAAGAGGAGAGGAGGAGACATAAGAGGAGAGAGGAAGAGCCTCTGATCAGGAAGCCCAGGTTTATGGAATTAGACCACGTTTTAACTGCATAAAAATATACCACAGAGATACACATGCATACACCAGGAGAGGAGGGAGAAAGAGGAGAGAGTTATCAGGAAGCCCAGATTTACTGAGATATAACACGCTTTAGTTGGAGACAAAACTATACAAATATACAGTATGTAAACAGCAGGAAATGACCGGGGCTTACTGCACAGGTGAGGGTCAGGTGAGATGTGGGCGGGGCTTACTGTACAGGTGAAGGGACAGGTGAGATGTGGGCAGGACTTACTGTACAGGTGAAGGGACAGGTGAGATGTGTGCGGGGCTTAGTGCACATCTGAGGGGACAGGTGAGGTGTGGGCAGGGCTTACTGTACAGGTGAAGGGACAGGTGAGATGTGGGTGGGGCTTAGTGCACAGCTGAGGGGACAGGTGAGGTGTGGGTGGGGCTTACTGCACATCTGAGGGGACAGGTGAGGTGTGGGCGGGGCTTACTGCAGAGGAGGTTGTCCATTGAGCAGAGTCTCTGGGTCAAAGTTTTGACGTGCTTGTTGGCGCTGAACCAGCTCGGGATGGAGAATGAGAAGTGACCGTTGTCTTTACACACCGCCTGGAAAACAAAAACAAGGAGGTTATGCAAATGTTTCTAGGATTACATCATCACGTGAACTCAAAATCAGATCAATAAAGATTTAAACATCACATGGAGACCTGATTCAGTCCTGGATCAGTCCTGGTTCAGTCCTGATCTTGTTTTGGTTCTGGTCTTGTCTTAGTCCAGTTCTGGTGCAGTCCTTGTTCAGGCCTAGTTTAGGTCTTGGTTTAGTCCTGGTGCAATACCTTCTTTGTGAAGTCCTTGTCTGGGACCATGGGCAGCTCATCGGCAGAGGGTTTGGCCACAGAGACTAGGAACACGTTGATCCCGGACTCTCGGGCCATAACCGAGGCCTGGTCCAGATCATCTGAGGGCCACCCATCCACCAGCACCAAGAGCACCTTAGGATGCCCCCTCCTCCCCCCACGCTCCTGAGAGAACAGGGACTCTGCAGCGTGGAGGATCGCCTTACCTGCAACCAGAGACAAACAGGACTGAACCAGAGAGAAACAGGTCTAAACCAGGATTAAACCAGGACTAGATCTGAACTGAACCAGGATAAACCAGGACTGAACCAGGCAAGTTTCACCTCTGAATGTGGTGTGTGAGTGTTAGTGGTGGTTAGAAGACCCAGTGGTGCAATTGCAAAGACTGAATGAGACATGAATGAGTCTATTGTATTATATAACATGTTATAACAAGGACTTAACTAAAGCAGCTCTTGACCAGGACTGAAGGAGGATTAAACCATGACTAATCTAAAAGTGGTGTAGACTCTCCGGTGTTTGTGTCCCCTCCTCTGTAGGTCTAGACTCTGTAGGACTAGACTCTGTAGGTCTAGACTCTGTGGGACTAGACTCTGTAGGACTAGACTCTGTAGGTCTAGACTCTGTGGGACTAGACTCTGTAGGACTAGACTTTGTGGGACTAGACTCTATAGGTCTAGACTCTATAGGTCTAGACTCTGTAGGACTAGACTCTGTAGGTCTAGACTCTGTAGGTCTAGACTCTGTAGGACTAGACTCTGTAGGACTAGACTCTGTCTAGACTCTTAGTCTAGACTAGGACTAGACTCTGTAGACTAGACTCTAGACTAGACTCTGTGGGACTAGACTCTATAGGTCTAGACTCTGTAGGACTAGACTCTAGGACTAGACTCTGTGGGACTAGACTCTGTAGGACTAGACTCTGTAGGTCTAGACTCTGACTAGACTCTGTAGACTAGACTAGTCTACTCTGTGGGACTAGACTCTGTAGGACTAGACTTTGTGGGACTAGACTCTATAGGTCTAGACTCTATAGGTCTAGACTCTGTAGGACTAGACTCTGTAGGTCTAGACTCTGTAGGTCTAGACTCTGTAGGTCTAGACTCTGTAGGACTAGACTCTGTGGGACTAGACTCTATAGGTCTAGACTCTGTAGGACTAGACTCTGTGGGACTAGACTCTGTAGGTCTAGACTCTGTAGGACTAGACTCTGTAGGACTAGACTCTGTAGGACTAGACTCTGTGGGACTAGACTCTATAGGTCTAGACTCTGTAGGACTAGACTCTGTGGGACTAGACTCTGTGGGACTTGACTCTGTAGGTCTAGACTCTATAGGTCTAGACTCTGTAGGACTAGACTCTGTAGGACTAGACTCTGTGGTACTAGACTCTGTGGGACTAGACTCTGTAAGACAAGACTCTGTAGGACTAGACTCTGTGGGACTAGACTCTGTAGGTCCAGACTGACCTGTGTTGGTTTCTCCTCCGCTGTAGGATACTTCCTTGATGGCGTAGAGCAGGTCTTTGGGCTGCGTGAAGTTGTTCAGGAGGAACTCAGTCTTTGGAGCTCCGCTGAGGAAACATCAGACCATCAGAACCACACAGAGTTACCAGATCCAAAGAACCAAAACCATGAGTCCGGACCTGGCCTGGACCAGACCCACGTGAGGTCCAATCGGTCCCACTTTGAGGAAAGAAGCCAAACGAACCACGAAGTTCTTCTGGAGATTAAACCTGCGACGCCCAATGTTCTCCGAGCCGTCTAGTACCACCATCACGTCCAGCTGACAGTCTGAGAGAGACAGGACAGGAGTTAGACCAGGTTTAGAATGGATTTAATCCAGGGTTAGACCAGAGTTAAACCAGGGTTAGTCTTGGTTTAGTTCTGACTTAGTGCTTGGTTTAGTCCTTGGTTTAGTCCTTGGTTTAGTCTTGGTTTAATCCAGGTTCAGTCCTGGTTCAGTCCTGATCTAGTCCTGGGTTAGCGCTGGTTTAGACCCACCTTTGTTTCCTCTGTTGAGCACCTTCTTCACTGTAATTTTCTTCAGGGGCTTTTTCACTTTAAAACAGAAAAATCCAACACAAACACAAGGTCAGTGAAGGCACCACTGTTAAAACTGTCTCCTGCAGAGTGTAGAATCAATGTTTTTAAACTGGTCTGAGCCAAATCTGAACAAGGTAAAATACATCTACTAATTTTTGTCTTTAAAAATAACCAAATTTGACTAATCTGAACACTCAAACAAAACTCCTCCTCACATCTATGATCTCACTAGCCCTGGGAACAAAATGGACACCTCGCAACGTGTCTCTGCTCCTGCTGTTTCTGGACCAGGACTCAGATGGATGATGTTGTCAGACACATTTGGACCTGAACACAAACTATTTGGAGATGTTTTTTCCACGGTTTCATCCTCTGTGCAAATTCTCCAAACAGAGCCAGGACACAAGAGGCTTTGTGAAGCATGTTTGAGGAAAATCTCTTTTTCAGTAAATGAGGGAACAACAAGCAGTTAATGTGAATTTCAGGCATTATTATTACAGCGTTGCAACCGTCAATATTATTTTAAATAACAAAAAGTTATGCAACATCTTTACAAATATGACATGGAGACAAACCCTGAATTGTGTATAGCGTTATTCAACTGTTTGTGTGGGTTTCAAGTAAATATTTCCTTCCTGATTAAAATTGAGCATAACATTTTTAATCTGTTTATATCTTTTTCGGCAAATTATACCTTCCTGATTAAAAGATCTTTCTGTTTTGATTTGAATTGCTGTGTTTCAGACATAGACTGTGTGGGGTTCCGGCTCAGTCTCTGGCTCCAACTGACATTACATTTAAAAATGATCACCCTTCTTTCTGTAACTGCTGCAGTGAGCCTCGTCATTTTGGTCTTAAAATATCTGTATTAACCTGCTCTACATGACTCTGGTGTTTTTTTTTCTGCTTTTTTGTCCATGTAAAAAACTATTCATTATGTAGAGTTTGTCTTATAATTCACCCCTGTAACCGCTAACATCATCATTTAGCTTCATTTGAGTGACGCCGCACTCTCTGCGTCCACCTCTTTATACAGTCTATGGTTTATTCTGTGAGTGTGTGAATGTGGTGAGAGCCCAGACCTGGTTCCTCTGCAGGGAGAGCCGTGGTGCTGGTCTGACTGCTGAGCTCCAGGGGCTCCTGCTCCGCATCTGAACAACATGAGAAAAACATGAAACTAAATCAGGACTAAACCAGGACTAAACCAGGTCTAAACCAGGACTAAACCATGTCTCAGCCAGGACTAAACCAGTGCTAAATCAGGACTACACCAGAACTACACCAAGTCTAAACCAAGACTACACCAGGTCTAAACGAGGTCTAAACCATGTCTCAGCTAGGACTAAACCAGTGCTAAACCAGGATGACGTCAGGGCTAAACCAGGACTAAACCAGGTCTAAAGCAGGACTACACCAAATCTAAACCAAAACTAAGAGCAAACGTACAGTCGAGGCTGAAGGAGGAGGTCCAGCGGGGCAGGTGTTGGGACTGGACTCCGTTTGAATAAGATTTCATGTAGTTCAGACGCCCAGGCAGCTTCTTCACGACCACGGGACCCCCAGACATGCCCAGCACACCACTGAAACAAGAAAACATAGTAATAATACAATAAATGTATGCAAATAAGACCACTAATTCAGCCGTTCAGTCCTGTTTTAATCCCGGTTCAGTCCCGGTTTAGACCTGGTTTCGTCCTGGTTTAGTCCTGGTTTGGTACAGTTTTAGTTCTGTTTTAGTCTTGGTGCAGCCCTGGTTCAGTCCTGGCTTAGTCCAGCTTTAGTCCTGGTTCAGTACCTGTGTAGAGCTGCTCCACACACAGAGGACACAGCGGCGTACACTTTGGTCCCAAACACAGAGACTCTGTGGGGACAGTCTGAGGGACAGAGGACGGTCCGGTCCTGGTCCTGGTCCAGGGACAGATCTGCACCTCGTGTCTGACACCCCACAGGCTGGGCTCCTGACAGGAAGTATGAAAAATATTTAAAAATACTATTTATTGTAAAGTAGAGACTGCTCCGATACTCAAGATATTAAACCTGCACTATGTAACTTTTGTGTCTCCATGGAAATGTTATTGTTTTTCTTGGAATGTTTCACAGAGCAGCATTTATTTGCATTTATTCTATTAGTTTTTATTAATCAAAAATCAGCCTTTTAATGCCATGTTGTGGAACATTTCAGGCATAGCAATAATATCTCCATGGAGACAAGCATGTGGTGGTACCTCAACCAGAAAAGTCACATAGTGCATCTTTAATCTAATCAGAGATACTACTGGAGGTGACTGCACTGAAAAACAGAAAAACCTGCTTTCTTACTGTGAGCAGACTTGCATCTCCACAAACCTGCCTCTTATTTGATCTGCTTCCATGGAAGTGCTATTCCTTTGCCTATAATATTCCACACATTGGCATGAAACAATTCTGTGTCCATGGAGAATGTGCCAAAGTATAGTTTTAACTTTTTATCTCTACTGAATCATACAGCACCTCCAGAAAGTTCCACAGTTCACCTTTAAATAATTACACACAAACATCTGACATGAATAATACTCTTGAAGTCAAAACAAATCCACTGTGTCTGCATATAATTATAAAACTTTTATTGTTCGAGAATCAGGAAGAGTGTGTTAGCATGCTAGTTATTATGAGCTTTATTATGAGGACAAACCTGGTCTCTGAAAGTTGTAAAAAGCTCTTATAAACTCGTCGTGGTGAATAATTAGGATGCTTTAATTGCAAAAGGTAATTGAGGAGTAACTTTGGTAGTTACTAGTTCTGTTTGGCTACTTCAGTTTTTCACGTTTTTAAGACGGTAAAAATAAGGTACAGAGACTTTAAAGGGACAGTTCGGAATTTTGGACATAGGACCTCATTTCCTAGTGAGCCCGAGTGTTGAAGATGTGTGGAGACACTTTTTGAATTATAGCATCCAGTCCTTGTATTTGCAGAGGTCACTGGTGCTAGGCTAGTGCATGTCAATGGCCATAGTTCTCCTACCACTAAAAACAGTCTTACCCACTCCACAAAACACCTGAAGCAAATCTATTATTACACCAGACTGTCCCTGTGAATGTCTGTGTTGATAGAATCATTTTAGAAGTAAAACCAAAATTGCATTTGAAGGATTTCTGTCTGAGCAGCAGCAGCAAGTTGTACTTCCTGATTAAAGCTTGGCAGCGGCGGACTGATATATGAGAAAATAGTCCCTCGAAATGCGTCGATTCATGCAATACAAGGTTAGTTTTATTTCAAACATTATTCTATCAACACAGACATTCACATCAACAGTCTGTTGTAATAATAGATTTGTTTTGGGTGTTTTGTGGAGTGGGTAAGACTGTTTTTAGTGGCAGGAGAACTATGACCATTGACATGCACTAGTCTAGCACCAGTGACCTCTGCAAATACAAGGACTGGATGGAATATTTCAAAAAGTGTCTCCACACGTCTCCAACACTCTGGCTCACTAGGAAATAAGGCCCTATGTCCAAAATTCTGGACTGTCCCTTTAACTTTGTGGTTTGTAACTGATCTGTGTCGGATCTACAGCGGCCTCATTTAGTTTGGAGTTTTGTTTAAAATATGGTTTAAACAGAGAGTGGGAGCACAGGTGGAGGTGAGGGGCGCTGTACGATCTGGGGATTTCATGTCTTAAGTCAATATTAAAAAGTCTGTGGAAATAATTAGAACATTGAACAGGTTTAAACGTGAGACCCCTGAATGTGTGACGAGTTATTCATGGACTCTTGGCCTTTTGTGTGAAACTCGGTGAAGAGCTCAGAGGCGTCCGGACGTGATTCTGATCTCAGGCCAACACAAACACGACAGGGTCCAGTGAAAGAGAGAAGAAAAGAGGAGAGAGGAAAAGAGGAGAGAGAGAAGAGGAGAGACAGATAGAGAGAGAGGGGTGGGGGTGGGGCAGAAGAGAGAAGAGAAAGGAAATGAGGAGAAGAAGAAAAGAGAGAGAAGAGGGAGAGGAGAGGTAGATAGGGAGAGAGATGGCAGAAGAGAGAAGGAGAGGAGAGCAGAAACGAGGAGAGGAAGAAGAGAGAGAGAGGAGGGGGAGGAGAGGTAGATAGGGAGAGGAGAGGGAGGGAGAGGGGTGGCAGAAGAGAGAAGGAGAGGAGAGAGAAAAAAAGAAGAGGAAGAAGAGGAGAGACAGATAGGGAGAGAAGAGAGAGGGGTGGTATGGGGCAGAAGAGAGAGGAGAGAGGAAAAGAGGAAGAGAGAAAGAAGAGGGGAAGGAGAGGTAGATAGGGAGAGGAGAGGGAGAGAGGTTGGTAGAAGAGAGAAGGAGAGGAGAGAGGAAACAAGAAGAGGAAGAAGAGAGAGAAGAGGGAGGGGAGAGGGAGATAGGGAGAGGAGAGGGGTGGCAGAAGAGAGAAGGAAAGAAGCGAGGAAACGAAGAGAGAGAGAAGAGGGAGAGGAGAGGTAGATAGGGAGAGGAGAGGGAGGGGGTGGCAGAAGAGAGAAGTGGAGGAGAGAGGAAACAAGGAGAGGAAGAAAGAGAGAGAGAAGAGGGAGCAAAAGAGGAGAGGAGAGAGAGGATGGCAAAGAGAGGGAGAGGGGGAGGAAAGGGAGAGGGAGGATAAGAGGAGAGGGGAGGAGAGAGATGGAGAGAAGACCGGAGAGAACACCAGATGATCCAGTTTCCTCCAGAGGCAGAAAGAAGCGAAGGAGGAGGGGAAGTAGAAATGAGAAGAGACAAAAGGGAGAAAAAGACGAGAAGGGGTTTAGGGAAGAGAAGAAGAAAAAGAGGAAAGAGGGGACAAAAGGAAGAGAGAGAAAGAGGGTGATAGAGGAGAAGAGAGAAGGCTGGAGTCTAAGGAGAGAAAGAGCGAGGAGAGGATGGACAGAGGAGAAAGAGAGGACTGTCCTGAGCCGATTTGCTCTGACCCAAGCCCCAGATGATTTTTGCCCCAGATGCCCTTCCTGTCATCACCAGTAAGATTACACTGAGTGGAGTTTGCCGTGATGCTGAAGTGTCTTGCCCAGAGACACAACCTCTGTGAAAGGGTCTGACACTCGGTTTACTCCTGTTTCTCTGTCACTTCGTACAGAAAAAGAAGTTTAATGAAAACCACGTGTCCAGAGATCAACTGTCAGAAATATACAGACAGAATAAGAAGAGAGGGAGGAGAGGAGGAGGGAAAGAGGAGAAGGGGAGAAAAAGTGAAGAGATTTACAGTAATGTGCAGGGAAGACAGGAGGGAAGAGGGAAGGAGAAGAGGAGGGAGAGAGAGGAAGGCAGGGAAAGAGCGGGAGGAGAGAAGGGAAAGAGAGGAGGGGGAGGGATGAGAAGGAGGGAGGAGAGGAGGGAACGACAGAGAAGAGAAGAGGGAGAGAGATGAAGGCAGGGAGAGAGGAGGGAGGAGAGGTGGGAAAGAGGAGGTAGAGACACAGAGAAGAGGTGAGGGAGGGAGAGGAGGAGAGAGAGAGAGAGAGAGATGAAGGCAGGGCAAGAGGAGGAAGAGACAGGGAAGAGAGGAGGGAGAGAGGGAATGGGGAGAGGACAGAGAGGGAAGAGAGGAGAGTAAGAGGGAGTAGAAGGAGGGAGAGACAGAGAAGAGAAGAGGGAGAGAGATGAAGGCAGGGAGAGAGGAGGGAGGAGAGGTGGGAAAGAGGAGGTAGAGACAGACAAGAGAGGAGGGAGAGAGGGGGGGAGGAAAAGAGAGAGAAGAGAGGAGGGAAATTGAGAGATGATGGCAGGGAGAGAGGAGGGAGAGACAGGGAAGAGAGGAGGGAGAAGGAAGAGAGGGAAGAGAGGAGGGAGTGGAGGGAGAGAGAGACAGAGAAGAGAGGAGGGAGGAAGGTAGGAGAGGAAGGTGAGAAGGAGTAGAGGGAGGGAGGAGAGGAGAGGGAGGGAGGGATGGGGAGATAGGGAGAGAGAGGGGGAGAGGAGGGACGTTCAGCAATGTACAGGGAAGAGAGGAGGGAGAGAGAGGGAGTAGAAGACGGAGAGGGGGAGGAGAAAGAAGGAGGAGAGAAGAGGGAGAGAGGAAGGGAGTAGAGGACAGACTTACAGAGAGAGACAGAGGGGGAAAGGGAGACAGGGAGAGAAAGGAGGAGATGGAGAGAGGGGGGAGAGAGAGTGACGGAAATAATCGGAAATACAGAGAGATGCACTATTGCGAGGAAGAGAGGAAGAGAAAGAGCGGAGTGTCAATCATCAGAATACAGATAGGGTTACTGGTCAGGTCAGGGAGAGAGTGTGTCGCCAGAGGGGATGATAAGAGGAAAGAGCTCGGAGAGGGAGAGAGGGAAGATGAGAGAAAGGAGAGGGAGAGGAGGGAGGAGGAGGAGGAAAGAAGAGAGACAAGAGAGAAAGAGGGAGACAGACAGAGTTGGAGTGAAGGCCGGTTTATTGAAGTTAAACTGTAGAGTTGCGACGGTGAGCTGACAGATTCATGCTGCAGTGTACACAAACAGGAGAGGAGAGGAGGAGAGTGTCTTGCCCATTGACACGAGGGAAGTATGTATTTTTGGCAGTATACCGTGAACGTTAGGCAGAGTTAAAGAATAAATGTTTTGTAAAGACTGACCACTGGAGGGAGCGCAGAGGACGGAGGACAGCACCATCACCGCTGTGGACATAAAGAAACAGTACGGAACATTCAGAGACACGTTTGTGATGAGGTTTAGTCCATTCAAATGACATGTATGTAATGATGGAAATAAAATGATTTACTTGTGAACAGCAGCTGCACACTCCTGGGGAACATTTTGGATTCTGAAACGGAATATTGGAATTTAGGTCAATAATTTTCAACTGTCAAAGCATCTGCCTCTACTCCATCCTCCAGAGGGTTAGACCAGCCCTAGGACCAGGTCTGAGCCAGGATCCTGGTTTAGTCCTGGTTTAGTCACAGTCCTGTCGGTGTCCTCAGACCCGGTCTTTGTGCAGTCACAGAGGATTCAGTTTCACAGTGACTCAGGGCATTCTCTGCACATTCTGACACAAGCAGAGTCCAGACCCAGAACTAAACCAGGTCTAAACCAGGACTAAAATAAAACTGAACCAGGACTAAGCCAGGACTAACTAGTCTTCTGCAGAGACTATGTACATCAATAATTTCACATTTTTATTTTGTTTTTGAAAATGTTTATTTTTTGTCAAGCTTTAGTGATCAAAATTGTTTTTGTTATGAAAAATCTGTAATCTGTTTTGTTTGTGTCATTTGGATTTTGAGTCCAATTTAATTAGTTTTACTGCATTGCTAAATATAAAATGCACAATGTACAATACTGTTTATTCTATATTTATATGAGCAGAGCTCCACATAATTTAAATGAAATCCAAAAGTTTGAACTGTCAAAACAAATTATAATCTGCAAAAAAATCTGACTTAATCCAATTAAGGTTTTACAAAGGACTCCAGCCTGGTCCAGAGCAAACAGAGCTGTTATGCAAACCCGTCAGATGCCCTCCCATCCTCCTATATCCTTGTGTGTCAGATGCCCTCCCATCCATCTATATTCATGTGTGTCAGATGCCCTCCCATCTATCGATATCTGTGTGTCAGATGTCCTTTCTTCACCACATCCTTCTGCCTGAGACGCCAAACTACTATAAGCAATGATATCAAAATGCCACATACCTGCTTTGGGTATGGTCCAGGTGTAAGTCTCAGACTTGGGTTGGACTCTGGTCTCAGGTTTGGACTTTGGTCTGAGGTCTAGACTCTAGTCTCTGGTCTGGTCCTTAGGTGTGTCTTAGGTCTGGTGTCTGGTCTTTGTCCCTAGTCCAGTCTCTGGTCTCTGGTTTTGTGTTTTTAAGGATGAGGTCTATAGTTTGACTCCCAGTTAGATTCCTTTGGGACAAACAGGAGCAAAGTCTGTTTTTGCATCACTGCACCCAGCACCTTTATACTGTGATGTCATCATGAAGTCATCAGGGGGCGGGGCCAAGAGCTTTGGGGCCAGGTCTCACACGGGACAGGAGAGAGAGGGGAAAGTGGAGACCAGGTACAGTCCTGGTTTAGACCAGGTTTAGACCAGGTTTAGTACATGTTGAACTCGTTCTTTTTGTTGCATTTGGTTCAGTGGTATTTAACTATGTACCATCTGGATTTTGGCTGCTCCTCCTCCTCCTTACCAACCTCCTCTCCATTCTCCTCTTCTCCTCCTCTTCCTCCTGTGAGGCAGACCTGTGCTGCTCTTCATTTACACTCCTGGTTTCACAAACTCTCATTCAAATTTTCACATAGAGTATAGTGTTTACCTGCATCACCCTGAGGCCCCTGAGCACCCAAAGGAGACAAATGCAGATCAGGACAGACCCAGACCCACAGGGGACACATTGAAACCAGTTACAATCCCAGGGCAGAACCAGATCTGAATTTGGACAGAGTCTAAACATGATGAAAGATGAGACCAGCTCACGTCAATTGGACCCAGATCTGTCAGTCCAAGACCTCCTGAGGGTCTGGATCAAGATCAGGTCTAGACCAGGTCTGGACCAGGACCAAGACTACTTACTACCCCTGGAAACAAACCATTAAACCAAACCAAGTCTACTGTGCTTGTGTCGATAATTATAACTATTGACACCCATAGATCATTATGTTATAATTTGGACTTATAAAAGAAACAAGTCCGTTGACTTCCACTTTAGAAAACTGTGGTGTTCAGTGGGAGCTGACATCGCTGTAAACATCATAACAACAAAGCACCGCACACTGTCAGCACCTCCTATGGATAGCTGCATATCACACTAGAGAACAGCTGATTTTTTTATTTGCACCAAAATGAGTACGTGATGCTGCTGAATCCTACGTGTATCACTGCTTAAGAAAATAAAATTGATGAATGAAGTGCGTACATCAGTGGGTGTACCAGGGGTAGTGAAAACAAGTGCAGATTGATGTTGTCAGATCTCACAGGCTAAGCAGGGCTGGGCCTGGTCAGTACTTGGATGGGAGACCACTGGAAAAATTACTGTTGTTGTGTCCATAGGCAAGACACATTGCCTAGTATGAATGTCATGTGAGTGTTGGTGGTGGCGGGATGGGCTGATGGTGCAGATTAGCAGCCTCATTTCTCTCAGTCTGCCCCAGGGCAGCTATGGATACAGTAGAAGTTGATCATCACTGAGTGTGGAGTGAATAAATAATGCACCGTGAAGCATCTTTCAGAGTGCAAAAAAAGCACTATATAAATCCATTATTATGCAATATAAGTGATTCAAGATTGCTCAAACATGCACAAACCTCTCCAAATACATCTTCAGGTGAGTAGATGTGGAAACAACTATAACAGGGTTAACAGCTCAGCTAAAAAAAAAAAAAAAAAAAAAAAAAAAAGAATATAAATAAGAATAAATATAATAATAATAAAAAGAATATAAATTTTTAAATGCTCTGTAAACATCTCATATGTAAACATATCCAACCCCAGATGATGCAAACGTCCCTCCTTTGGACTTGGATCTGAAGGATCTGAGAGTCCGGTTATGATCCGGTTATGATCCTGGGACTGGAACAGGATCCAGCTTTAAACAAAGTTTGGTTTTGCTCCGGGTCCTAGATCTGACCTGGAATCAGCCCAGACTCTCTGGAGCCAGCTTCATTGTCCTGACAGGTGCTGACAGGTGCAGACAGGTGAGGACAGCAGGGCTAAAGGAGGACACTACATTAGAACAGTGTTAAAGCCCCACTGCGGGACATTTTATCACATTAGAACAGGGTTAAAGCCCCACTGCGGGACATTTTATCACATTAGAACAGGGTTAAAGCCCCACTGCGGGACATTTTATCACATTAGAACAGTGTTAAAGCCCCACTGCGGGACATTTTATCACATTAGAACAGTGTTAAAGCCCCACTGCGGGACATTTTATCACATTAGAACAGTGTTAAAGCCCCACTGCGGGACATTTTATCACATTAGAACAGGGTTAAAGCCCCACTGCGGGACATTTTATCACATTAGAACAGGGTTAAAGCCCCACTGCGGGTCTTTTCATCTATTTAGAGCACATTAAAGCCTCGTACTTATCGTCTCTCTCTGTTGTGTCCTGGGGCGCTGCTTCTGAATTGTTTCAAATGAACGAACTGCCAGAGCTTCAGAAGTTTTTCATTTTTCAAACTCAAACTCCTCGGTTCAGGAAACGCTTTTATTAAACTTGAATCTTTGTCCTAAATGGTTTTATTGGATTTATTTAAACATCTGCAGCTCACTTATGTCACATTTTATTTCAAAGCAACAAAAATGGAGGTTTTACTGTATCCTCTGTCCCAGCATCAGGCAGGTCTGGAGCTGCTCCAGAGTCAAGAGTCTGGACAAAGGAGATCGAATCTTCTCTGTCTGAACCATAGACTGTAGAAAGAAGTGGAGTAAGGAAGTGTGACATCACCCATGGTGTTCGGCTCCAGTCAAATGAAGCTGTAGCAGTTATAGGGACGAATTTGGAGTTGAGTTCCATATTTGGAATAGGAATTTATTCAGGCACAATATAGAGAAATCAAAACACTAGGATCACTTAGAGAGAGTTAATACAAACATTTTAAGTTGAAGAGTCGAAGGAGTTGGGAGCGTCCCCATGTTCACTTCCCATTCAGAACGCGGCGGCGTTTTATATACAGTCTACGGTCCAGATGCCTCGGCTCAGGAATGAGCTACTTGAGGAGATAAGGCCAGTGCCATCAGTATAATATTTTAGATCACTTCTTAAAACTAATTTTTATCAATTAGCCTTCCTTTAATTGGCCTGAATTTTATTTTTACTTTATTTGAGTTATTTATGTATTTAATATTAATAATTAAATAGATTGATGCCATTTTAATTATTCTGTTAACTGCTCTCTGACTGCTTCATTCTCTTTTTGCATACTTTTGTAAACCTTGTTTTTAAAACATGCTCTGTAAATGAAGATGAAGAATCTGATCCTGGTCGATTATATGAAGTTTGGACATAACAGACTCAACAAACTCAATTTGTTCAGGACAAAATACAAAATGTGAATTAAACTTTGCCAAAACTGATTCAGAATAAATATCCTCATATGTCAAAATAAATTACTAAATTCTTTCTATGAAAAAAAACAACACAGACGAGTTTGGATCTGGTTTAGACCTGGTTCAGTCCTGGTGTAGTCCTGGTTTTGGGAGGACATTTGAAGCCAAAGGGATAAACAGTCTCAGATCAAACTGAAGCTCCATTACCTCAGACTGAGATCAAATTTAAGAAAATCCAAAGGCGAAAAATATGACACTGAATAAACCAGGGCCAAATCAGGACCAAGCCAGGACAACACAAATACTAAACCAGGACTGAATCAGGACCAAACTAGGAGCAAACCAGGAGCAAGCCAGGACTGCACAAAGAATAAACAAGGACTGAACCAGGACTGAACCAGGATGGTAAGAGGTTCTGGCTCTTGGGTTGGTACCTCTCAGCTGGATCACACAGAACTTTGATAAACTCCATGAAAAACGGAACCATCTGCAGTAAGAGGAGAGCTGTCATCTTTAATCACATCAGAACAGAGCCAAACCATCAGACACCATGAGTCTAAAACCTGGACCTGATCAGACTGGGATCTGACCTGAGACCTGGCCCTATGCCTTTGAGCAATACACCTTCACAGAATGTGAAATCATCAAAGACAGTAAAAACATATACAGGTTCAAATGGTAGGTCTCGCTTGCCCTGGGGTGGGGTGATGGAAATGTGACTGCAAATCGGCGACAGCGGCCTCTCTATATATAATCACTCAAACAGTACATTCACCAGGCAAGGGGGCAAGTGTCTCGCCCAGGAACAAAACAGTAGAGCAAGTTTGTGTTCTGAGGCAGTCCTAGTTCAGACCTGGTTGTCTACTTGGATCGTGAGACATATCTTGATGTCAAAAATAGGAGATATTTTGTTGATCCCGAAGGAAAGCAACATTGACACTGATCTTCTCAGAGTCCTTTGTTTCTCAGAGGTCTCAGTTTAACAGGAGGACTGATCAGGGAGGGTCAGCAGATCCTGTGGAAGAGCCAAAAGTGTCACTCCTCTGTGTCCTGCAGCATCACAGGAAAGGCCTTGTTCTTACTCCGCTTTGGTGTTTCAGTTGGTGTCGAAGGTCTCCTGCCATATTTTCTGCCACATATGGTGTAAAAAGCCTGTAACATCTCACACATCCACAGACAGCTCCCGAACTAGTCTCTTGCATGGTTTCCATGGATATGGGAAAAACAAGCAACTCATTTCACACAATTCAACAGTCCCTTACTTGTGTCCTTTGAACTGCACATGCCGTACTTTTTAGTTAGTTAAAAATCCCATGATGCGATGTCAAAAACTGAGCTCAAAAAAAACAAAATGTTTCAAAAAATGTTCAGTGTGAGTCATGCTGCCACAAGAGCAGCCAACCACCCGGTTGTTATTTAAATTGTGTATGGAATAAGTGGTATTATCTGTAGTAGTAGCAGCAGTAGTAGCAGTAGTAGTAATAGTAGTAAGAGTAATAGTAGTAGTAATAGTAGCAGTCATAATAATAGTAATAGTAATAGATAGTAATAGTATTATCTGCAGTAGTATTAGTAGTAGTAGTAGTAGTAGTATTTGTTGTAGTAGTAGTAGTAGTAGTATCTGTAGCAGTAGCAATAGTATTATCTCTAGTAGTAGCAGTATTATCTGTAGTAGCAATAGCAGTATTATCTGTATTAGTATCTGTAGTAATAGTAGTAATACTAGTAGTAGTATTATTATCTGTAATAGTAGTATCTGTAGTATTATTATCTGTAGTAGTACTAGTAGTAATATCTGTAGTAGTAGTAATAATAGTAGTCGTAGTCATAGTAATAGTAGTAGTAGTCATAGTAATAGTAGTAATAGTAATAGTAGTAGTATTATCTGTAGTAGTAGTATTATCTGTAGTAATAGTAATAGTAATAGTAGTTGTAGTCAGAGTAATAGTAGTAATAGTAGTAGTCGTAGTAATAGTAGTAATAGTAATAGTAGTAGTAGTATTATCTGTAGTAATAGTAATAGTAGTAGTAGTAGTACTATCTGTAGTAATAGCAGTAGTAGTAATAGTAATAGTAGTAGTAGTATTATCTGTAGTAATTGTAGTAGTAGTAATAGTAATAGTAGTAGTAGTAGCAGTAGTATCTGTAGTAATAGTAGTAGTAGTCGTAATAATAGTAGTAATAGTAATAGTAGTAGTAGTAGTATTATCTGTAGTAATAGTAGTTGTAGTAATAGTAATAGTAGTAGTAGTATTATCTGTAGTAATAGTAGTAGTAGTAATAGTAATAGTAGTAGTAGTAGTACCTGTAATAATAGTATAGTAGTAGTAGTAACAGTAGTAGTAGTAGTATTATTATCTGTATTAATAGTAGTAGTAGTAGTAGTAGTAGTAGTAGTAGTAGTATTATTATCTGTAGTAATAGTAGTAGTAATAGTAATAGTAGTAGTATTATTATCTGTAGTAATAGTAGTAGTAGTAATAGTAATAGTAGTAGTAGTAGTATTATCTGTAGTACTTGTAGTAGTAGTAGAAGTCTAGACATGTTCTTGAAACCATTATGATTCTTGAGTGAACAAATGTGCTTATGTAACAGACGAGCTCAGTCAGATTTTGTCTCCTCACATTATGTCTGCTCAATAACTCTGGACCAGGACTAAACCAGAACTAAACTAGGTCTAAACTAGGTCTAAACCAGGACTATACCAGGAGTCAAACCTGATACATAACTGATGTGTCGTCTTCTTGTTAAATCTAAATCTGAGCTGACATCACTCACCATTAGCATGTTCGTTAGCGTTCCTCGTTAGCAGAACCATAACAGACTTAAATCCTCCATAAATGTTTCCTCCTCAGAGAAGCTCAAAGGTCCCAGGTCCAGACTCAAATCAAACCAGAACCAGACAAGAATCAGACCAGAATTGGACCAGAATAAGACCAGAACCAGACTGGTCCAGATGGACTTTAAATGAGAGCTGGTTTAGTGTGCCTCGTGTTAGTGTGCCGTCTCCTTTCTTCTCATCAAGAGGCAGAGCTGTTAAAATTGTTGAAATTTAAAGAGAGGATGTTTCTATGAGGTATTAACTGCTACTCAGACATGCCTGGATGACATCTAAAAACTCCTTCAGGCATGTTGTTGAGGGAACACATTATAACACAGTAGAAAGATCCAAACAAAAAGTCAATTTTGCAAAATACACCCTCTTTAAGTAAGATCCATGGAGTTTTCATGTTCCCTCTGTGTCTGGTTTGGTTTCTTCTGGTTTTCTCCATCAATCTAAAACATGCACAAAAATCCCCCAGCTCAAGTGCTCTGGACCAAGCTCAGATCTGGAGGTGAGAGACTGAAGAACCTTGAGTTTAAACAGGTTAAATTTTGTTTATTGACGACAGAGACAAGTTTAGTCCATTTACATCAGAATGATTAGAAAACAGCGGGGGCGTGCACATGGGCGGAGGGTGTGCATGTGAGGTCGGGGGCTTTCACGTGAAGTCGGGGGCGTTCACGTGGAGCTGTGCACGTGGAGCTGTGCATGTCACTTCTGTCCGAGCTGAGCGAGCTGAGGAGACAGAAACAAGATTAGTGTCAGAAGCCTGTGACCTGTGACCTCTGACCCCAGGGTAATGAGGGGGTTTGGGGTGCTCAAGGTTAGTGAGGGGTAAGGCTTAAAACAACAGCAGACATCTGTATAATTACACAGATGTGACAAAGCAGGTATCTGACCCTTCAGCACAAAAGTGACATAGTGCACCTTTACTTAACACTACAATTTCCAGCTCAAACACTGATTTTACTGAATTGAACCCTCAAAATGTAGTAGGGCTGGGTAATATGATTTTATTTTATTTTAATCAAATTCAGTGGAGGCACTGCTTTCTAACAGTGGAAGCTCTTTACATTTTCATTCTAATGATGTCCTATTATTTCGACATTGTAAACCACCTTCTCTTATATTTATATAGGTAAGTGATCTAATTTTGATATTTTTTAATATTTTTTCATATTATTTTGATAATTTTTAAAATCAGAATTAGATTTTCTTCACAATGCAGATTCTTTAATTGCACAATGAGCAAATGCTTTGCAAGTCAGAAAGTCTGAAGCAAACTTGTTTCATAATAATCCTCAATTACACAATTAATTCAGAAAATCTGATTAAATGCCCAGCTCTGAACAGTACTATCAAAAATTCAGATGGTAACTAGTGTTACAGCTGAACAGCTAAAGAGAAGTTTATGTTTAAAGTGACCTGTTTGATGAACTGAGCAGCGTTGAAGAGCTCACTGCAGCCGTACACCACCTTCCGGCCCTGTTTGGACTGAAACACAAAATAGGAGTTTAAAATCACATTTAAAATTCACATTCAAAATGAATGTTTTTTAGTATTTAGAGATCAGACCTTGGAGTAGTCCACCAGGTTCTGATACTCGATGTAGTTTCCTCCTCCCACCACAAACACAATCGCCTGCACAAAAACTCACATTAGGCAGAACTCAAGGTGTGATTTCATTATTTCAGTCTAGACCAGATTTAGAACCTGTGAACTAGGACTAAACCAGGGACACAGACCGGGACAAACCACGGACTAAAACACGACTAAAAGTAGTAAAGCAGCTATAGACCATGGTTTAAACTAGATTTAAACCATAATTAAATGTGACTAGAGTGACTATACTAGGTCTAAACTAGGTCTAACTGCATGACTAAACCAGTTATTAACCAGAGACTAAAGCAGGTCTAAACCAGGACTGACCTCTTGAAAGGGGTTCTTGTTCCGTGGGATGGAGCTGTAGGAGAATAAACAGACTTAATATTTTTATGACAAGATTCTGATAAAAGTGACAAAGTTTTGAGTGTTTTATAAAGCTATATACAGTTTATGATAACGTTTAATGCATGTGCTGAGTGATCAGAGTAACACCTCTCACTCCACACAGCAGCTCTGTTTTATTTCTATAGAGAACCCAACATACTGTTTATATAATGGTCTGTGTGATAGGAGTGATACCTCAGTCTTTCATATACCTCCTTTGTGCTGTATTTAAGTGTGTTAAAGTTTCATACACAGTAATCGTGGTAAATGTACTTAAAACAGGAGTGGTACCTCTCACTGCCGCGGAGCATCTTTGGGTCGAAGTATCTGTAGTCATCGGATTCCTTTGACACACAGAAATTAAAAAAAGAAAAAGTTAAATAATCTGTACATTTGGATAAATATGATCCAAGCAATCTGGATCAAGAGAATCTGTCACTAACAGTGTAGTACAAACTCGACGTGTCCTTGGGCAAGACACTTCAACCACATCACCCAATATGAATGTGGTGTGAGTGTTGGTGGTGGTTGGAGGGGCCAATGGTGCACACTGGCAGCTTCACTTCTGTCAGTCTGCCCCAGGGCAACTGTGGCTACAATGGAATCTCACCACCACCGATATGGAATGAATGAATAACGCAGGAAACTGTAAAGAGACTTTGAGCATCTGGAAAAGCGCTGTGTGAGACTAATGTTTTATTATTATGTATGAAACATGAATATCAGTGTGGGAAGAGTCTTGCCAAAGGCCATAATGTCACTAACAAGGTAAACCTGAACAAAAGTGGCACTCAAATAGGACTAGACCAGAACTAAACCAGTCTCAAGTAGGACTAGAACATGCATAACACTAAACTAAGTTGAAAGGAGGACTAAACCAGGATCAGACCAGGATCAGACCACGACTAAACCAGGACTAGACCAGGACTAGATCAGGACAAGACCAGGACTAGACCGGGTCTAAAGCTGAACTAAAGTAGACTGGAACTGAACACAAAGGAATCTGGTTCAGTTCAGATGGCACATTTTTGAACAGCTCATCTTCAGAGAGAGGAGAGAAAGAGGGATAAAAGAGAATGTGAGGGAGAAGAGAGAGGAAGAGAAAGAGAAAGAGAGAGAGGGGGATAGAGGAGAAAGAGAGGGATAGAGGAGGATTGAGTAGCGTTTCTCAGATTCTGGATTTCAGGTTCAGGACAAAGAGACTGTTGTTTAGACACAGACACAGGACACTCTTCACCCTCTCTCCTACTCTTCCTCTCCTCCTCATCCTTCACTCCTCTTCCTCTTCTTCTCTCTTCATCTCCTATGATTTATATCCTACTCTCTCTCTTTTCTTCTCTTCTATGACTCTTTCTCTCCTCCTAATTTCTTTCTCCATCTCATCTTCCCCTCTCTCCTCTGATTTATAGCCCCAAACTATCCATTTTCCTCTCTTCTTTCCTTCTCTGCCCCCTCTCTTTTCTTTATTCTCTTTCTCTTCTGCACCTTATCCCTCTCTTCTCTCTCTCATCTGCAGTTTATTTAACCTCTCTGCCTCCTCTTTCTCTCCCTCTCTTCTGTCTCTCTCGATCCTTGCCCCCCTCCTCTCTTCATTCTCTTTTTTCTTCTGCACCTTATCCCTCTCTCTCTTTTATAGTAATTATAATTCATAAATCTTGTATAGCACTTTCTTGGACTCTCACTGCTTTCTGTCTCTTTCACCCTCTTTACTTTCTTCTACCTACCTCTGACCTGTCACAATAAAATCATGTATCAAAGCAGTTTTACTTTGAAACAATCATAAAGTGCATTTGACAGATTAATCTATTACATATATATTTAAGTATATAAAAGCCTGTGTTATTGCGTAAATGCAAGATATGCTTAATGCCATACTGCACATTCCAGACAAAATAATTCCATCTCTATGGAGACAAGCAGGTGGCTGGCCCTCCACCAGAAAAGGTACACAATGCATCTTTAAGAGACACCATAGCTTCACAGAGTTCATAAAAAAAAAACCTCTGTAACTATTTTGAACATTTGCATTTCAGACTCATGTCCAGTTTTCACCATGGATCTGTCATCTCTCAAACGTCTGCCAAAACTTAAATAAAAGTTGGATGGACTTTGAGTACAAAAACATGCATGACTTTAAACTTGAATAAACAGTTCATTCTATAGATCGCACGATGAAATGTACAGTCCAAACACACAGACATTTATCAAACATTTCGACGGGGTTAGAGTCCATCACTGAGAGAGATCTGGCTCTGCGTCAATGTCGAGTGATGAGGATTAAGATTCTTCACATTTTATACACAGTTTTCAAATATCTGCGCTCACTGCTCCCTGTACAAAGAATCCTGTTATATCAGCCTTCCGTTATAGTTTTGTTTAAGTCTACATTGTTTATTAAAGGAGACAGCAAACTGGATTTTAACCTTTCTGTAGTCGTTTCCTTCTCATTCATCCTCTGAAGTTGTATTTAGAATGATATGTGCATTTTTGAGAAATCTTTATTCTTCTGTATTCAAGATGTCATTCTCTGATTTACCCCCATTTTAACCACCACCAGTGTACACACTTCCTTCTCCAATTTTAAATTTCTTAATCTGTAATACAATAAGATTAAGCAGCGTTGCGTAGTCATTTTGGACACCATTGGACACCTCAGTTTTCTAACACGAAAGTAAGTGGACGTGTTTATTTAGTTGTTGTATATAGGGGTGTCAAATTATCGCGTTAATTGCGATTAATTAATTACAGTCATATTTAGCGCGTTATGTTTTTTAATCGCGTTAATCTAATTTTTAATCTCTAACTTTACTGTTTCTGTATGCGAATTGCTTTATTATAAAATCAGTTTTTATGTGTTGTTGGGACAACAACACACACAAAAACACATTTATAATTTTTTTTATTTCGGTAATTCCACTCATTGCCGGAAACCCACAAAAAACGCGCGCAGTAAGAGCGATGTAAACGTCATGTTAACGTTGGCGGCGTCAGTCGCACAATGGATGAGGTCGAAGAGCCAGTAGAACAGAGGCAGCAGTGCACAGGTAAAAATGCATTCGTGTCTTGGAAATTATTCTCCCGACGTGAAATATAAAAGAAAATAACAAATATAAAATCGCCTACAACTTAAATGTCACTGGTGAAAACAACCTGCATAGACTCATGATGTCTGCACTACTGTCCTATAGTGACCTGCCACATGAGGGGACACACACACAAACACACAAACACAAACACAAACAAACACACACCTTCATCATCGTCATTAACCTGAGAACGCGCGGACCACGTTTCCTTCCATAGTTACTGCGCAGACACCGACGTGCTCCCGTGCGCAACGTACGTTTTCTCGCGTACGCTGCGTAAACCGCGCTTCCTCCTGTGAGCCTCTAAACCAGAACTAACACCAAGACTAAAACCAGGACTAAACCAGGACTAAAACAAGGACTAAAACCAGTGATCTCATATATAAAGCATTTCTCTATCAATAATATTTTTAATATGGTTAAGGAAAGACTGGACTTTTTATTGTCTTTAAGTAGAGAAAAGTTATTATGTTCAGATTTCCTCGTCTTTGCTACTTTACAGCAAACAGTTTCTTATTCATGGAGACTTGGGCTCAACAGCCAATTTGGAGAGATTTGTTAAACAATAAATGACTTTATAAAGTCACTTTTTTTTGTTCTATATCAGTCTTTTGATCTGCCACAATAATGTAATAATGAATTTAAATGAAAATACCTTAAATTGAAGGCTTTTCTCAGCAATTTTTAGGTAAGATTAATTAGATTAATTAATTACAGAGCATAATTAATTAATCTCTCAATTTTTTTAATCGCATGACAGCACTAGTTGTAATATAAATATTGTGATTTAAAATGTCCAAATTCTAACATCATGATCCACGGGTGTCATAGATTATAACTACACAAGTACTATTGTTCTGATTTAAAATAGAATGAATCAAATTTACCGGGTGTGATTTCATCTCCATCAGATTATCCAAGATCCGAGTCACAGGCAAATTCTGAAAAACAAATGACAAATTATTTAAAGCTGCACTCTGTAGCTTTCCTAGTGAGGGAGGTTTGCCAAATGCTTGATGCCACTGCTTTGTCTGGAAGGTTCCACTGTTATGTATGTATGGCATTAAATTTATCTCAGTGGAAACAAGCAGCTGACAGGTCAGATTTGTGAAGAGGCCAGTCAACTTACAGTAAGCATGCATGTTTTGAGCAACACAAATATCTCTAATAAGATAAATACTAGACTGACTAGCCTAATGCCATAGTGTGGGACTTTCCATGTAAAGCTATTACATCTCCATAGAGACAAGAAGGTGGCAAACCCCACCACCACCAGAAAAGTTACACAGTGCAGCTATAAAATAACAAAGACATTTCAAACTCACGTGTTGTTTTACGACCAGGTTTTTGACTCCCTCCATTACAAACTGAGACCCAGTGTTCATCACTCGAGAAAATAATCTGAAAGAAACAGAGAGGAGAAGATCAGAGGTGAGGGTCAGAGGAACACAGGTGAAGGTCAGAGGAGCAGAGGAGCAGGCTCAGAGGAGCAGAGGAGCAGGCTCAGAGGAGCAGAGGAGCAGGGTCAGAGGAGCAGAGGAGCGGGCTCAGAGGAGCAGAGGAGCGGGGTCAGAGGAAGCAGAGGAGCGGGTCAGAGGAAGCAGAGAGGAGCAGGGTCAGAGGAGCAGAGGTGAATGGTCACTTCAGTTGCTGCTTCACAATCTTCCAAAAACATTCATCTGAATAAAATATCCCACAATGAGGTTTTAACCCTGTATGATGAAATGTACCGCAGAGATGGAACTGCCAGCGTTTGAGTTTGACATGTCACATAATCCAGTATTGCTTTTAAATATGTAATAAGTTTAACATCTTGCTCTTACCCCATTGGTTTGACTCCACTGTTGCCGTAGTTTGCAGGAGTGGCCATTTTGGTAAAAGCCCTGAAAAAGAACAAATAATGACTTGGTATATTGATTTGGATATTTTTTGGAGACTAACAGCACTGTGAATTTGCTACTTTTTCCTCTTAAAATGCCTTGACGAGACTTAACTCAAAGAACTAAGATTTAAAAGTGCTTAGAACACTTAATTCTCCATCTTGTTTGCGCTGAAAAGGAGCAAAGGACCATGGTGTTCCCAATGTTTTTTTTAGCTATTGCTGCACCATAACTATAAATTTAAGCAAAGAGACTTGCAATTGAATATATTGTGATGGTCCATGATATTATTGTGAAAAGCAGAACTAGTTCAATTTAAACTGTTTGCAGTGGTCCAAAGTTATTCCCCACTCACCTTATGCATTCAGAGCATCCTAATTATACAGCATGATGAGTTTATAAGCACTTTTCTTTCAGAGGCCAGAGCAGAGTTTTGTCGTCATAGTAAAGATAACAACAGCTAGCGTGCCAACAGTGCACTTCCTGATTGTCAGACGGTAATAAAACACTTTATAATTAGATGCAGACTTATTTTGACCTCAAGAGCTGCTTACAATATATCTGTACTGGGTCAAGACACATTTTGGTCTAATATATGAGGAAAGAATCTGGTAGGGAGCCTTTAAAGCTGCACTATGACACTTTTCTAGTGGAGGGTCTAGCACCTGCTTGTCTCTAGAGATGCTATTGCTTTTCTGGAAGTATGGCATTAAACTTATCAGGCATTAAACTTATCAGTCTCGATGAAAAGAAACAGATGATGCCACCAGGCCAAATTACAGGTCTGATCTATGGAGAGTCAGACCACACTAAGAACGCATATACTGTGGAACATTTCAGGTAACAAGACAACACTCTCTACTAGAAATGTTCCACAGTGCACCTTTAAATAATGATGACAGGCTTCTGGAGTACTGCATAACTGAGCGTGACTCACTTCCACTGTTTGATGTAGTTCAGAGGTGAAAGGTCACAACCCGCATCCATCAAGGCCTTCTTATACTGCTCCAGGTCAGACTGTAAGACAATAACAAATACACTTTAAAATCAGACTCTAAACTGATACAGCATTAGACTTCACAGTTAAAGATGACCGCTGTTCCCACTGTTGTAACGACGGAGTAAAAGTGATATTTCCAAATGTTTTCCCAAACCCTGAATGTGACAGACCAAACCTCTTCTTCTTCTTAGTTTGGAATCCAGCTGAGCCAAAACAGAACTGAACTAAACAGAACTAACAAGGGAATTAAATTTAACAATAAATTCAGGAAAAATATGGAAAAGTAGCATGACGGACTCAAGCATTAAATTATGTTATAAAGTTGTTACCTAATCAAAAACATACCTGGAGTGATGTTGTGTTTTTAAGTCTAAATCTCAAAAAGTCAAAATGCTCTGTTAAACCTTGTGATGTTAAGAAGCAGTAGTTTTCAAGTTAACAGATCGTTATTTCTTTAGTTCAGTTGAGACTGGCAGTTCTAGGGCTAAAACTATCCAAATGATTCTAGTGAAGGTGTATGGAGAAATAGACAGTGGAGCACTTCCACATGGCATCACAAGGAGGAACAGAGTGGAACACAACTCAGCCTAAATATGCAAAGCAAAACACAATGCCAAGTATGTTTGTGATGAGGAAACAACATAAAAGTAATATGGGTCCTTTCATGTAGTATTTTGCACAGAGGTCCCTTTGTCTGTCTCCAGATCAAGACTGCCACAGAGAGGACTTGGACCAGAGTCTGGGTCTTGGATCTTGGTCTTTGGTTTGACTGATGGAGTGTGTCCTTAAATAATCCAGATTTGGAAAGAAGGAAGAGAAAATGGGGGAGGATGAGGAGGAGGAGAGAGGAGTAGAAGAGAGAGAAGAAAGAGGAGCAGGAGAGCGAGAAGAGAGAGGAGGGCAGGAGAGAGAAGGAGAGAAGAGGAGAGAGGAAGAGGACGAAGAAGAGCAGGAGTAAGAAGGGGAGAAAAGGAGAGCAAGGAGAAGTAGGTGGAGAAGGAGGAGGAGGAGAAGGGGGAGAAGGAGGACAGGAGGAAGAGGAGAAGCGGAGGAGGATGAGGAGGATGAGGAGAACAGGAGGATGAGGTGGTGGAGAGGGTGAGACAGTTAAATGTGTTTTTACAGTTGAGAGAAGAGGAGGGAGAGGTGAAGACAAGACACAGGGTTTGATGTGACTGCTAATACATTTAAGTCTGAACAGAACAAAATACAGTTTATTAAATATTTTATTCATTCGTGTTTCTGTAAAGCTCCTATTTTTATGTTAGATGGAAAATACAAAAATACAGAGTTTTATGTTACAATATCTGAGTTTTCACTGCTGTCATTATGTCATACACCAAAGGATTTAGATCTGTGTAGTATTTAAGTGTTTAATAACGCCATTAGTTGATGCTGACTGCACTGGCTGAAGCAAAGGCTCATGGTCTATGTAACGTAATGTGGCGAGATAATTAATATTGCACCATATGTCCTCCTTTATTCCTGATTATTCCCATGTTCAGTTCTAAACCCTGGGGAATTAAACCCACACAGACTCTGCTTGTTCTTCTGGTGGTGAGAGATTTGAGGTTCGTGAGTTTGTGTCAGAGACGAGACTCAAACATTTTAGATGAAGTGATAGAGAAAGAACCCAGAGAGACAGAACTACACAGTATTCACCACAGAGGGACCTGGTTTAGACCAGGTTGAGACCTGGGTTAGGGTAAGGGTCTTGATTTAGACCCAGTTTGAACTTCGTTAGCGTTGGTTTAGTGCTCATTTAGACATTCCTGGTTTGGTACTTACCACCTGGTGGAAGGACACTTACATGATCTGTACTTTAAAGCACTTTAAAGGCCCTGTATTACACAAATCTGACTCTTGGGAGCTGTAAGCCATGTTATAATGTTACCTCCTCAAAACATACCTAGAGTTGTATTTTGTTTCATTCACTGTTGGATTGTGTGAAATGAATTGTTTGTTGTCTGTATCCATGGATACTGTTTGCGAGTCTAAAAGATATTTGAGATGCTACAGGCTTTTTACACCATATGTGGTAGCAAATGTGGCAGAAGATCTTCCACAAGAAACACTTTGAGGGAATGGACCATTTCATCACCAACTGAAAGAAGTAAGAACGAGGCAACTGGCGACTGAGACGCACAGTGGAAATTAGCAACAGCAAATGTAACAGTTTGCTTCAGCAAAACTTGAATTTCCCTCAGGATCAATAGTCAGTCAATTAGTCTGTCTACATCTCCAAAGCTCAAAATTCTCTAAAGTTCCACCTTGTGATGTCATGCAGTGGTCGTTTTCAAGCAGAGATGTTCAGTTCCAAGAATGTATCCAAATGATTCTAGTGAAGGTGTATGAGGTTTAAAAACAGTGTTTTCCCACAATCCAAGTAGCTTTTTTTTGGGTAAAGCTAAATAAATAGTATAATGTAACAATTATATATTAATACAAATTAAATAAATAAAATACTATAAGTAGACCTAAGAAAGTACTAAAGTTACAACACGGCAACTACCATAAATAAAATAATGAAACAGCATTAGTCTATTTGACAAGGACAGAATTCAAAATAAGAAGAAATAGAAAATTATATAATATGGGCCCTTTAGGCCATCCCTCCAGCTCAGGGCAGCTGCCAAGCACTGAGGCGCCACTCTCAAGGTGCACTGTCACAAACTGAATTGCATTAAGTCATTTTGAATCCTCAGGTTTGAGTTTGCTCAGGGCTACGTTTCACTGACAGCTCCAGAGCACAGCTGCAGTCTGTCATGCTCAAACTCTGTTGACAAATTAAAGTTTAAATCAGAAAAATATTCTGCTGATATTCTACTGATACAGGAGTCCAGACAGATGATACAAGATATTATATGAACAGGGTCAATGAAGACATGAACCAGAACTGAACCTGGACTAAACCCAGGACTGAATAGTTCTTTGCTCAAACGAAGACACATCCAACCCCTTCTGCTATTGGTCAGCTTCTGTCAGGCTCTGAGTGAGTGACAGGAGGGTTTAACCAATCACAGTGAAGTGTGAATTCTCAGAGGCAGAGGATAGTTTTAGTTACTTATTAAGATGGCTACTTAAATTATCAATACATGTTGGACATTGGGTTGTCAAAAGTATCAAAAATCAAATACTAAATCGATACTACAACTAATACCAAAACTACATACTCATTTGAGCAGATATCAATACAAAAACAAGTCACATTGACAGGAAAGAAATGAACCTTTCCTGAATAGCTTTAATTCTGTATCAGAACAAGTAAAAGAGCACATAGATGAGTATACACCCATGGACCACTATGGACCCTACCTGGACCACTGAGGGATTACACAGATGTAAGGCCACGTGGTAATATAAAATAAAGTACTGCAATTTAATGCTGACAGTGAAATTCTACTGTCTAAAGAAAGACTGTTTTTCATTATCATCCTAGTATCAGAATTCAGTCTTTTCCTTAGTATTTTAGTATTGTGACAATGCTGAAAGCTCAACACTATGTTTTGGCAGTCCTTTTCTAAACCTCTCCACGTAAAAACCTGTGTCAAACTAAAGCTCCTAGCCCCCCTTTCCGACTGTCCCATCTGGAGCTGTTTAAACTCTGGGTCTCTCCTGTTTTGTGATGATATTTCAGACACATGTGTAAAGTTAGCGTGCTGCGGCTAACTCCTCGAGCTAATCTCATCTATGTAACTGTGTTTAAATTAGTTAAAATAAAGAGAGTCTTACTTCAGTGGGAGGCTGAGGAGCTGTGATGAAGAAGATGAGGAACAGACGCATCTTATCTTCTGGTGTTCCAGCTGAAAACACAGGACATGGATCAGAGCGTTTGAAAGAGGTTCATTCACTCTTCAGTCTTTGGCCCTGTTTTTGGTACAGTACAGATTCAGATTCAGATACGGTCTGCCCTGAGTTAGACCCAGGTAAACCAGGAAGTGAGCCCCAGACATTGTTCCTGATGTCAGGTCCCACACCCCGGGGTTCAAACATGGCATCTGTTTGAGTGAATGGGTCAAGCTCAGTGGTACATGTCCTTGTGTTAGCCTGAGTGGTGAGGTACGTCCACTGACTGTGCGGCTCAGTGACCATGCAGAATAGTGTTCTGACCAATCAGAGAAAGAGAAGATACAGCGGAGCAGTTCTATGTCACCCTCCTGAGTGCCAGAGATAACAGACAGATAAACTTTATTGTCTGTACCAGCAGGTGACAGAAATTTTTCTTTGACATGACTGCCTTCGCCATCATTCGGAATTCATAGAACTGTGGTTACATATGCAACTCTCGTTTATAAGACAACTAAAGGAGTTTAAAATGAGAAAAAAATTTATTATCTGAAAATAGACAATAATGGCCACAAAATCCAACCTTTTTGAAAGCTGTAGGTCCCTGTGAGCCAAACACCAGCTGCCTCTTTGCCTGTCACTTAAATATTGTGCATGTGGCTGTGGGGGTGTGCAGGTGTGAGAGTGTATGAGGATCTTTACCATCAGGGTCACTGATGATGTCCAGCAGAGACTTGTCCAGAGTGGATTTGCTCATCACCTTCTCCTCGTACTCGAAATACACGTCCAGTTTACGATTCTGAGAGGGATTGTGATTAAATTACTTCTCTAGGACATCTGTAACATCAATATAGCTTTGCCTTATAAAGTTCTACCCTGGAACATTGTGCAGTGATTTTACCTTGATGTGGTCGAGAACGGCTGTGGCCACATTTGTGTGGAGATCGATCAGTCGCTTTTTCTCCAAAAGCTCTGGGAGAGAGCTGAAAGTACAGAGAGAGCAGGAATTATCCAACAGAAAATAACAAATATTCAAAATAATGGTGTTTTTAAAAGGAACCAAAACAGCGACGTGTCACAAAGAGCCCAGGGCCATTTTGGACGAGAGACGTGTGATAAAATCTGAGGAAAAAGAGGAAAGTGAAACTAAACAGGTCTAAGGTTTCAGATGTACCAGAGAAACATCCGGAGAGAAGGGGACACAGCAGAGACTAAACATAATTATAATGAGACTAAGATCTGAACACACAGCAGGATCACACCATAAGGGAAATATACACAAACTATGACTGTAATAAAATATGATCGTTGTGAAGTCATGAAGTGATTTGGTTTAATGGCCCCTGGAAGCAGTGCTCTCCTTTACAAAGGCTAATGTCTTTTTAAAGGCCACGGATCATCTGAAAATATGTCAGATTTAAGCCACAGGACAGTTTCTATCAGTTTTACTGCAGTGTGAAACTCACAGAGTGATTCATATCATCACCCTCAGCAGCAGATTATTTTTCATTTGTACCAAAATGACTACGAGATGCTGCCGAATCCTACATGTATCATAGAGTAAGAAAATAAAACTGGAGAGGGAAGTGCATACGTCATAAGGGGCATGTACTAAGGACTGTGGAAACAGTGGTTGATATGGCATCTTGAAAATAAGCGATTAAA